GCGCCGGTGACTCTTAATGGTGCCTATTTGCTCACAAGTTTCCAGGTGAGGTGTGGTCACCCGTCCACACCCAGCCTTGTGCTATGACGAGTGGCGCTCACCATGGGTGGCAACATTGGGCTGGTTGTAGCCCAATTGGGCTGGTTGTAGCCCAGTTGAAAAGTCAGCTATGTTTGTTGCTACTTACTACTCTTTTCAGCTTCTGTTAAGATAAGTTGGCCTATGTACTCTGAAAATGGAATCAATCTCTAACAAAAAAAAGGCTAGTTTTATAGTAAAATTCGTGACTTTTTAGCTCTTCAGCTCGCGACTTCCGGCAACTCAAATCTGGCAACCCTAGGTTAGCAATATTTAAATACCCCATTGTGACACTAAACATGTTCCGGGGTATTCATGCCCGTGCCACCTTTTGGGTGGCTTAATCTTTATCAATCAATCACCACACATACACACACGTCCTCGTGGTCGCTTCACTCCCCATGGGCACATAAACACTAACCTGAACAACAGATTGATTGATTGATAAAGATTAAGCCACCCAAGAGGTGGCACGGGCATGAATAGCCCGTAAAAGCTGAACAACAGTAGTTAGTCCTCATATATACAACCAATACCGTTTACTCTCACAAAAACACATCTTCACTATAAAGTTGCTATTAATATTGAAGCGTACCTTTAAAAATAATAATAAACAAAGGCTTCCCAAATATGTTTGCAACAACATAACACACACATTCGCCAAGTACTACAACCTTCCACTTAAGAGCATTAGTGTAATCAAGAAACATTGCTCCATCAATACGGTTGTGATGGCGGGATTGTGTATTCCATCTCTTCTCCAGACACCACATTGTAGTGTTGGGCTCGCCTCACCAGAGACCACAATGCATGCTTTGTGTACTGCAGCACTGTGACGTCTCTCTCTCGCGTCTTCCAATACCAATTCATTCTTAGCATGTTTAGAAGTAGCGGAAAACCACCATCAATATCTATTGTTATTGTATTGACTTGGGACCAAAACTGATAGCTTTGAGTAATGAATAACAACTTTTTACCTTAAATCTGATCCTTAAACGTGATATAATGCTTATATCATATCAAGCTAGCGGGCGATGAGTCACAATAACGTGGCTAAAGTATATTGACCAGACCACACACTAGAAGGTGAAGGGACGACGACGTTTCGGTCCGTCCTGGACCATTCTCAAGTCGACCGAAACGTCGTCGTCCCTTCACCTTCTAGTGTGTGGTCTAATCAACATATCAAGCTAGCCTTTTATAACTAATCCATACTCATTGTGTACGAATATTCGCTCTCATAATAAACACAGCTGTATACCTCAGTTCCACACTCTCCACAGCCTATGTACATGACCACTTATTCATCAAATATATATTATTAAAATTATTATTAACTTGATGTATCTAGGGCCCCAGCTTGGGAGTACCAAGTGTACAGGTTCGAATCCTCCTCACCACTCCTACTGATTTTCTCATTATTATTATTATTATTATATTTTAATGATAAGAATCGTTATAGACCTGTTCTACTCTTTATTTATTTTGTCATTAAAATGTGCATTCAATAAATTTTCACAACATAATTTTTTCATATTTGTTGTGGACATATTTGGCCGGGGTGGAGCCGCCCATCCCAGGAGCCATACATGTGTCCAATATCAATCAAATATTCGTTCTGGCGGAGAAAAACCACCAACGTGAGCTGCGAAAATAATATTACGAAGGGAAAAACGTGTATATATGTATACATGTATCTGAATGTCTGCGCTTGTTTGGAAATGTATTTGTTTATACAAAAAGATACATAGTTACATACACATAGTGACGTGACTTGTGTTAGTAACAATGGCGGGGCTTCAGGGGAGTGTCCACTCCAGTGAGTGCCGGTGGCCACAAGAGTGCCGGTGACCACAAGAGTGCCGGTGACCACAAGAGTGCCGGTGGCCACAAGTGCCGGTGGCCACAAGAGTGCCGGTGACCACAAGAGTGCCAGTGGCCACAAGAGTGCCGGTGGCCACAAGAGTGCCGGTGGCCACAAGAGTGCCGGTGACCACAAGAGAGCCAGTGGCCACAAGAGTGCCAGTGGCCACAAGAGTGCCGGTGGCCACAAGAGTGCCAGTGGCCACAAGAGTGCCGGTGGCCACAAGAGTGCCAGTGGCCACAAGAGTGCCGGTGGCCACAAGAGTGCCGGTGGCCACAAGAGTGCCGGTGGCCACAAGAGTGCCGGTGACCACAAGAGTGCCGGTGACCACAAGAGAGCCGGTGGCCACAAGAGTGCCGGTGGCCACAAGAGTGCCGGTGGCCACAAGAGTGCCGGTGGCCACAAGAGTGCCGGTGACCACAAGAGTGCCGGTGGCCACAAGAGTGCCAGTGACCACAAGAGTGCCGGTGACCACAAGAGTGCCGGTGACCACAAGAGTGCCGGTGGCCACAAGAGTGCCAGTGACCACAAGAGTGCCAGTGACCACAAGAGTGCCAGTGACCACAAGAGTGCCAGAGACCACAAGAGTGCCAGTGACCACAAGAGTGCCAGTGACCACAAGAGTGCCAGTGACCACAAGAGTGCCAGTGACCACAAGAGTGCTAGTGGCCACAAGAGTGCCAGTGGCCACAAGAGTGCCAGTGACCACAAGAGTGCTAGTGGCCACAAGAGTGCCAGTGGCCACAAGAGTGCCAGTGGCCACAAGAGTGCCAGTGACCACAAGTGCCAGTGGCCACAAGAGTGCCAGTGGCCACAAGAGTGCCAGTGGCCACAAGAGTGCCGGAGGCCACAAGAGTGCCAGTGACCACAAGAGTGCCAGTGACCACAAGAGTGCCAGTGACCACAAGAGTGCCAGTGGCCACAAGAGCGCCAGTGACCACAAGAGTGCCGGAGGCCACAAGAGTGCCAGTGACCACAAGAGTGTCAGTGGCCACAAGAGCGCCAGTGACCACAAGAGTGCCGGAGGCCACAAGAGTGCCAGTGACCACAAGAGTGCCAGTGACCACAAGAGTGCCAGTGACCACAAGAGTGCCAGTGACCACAAGAGTGCCAGTGGCCACAAGAGCGCCAGTGACCACAAGAGTGCCGGTGGCCACAAGAGTGCCAGTGACCACAAGAGTGCCAGTGACCACAAGAGTGCCAGTGACCACAGGAGCGCCAGTGACCACAGGAGCGCCAGTACAAAGGAGAGAGACTTCACAAGTACCAATACAAATAAAAAGATTACATGTTTTTATACAAAAACGAGCAAAATTAATTTACAGCGTATCGAATTATTTTACAAGCTCAGGTAAAATGTTGGAAATTTCTTACCATATATAACCTTTCGTAAGAAATCAATATATATAAGATTTTTTATGTATAAATATAACAATGTAAATTTATAATATTAAATTATCAATTGTATTCTATTGTATTCAGCAGTTTAATCGTCATAATTTTTCTTATAATGTTTAAATTTTTATATTTTTTCCTACAGGGACATATTTTTGCTGTACATAATAATTGGAGATATTTATGCAATTTAATGAAAGAATGAAACTACCCGAAACGCTTTTTGTAATAGTGGCTTTAGGCACTGTATATACTAGCTCTATCTATAAATCCCTTAATGTTTTGTATCTCACCTTGTATGTACTTTACCTGAATAAATATTTGATTTGATTTGAATGAGCTAAAGGAACGATCGTGCCCAAAGGTGGTAATGGGACGCAGTAATTCTTTACTAAGCAGAGTGGAGGTAATAACGCCAAGAGTCATGTATAACACCATAACTTGTACTGGTATGATGCTTCCATGAGTGGCCACCAGGCGGCGTCACACACCTCCCTGAGGGGACCTCCACCACACACCTCCCTGAGGGGACCTCCACCACACACCTCCCTGAGGGGACCTCCACCACACACCTCCCTGAGGGGACCTCCACCACACGCCTCCCTGAGGGGACCTCCACCACACACCTCCCTGAGGGGACCTCCACCACACACCTCCCTGAGGGGACCTCCACCACACACCTCCCTGAGGGGACCTCCACCACACACCTCCCTGAGGGGACCTCCACCACACACCTCCCTGAGGGGACCTCCACCACACGCCTCCCTGAGGGGACCTCCACCACACACCTCCCTCAGGGGACCTCCACCACACACCTCCCTGAGGGGACCTCCACCACACACCTCCCTGAGGGGACCTCCACCACACACCTCCCTAAGAGGACCTCCACCACACACCTCCCTGAGGGGACCTCCACCACACACCTCCCTAAGGGGACCTCCACCACACACCTCCCAGAGGGGATCTCCACCACACACCTCCCTGAGGGGACCTCCACCACACACCTCCCTGAGGGGACCTCCACCACACACCTCCCTGAGGGGACCTCCACCACACACCTCCCTGAGGGGACCTCCACCACACACCTCCCTAAGGGGACCTCCACCACACACCTCCCTGAGGGGACCTCCACCACACACCTCCCTAAGAGGACCTCCACCACACACCTCCCTGAGGGGACCTCCACCACACACCTCCCTAAGGGGACCTCCACCACACACCTCCCAGAGGGGATCTCCACCACACACCTCCCTGAGGGGACCTCCACCACACACCTCCCTGAGGGGACCTCCACCACACACTCCAGGTGCTCCACACTACAACCCTGTACTCTCCCTCACCGGCTCCTGCTACACGCTGCCTGCAGCCACACGAGGAGAAACAAATAGGGAAAGAAAGGCAAATGAAAGGAAGAAAATAATACGAAAGGAGAGAATAAAATAAAGTTCGGAAGAGGGGTGGGGAGAGGAAAGTAATGCGACAAGTGAGACAGCAAAGGTGTAGGGAAGGAAGCTGGAGGGAGTGAAGAGAGAGAGAGACAGAAAGAGGGAGAAAGAGAGAGAGCTGCTACAGGAAGAGAGGGAGGGAGGATTAGCGTGGGCGTGTGTGGCGTGCCATAAGAGGCGGCAGCAAGGGTAGGGACACACCACTCACGCCGGCGGCGTCGACGGGTAGGTGCGCTCTCCCGCTCCCACCACCCCTCCGCTACGCTACTCCACGCCCAGCAACGCCAGGATATATATATACTGTACAGTTTGACGCCCACAGTGTTACAGTCAGTATACAAGCTATCTAGTATGCTACACATACACTGGTCAGTTACACCTGCGTCAGTGTACCCCGACACTTGTTGCGTCGGTCCATGACCTGCCTCGTGTACCACCAGTCTTGGTCTGTACCACACTACCACCACCAGTCTTGGTCTATACCACACTACCACCACCAGTCTTGGTCTGTACCACACTACCACCACCAGTCTTGGTCTGTACCACACCACCACCAGTCTTGGTCTGTACCACACTACCACCACCAGTCTTGGTCTGTACCACACCACCACCAGTCTTGGTCTGTACCACACTGCCACCACCAGTCTTGGTCTGTACCACACCACCACCAGTCTTGGTCTGTACCACACCACCACCAGTCTTGGTCTGTACCACACTACCACCACCAGTCTTGGTCTGTACCACACTACCACCACCAGTCTTGGTCTGTACCACACTACCACCACCAGTCTTGGTCTGTACCACACCACCACCAGTCTTGGTCTGTACCACACTGCCACCACCAGTCTTGGTCTGTACCACACCACCACCAGTCTTGGTCTGTGCCACACTGCCACCACCAGTCTTGGTCTGTGCCACACTACCACCACCAGTCTTGGTCCGTACCACACTACCACCAGTCTTGGTCTGTACCACACCACCACCACCAGTCTTGGTCTGTACCACACCACCACCACCAGTCTTGGTCTGTACCACACCCACACCACCACCAGTCTTGGTCTGTACCACACCACCACCAGTATTGGTCTGTACCACACTACCACCAGTCTTGGTCTGTACCACACCACCACCAGTCTTGGTCTGTACCACACCACTACCAGTCTTGGTCTGTACCACACCACCACCAGTCTTGGTCTGTACCACACCACCACCAGTCTTGGTCTGTACCACACCACCACCAGTCTTGGTCTGTACCACACCACCACCAGTCTTGGTCTGTACCACACCACCACCAGTCTTGGTCTGTACCACACCACCACCAGTCTTGGTATGTACCACACCACCACCAGTCTTGGTCTGTACCACACCACCACCAGTCTTGGTCTGTACCACACCACCACCAGTCTTGGTCTGTACCACACCACCACCAGTCTTGGTCTGTACCACACCACCACCAGTCTTGGTCTGTACCACACCACCACCAGTCTTGGTCTGTACCACACCACCACCAGTCTTGGTCTGTACCACACCACCACCAGTCTTGGTCTGTACCACACCACCACCAGTCTTGGTCTGTACCACACCACCACACGCTGCCCAATACCTATGGCGGAATGTTCACTCACAGGACGAGTGACGCTGCGAGATACCGAAATACCATTAATACAAATTTTCCCCATTATTCATGGCTGATTGTATGACAATATTTGATGTGTGTGAGCATGGAGTGTGTGTGTAATGTGCTGTGTACTCACTCAGGAGGGGTGGAGAGAGAGAGGCGTCCCTTGGACCTGGCCGGGTCTCATTACCACTCCTACTGCCCCACCCTCAACCCCGGCTCCCCCTCGACCACTGCTACTGCTCAACCTTAGTGTCGGAGTAGTGAACAAAAGGCGGAAGTTGGCTGTGGACGGGAGGAAGAGGTACACTACCGCCACAGGCAGCAGGAGCCAGCAGGAGCACCCGCATAACCCTCCCCGCCACACGCTACATCATACATCATGGTTATACACGTTAGTCCTCTTTTAATGTTGTTCCCATGATCTGTATGTATGTTTGTGTTTACTGCGTCAGTTTTCCCGCTCTTTTGTGTAAATTTATGCAAATTACGAGGAAAATATTTATCGCGGGCTCTCTTAAGAGTTTTATACTTTTAAAATTATCAGTTCATGGAGTACTGTACTTTCCTTTTTCATTGATTGTTGCAGCCAGTGGCCGCTAGTTTACTGCGCACTCCTCCTTACCCTGGAGCGTAAAAAGCAGGGCAGCCGTTGATTGTAGGGTGGGAACACGAGAGGTAATAGGTATTGCGCACGCCCCAGTCTTGTACATACCCCTTGTACTTGTAGGCCCCTCCTAACCGCTCTGCATACTCCGCCCCCACGCAGGTCGCACACCAAACCTGTGTCAGGTTAGGGTCTGTAAGTTTCATTTCTTTGAACTGTAACCTGGGGCTGGTCCTCTCCCCCAGTTCGGTTGAGATGATCTACCTGCACAGCTGCTCTAACAAGGTGGTCCTTTATAGACTTACCTCGCCTCCAGGCGATCATGGGTGGGTTCTGTGGGAATTTTACCCAGGATGGATGTTCACTGTACGTTTCCCTCATCCATGTCCATACTTCCTGGAGTTTTATCTTAAGCTGTGCTGCAAGGCCGGGGAAGAAAAGGGTGGGAAGAATCCATCTCTTGTCTTCCACTTCTTGTGTTCTAGGCCTGAGTAGCTCTGCCCTTGTTTTTTCTCTGAGTTTCTCCTGGGCCGCATGTATTATTGTCCCTGGGTAGTCTCTGTTCCTAAACATATCCCATAGGTCATCAAGCTGGGGATATAGCGTCTCTTCTTTGCTGTTAATCCTCTTGAGTCTGAGTCCAAATGAGTAGGGTAGCGATTTCTTCAAGGCCAGTGGGTGGCTCGAGTCAAATTTCAGATACGTATGAAGGTTAGTCGGTTTATAGTATGCCTTCGTATACTATATTCCTCATTCCTCACAAGTCGAGACCAGGCTTGACTTGTGAGAGCTTGACCAACAGGCCTCCATATCCACTACAGCCCAGTTGATCCGGCACTTCTTGAAGAAAACTAGCCAGGTGTCTTTTAAATACGTTCATGTTTGTTCCGGCAATATTTCTGATCGTCAGGCCCCTCAGCTGTAGGGGCCTGACAGCTGAATGGACAGCGCTTCGGATTCGTAGTCCTGAGGTTCCGGGTTCGATCCCCGGTGGAGGCGGAAACAAGCCAGCCCGTCCTCCAAACAAAGACCCAAAAGTGATTCCATGCACCCGCCAAACTCCCTGTTTATGAATGAAACAACCCGTCCTCGACTCAAGTCCATTACATCCAGCGGTCGATCCCACAGACGCATTCATAAATTTTTACTGCTGTTCATTCAAAACGGGAATTTTCTCAAATATAAATTAATATTATAATACATTAGCATGTTGTGCATATATGGGCATAGGTTAGGTGTTTAGGTTCTGTTGGCGATTACTTGTATTTGTAGTACGTGGGTGAAGCATTTACAGCGTTGTGGTTCGAACAAAATTCGTTAGTGAAGCACTTGTTCCGGGAGAGTTCGAACGTCAGCAATTGCGAGTCGTGTGTAAACCGTTTTTCATTCATAAACAGCTGGGGGTTTGGCGGGTGCATGGCATCACGTTTGGGTCTTTGTTTGGAGGACGGGCTGGGGCATTGTATGTGATCTTACACGCAGAGCTGCCCAGGACACTGCAGTCGGGTCGTATTGCAACTCTCACAACACACATTGATTTTCTCACTTGTCCCACGCAATAAGGATTTTATTTAACACAATTCTTTTGTTAAAGACAACTGATCAATTAGCTCCTGTTTGCACTTTTCTGCCCTCAGACTGTTCATCTTAGAGTACTCTTACAAATGTCATTTGTTTAGGCTCCTGTTTGAAAGGCCAAGATGTAAGTTCAACATTTGCTATATATTTACTAAAAGTCTGGCAAGAGGAGCGAATTTATCATATTGAATACCAAAGGGACGCCACACCAAATTGATCAATCTCTGGATTATATCTCTAAGACGTTTCTAAGCTATTTAGAGCTAGTAAAGAGGATATAGAAGTCAAAGATGATTAATCTATGTATAGCAATGTTATCAACAATCTTGAGTGCTACAACAATAGCCACCAGTTCTATTTTTAAGGTCAATGAACATTTACTGACTTACATTCCTCTTTTCTGGGTCAAACGAAACTGGGACTTAGAATGGGAATATAACTAGTCACGTGGATGCAGTTACTTGGCTAAGATGTTTGGTGGTATATATTTTGTATTAGGCAATTAGTAATTTCTTAAATATTAGTGATGGAATTAACTCTTAATTCTTAAATTTTTTCATCTTGAAGCGTTATGTTGTGGTGATGAGGTTCAGAGATGGCCCGGGGCCCGCATGTTGACCCCCAGCCTGGCCCACTCCCCCCCCTCTCACGCTGTCTCGCTCCTCTCCTCCCCCACGCTGTCTCGCCCCTCCCCCCCCCACGCTGTCTCCCCCCCCCCCCCCCCACGCTGTCTCGCCCCCCCCCCCCCCCCCCCCCCCACGCTGTCTTGCCCCCCTCCCTCCACCCTACCTATATCCCTTTTACATGCTCTCCCATAGCAGCCTTCATACATGTCCTCCCATTGTGTTCTTGCCCCCAACTCCCACAGCGTCCGTTCACCGCAATATAATATCCTCCCATATCATCCTCTCCTAGCTACCCCTTTATCTCCCCACGCCCCCCCCCCCCAAAGTTAACCATTCTCTCTACCCACCCTGTGTCCCTTCCCCCCCACCCCCCACCCCAACGAAAGAGTGGTGAACGTACCAGAATGACAACATAATGAATAATGTGACGTAACGAGATCACTGGTAGCCTACCGTACAGATATTACTCCAGCCTTTGGGGGAGAGTGACAATTGCTGCATGGTGGCTCTTCTCAACAACTATATATAGTCAGAGCAAGGCGTGGAGTCAGGGTGGAAAGGGGGAGGCTGTAGGTATAATACGAAACCCTCCGTACCAATACAACTTCTTCTCAATTACTAATGTTTTGTTTTTTCGAGAAAACAAAAACAGAGGCTGACATAACCCATGAATATTCCATCCCAGGTGACAGGTAACCCACATAATAACCCTTTGCAAAAATACGATGTCTGACCTGCCCTGACGCTCGCGCCAAAACATCAACTGTTTATGGATGCATGTCCCAAACAGAAACAAATATATGACCACAGGTATTTGTGTGGATATTTTGCTTTACAAGTGTTGCATTATTTTAGGGTATAATGGTTCGTATTAAATACTAAAATCACAACTGTACGACCGAGATTTAGATACAAAATTTTGGATCTCCAAAAAACGTCTGAGGTTCGTAGGAAAAATAGGGGTCAGTTAATCCTTATGAAAACATTTCCTTGATATTATTGGTCCCGACTCTGGCCGGGCCTGTCACGACTTGATAAGTTGGGAGCCATAAATCTTTACATTTTAAAAGTGAATTCCGCTCAACATAGAAAATAAATTAATTTAATAATACCCTGAGTGGTGGAACTAGTGCCTCATTAACTCTTTCCATAATTCCCCATGGCAGCGTGTACACTACTCCCCCAATATAGTGAGCGGGGCCACACACACACAAAAAAAAAAAAAAAAAAAAAAAAAAAAAAAATGTTGCCGTATAAACATAATTTTTAAGTATCTTATTCCGATTGACTTTAGTGTAGGTTCCAAAAGAAGTGAGACTTTAATTAGTGTGTATGTAAGGGTGGGCAGTGAGCCTCCACACTGACGACTGCTGCCCCCTCTGCCAGTACCGTCCCTGGCGCCACAGAACGGGGTGAGAATAGCTTGAGCTACCTCATCCCTTTGTGTGTATTTTACCTCAATAAACTTATTTCAATTTCCCTGGCGCCATACTGCCTACACTCATGCAACACCAACAACTATTTACTACAGTGAAACTATTCATTTGAGTTAGCAGAGAGTTAGCTTGCATCAATTAAAGTTTCGTGTTGGAACTTAAAGAGTAATAACCTGTGTTATGGTGTAGAGCTGACGGGGACGGTAGGAGTGGGGAGGGGGGTAGAGAGGGGGGGTTATGTACCTCACTCGTTAATGGTCTTAATGGTGTAGAAAAATCAATAGTTGCCGGGCAATTTACGGCGAGAACGATGCATTATAAAAACACTTGTTTAAGTTTGTTGTAAAAAGCGGCTTTCAGCGGGCTCCTCTGACCTGGCATTATATTTTAACCCCCCCCCCCCAACCCCCCGTTCCTCCACTTTGCTCTCGTCACCTCACCTCTATTTTTCTCTTACCATTTTCCCTTTACTTCAATCACGCCCCCCTCCCCCTCCCCTTTGCTCTCGCTCCATCTCTACCCCTCCCCTTTGCTCTCGCTCCATCTCTACCCCTTCCTCTCGCCTTACCAACTTGGACTTAAGATTAATAAAACAGGTATAAAAATTCACGTAAACGACAGAAAAAAAGCAAAAACAGCCTTGGAAAAACTGAGATTAAGCCTTAGCACGAACATACAGCTACACTTATATAAGGCTCTAGTCCGGCCGCATTTCAAATACCCTCCAGTACCACTACACACCTTAACGAAAACTAACATGCAAAAGCTACAAGCAGTGCAAAATGAGGCGCTCAGCAGAGCAGCAAAACACCGTCCACCATATGATCAGACAATCCAGAAGCTCCATGAATTGAATATACAGCCACTAAACATCAGACTACAGCACTAAGCCAACAGGGTGTGGAACACCATCGAAATGTTAGAAAACTCAATCCTAGAAAGAATGCTCCAAGGTGAGACTCCCCACTCCCACAGCTGGTGGCCCAAGAAGAGATTCCCCACTCCCACAGCTGGTGGCCCAAGATGAGACGCCCCACTCCTACAGCTGGTGACCCAAGATGAGACGCCCCACTCCTACAGCTGGTGGCCCAAGATGAGACTCCCCACTACCACAGCTGGTGGCCCAAGATGAGACGCCCCACTCCTACAGCTGGTGGCCCAAGATGAGACGCCCCACTCCCACAGCTGGTGGACCATGATGAGACGCCCCACTCCCACAGCTGGTGGCCCAAGATGAGACGCCCCACTCCCACAGCTGGTGGCCCAAGATGAGACTCCCCACTACCACAGCTGGTGACCCAAGATGAGACGCCCCACTCCCACAGCTGGTGGCCCAAGATGAGACTCCCCACTACCACAGCTGGTGGACCAAGATGAGACGCCCCACTCCCACAGCTGGTGGCCCAAGATGAGACGCCCCACTCCCACAGCTGGTGGCCCAAGATGAGACGCCCCACTCCTACAGCTGGTGGCCCAAGATGAGACTCCCCACTCCTACAGCTGGTGGCCCAAGATGAGACTCCCCACTCCTACAGCTGGTGGCCCAAGATGAGACTCCCCACTCCTACAGCTGGTGGCCCAAGATGAGACTCCCCACTACCACAGCTGGTGGCCCAAGATGAGACTCCCCACTCCTACAGCTGGTGGCCCAAGATGAGACTCCCCACTCCTACAGCTGGTGGCCCAAGATGAGACTCCCCACTCCTACAGCTGGTGGCCCAAGATGAGACTCCCCACTCCTACAGCTGGTGGCCCAAGATGAGACTCCCCACTACCACAGCTGGTGGACCAAGAGCCTCAATCTACTCAATGGAGACCAAGTCCCACAATACATAATTCCTAGATGAAATATTAATCAGAAACTCCTCCCCCTCCTTTTAAATAAAAAAATAATAAATAGATGAATAAATAATAATAATAAAATAAAGACCCATAAACAGAACATTCAAACACGTACAAAAGCATCCGAGTGTGTACAGTATATGTGAATGCTACACAGTATTCAACTATAGACACATCCATATATATACTGAAATATATGTGTGAAGAACCTAGTTATTTTTCCCAGTACTTTACAGGGAATGTACATCAGTGATACTGGTCTGTCATTCTGTCTCCTTTCTTGAAAACTGACATACCATAACATTTCAAAACTTACAGATTTCAGAAACGTCTCATTAGGTAATACTGTATTGTATTGTGGAATAGTTAGTAGGTCACATATTATTCACGGTGCCACTTTCAGTGACCACGGCAATGGCTGGTCTGATCCCGCTGCTTTGTTTTCATTAACTTACATCAGGTGCTCCTTTACCTCTCATCATGTCGCTTATTATAGTGTCTACCCATCTACTCCTATCAGGTATCCATTATGGTTCAATCTAAAAATCCTTCAAGAATCTTCTGATGAGCTCTTTGAAATCTTGCTTGACAATTTTTGTTAGGAAATTCCTCTCTATTTTTATCCTGACCACTCGGTCCCTTCACTTCCCTACACTATATGTCCAATAACTCACTCCTGCTCCTTTTCCTCCAGTTTACTCCTGCCGCCACCCTTCTCCCCCTCTAGTTATCTCTTTACTCCCCATCCCCTCACTTTACTCGGACCCCCCCATCCCCTCACTTTACTCGGTCCCCCCATCCCCTCATTTTACTCAGACCCCCCATCCCCTCACTTTACTCGGACCCCCCATCCCCTCACTTTACTCGGACCCCCCATCCCCTCACTTTACTCGGACCCCCCATCCCCTCACTTTACTCGGACCCCCCATCCCCTCACTTTACTCGGACCCCCCATCCCCTCACTTTACTCGGACCCCCCCATCCCTTCACTTTACTCGGTCCCCCCATCCCCTCACTTTACTCAGACCCCCCATCCCCTCACTTTACTCGGACCCCCCATCCCCTCACTTTACTTGGACCCCCCATCCCCTCACTTTTCTCGGACCCCCCATCCCCTCACTTTACTCGGACCCCCCATCCCCTCACTTTTCTCGGACCCCCCATCCCCTCACTTTACTCGAACCCCCCATCCCCTCAATTTACTCGGACTCCCCATCCCCCCCACTATACTTGGATGTTGCCTTCTTTATCAGGCCCTCTACAAAATAACACAAAACATTTTTTTTAATAAGTTTGTTAGGTTTGTTGTTACAGTAGGCAATTTTCAACCTGTATCTCCATTTCTCTCCTGATTCTAGAGTACAGCACTGTACTTGTTTCCTGCCCTTTTCAATACCTTCTATTAATCTCTACACGGTATGTGTATATCTACATATTCATATATCTGAGCTTGAAGATGATGAACTTCAATTCCTTGGGCCCACCTATACATTTTTCCCACCCCTCTGTATGGAGGGGAGTTTGCCTTCACAACTTTACTTCTTATTTCATTCCTAATACTAAGCTGACACTGACAAATAATAATATTCCTGTGACTCCTTTAAGCATTTAGTTTCCACCAATGTCGCTCTTACATAATAATCATGAAAGGGACATGGGTCTTTACTTTGGCAACCACTATCTGTTCACCTTTCGTATAACTGCACTCTGTTGGCTGTCTTCTAGCTTTTTGTTAGTTCTCCTGTTACCAGAAAACTTCATGTGTATCATAATAGAGGATCCACACATATTTTCACCTACCTTTCTTAGTATTCACAGTACTTGTCTGGTTCCCTAGCCATTGTCATGTCTAATTCCTGCAAGTTATTCATTCATCTGCTTTGTTTAACATATTCCCTTTCAATTCAGGTACAGTAATGTTGTTCCTTGCTCTACTGTGAAGAATTAAAAAAATTCTCTATCAAGTTACTCACACATCTTTATTATTTTTGTGAAACATGTCTCTTCCCAGAAAGCCTTTTTTGATATACAATTCTTCTTTGTTTCTTTTCAAACATAAAAAAAATTGCTATCACTTCTCTTATATTTTTATTTGGCAGATGCAAGGTACAGCATGGATGTCAATCATCTGGGTGATGTTCCTTCTTAGCTGCTCATGTGAGCCTACCACCGCCAAAGCATTAGAGGACGACAAGAAGCCGTGGTTGATGCTCCCAGTATTGAATGAGAATATGGGAGAAAGAGGAACAGGATATATAATCAAAAGTCAGGATATAATTCAAGAGAACACTGTTGATGAAATGGGCAGCAATGGGGTAATAGGTAAAGAAGACATAGACGATGTACTAGGACGCTATAAACGAGTATTTCTCAGTCGTGGATGGGGTCCTGGTGGCTATGAAGCTCCCTCACCACCCCCACAGAGATTTGTACGTCGCCCACCTGCATTTCAACCACCAGGCACTAAGATCCAAGAAAATAGACCAACTCCAGGAATAGGTAGGATTAAATTCCACATTTTGAATTTTATTTCGTTAGCATGCATAGCTTCACTGTACATATTTTTCAAAGACAAACTCACATTGCTGTCAGAAATCATTGTCATAATGAAATTTTTAATGTCAAAAGATTGCAGAAAGGTCTTCGACAGTTATGCAGCATTAATTTTCTAGTGTTTTGACAATCTATATGCAAAACTGATCCAATGCTCAGTTTTGCCCTTAATAATAATAATAACTATAATAATTCATTGTCTCGGGGAATAGGCAGCCAGTGTGCATTCGTACACGTTAGGCTTATATCAAGCCTCCCCTCCCCTCCTCCCCCAGCTCAAATTACTGACCCCACCCAGGATGCTTTCCCACAACAAGCTGACTAACTCCTGAGTACCTACTTACTCTAGGTGAATAGGGACATTAAATGATAGGAAAATGCGCCTAAGCATTTCTGTCCTGCCCGGGATTCAAACCCAGAATTCTCGATTGTGAGTCAAGAATGAACCTGACTGTACTACCGGGACCCTAAACTAACCTAACCTAATTTTGATAAAACATAACATCAAACTCTCAGGTTCGGAGGAATGTCCTAGAGGTATTATTCTAATAATTGAGAGACCTGGTCAAATTAATTTTAATATTAATGCTATTTGTGCAATTTGTAAATTATGAGGGCAACTTTTAGGTCTTTGTTTCTTCTTATCAGCTAATTTTTTAAAGACCCTTAACCTGAGCTATGCATAATATAACTTTGATAATCATTACATATTATTATGATACGAGCTGTCTATATGTAAGTGTTTAGCCTTTGAATAGCCACAGTGGCCAGAGGGTGAAGCCTATTTAGCAGTTTTGGCCTAGGACCCAAAAAGTTAGATCTGGCCCTGCCAGTGCACCTGGTAATGGGAGAGGGACCAGGGAGCCACTGAGTCCCCCAGAAAGAGGCATTTCATTACACTCGATCCCTGGTTGCTGGAGGGGGTCAAATGGTGGCTCCCTGTAGATAAGCACAAAGAAAAGTACAACTGGGACTTGCCAGGGAGCATAGTCTCGAGTCTGGAGAGAGTTCCAGGAGTTCTCCTACTCCCCAAGCTCTGCATGCAGCCAAGCTCGATTTGTGATAACTTGGTCCAACAGGCTATTGCTTGGAGGGTGACACTGCAGTGAATGACACTGCAGAAAACCTGAGATAACGAGCCTTCAAATAGGAAACCAAGGAAATGGGATCATCAAAGCATCCTCTGATGTAGTCCGGGTCATGCATGTAGTGATGAACCGCCGCAACTGGTCGCAATAAATGATGCAACCCTGGGAGAACAAACCATTCATCAATAACCAAAGGACACCTCTGGAATCTAACCATCTTGTTCATCAATAGAAAAGAAGAAGGCTGCAAATGAAGAAACTGCTCATTAGAGGCCAAAGGAACAAAACCCTACCACTTTTGGAGGAAAGCATGAAGCTCCCCAACCCAAAACAGCCAGCCAGTTGCAAGGCTTAAATTTAAGAGTGATCTAGCCTGCCATCTTGCCACTAGCCTGACACACAGTGCTGATGCCAGTTAAAGTAGGGCAGCGACCTGCAGTGGGACAGTAGTTCAATTGGTAGTTAGGCAGTGCAACTTCCTCTGGAGCCCATATACATATGTATGCAAAGCACCTTCAAATAGCCATATAGGGGTAATGGAGTTCTTGAAGAATAGATGCCATATGTTTTCTTGCCTGCCTATAAGCTGATCCTAGTAGTAATGTGTGTATCCTTGGAAACAGCACAGTAATGAAGCTCTGAAATATGTAAATTTCTCAAAAGTTCACCTAAAATTTTATATGAGAATTGTTCAATAAATTTCAGGCCTAAGATAATATTCAAGTTAAAAGAAATTACACAAATCTTTGACCAATCCAATGTAGAAGATGGGAGTGTGTACAACTGAAGAGAACAGGACAAAAAGATGACCAGAAAGCATAGGAAAAGACAATTGCAGAATTATAAGATTTTCAGGTGAACTGCACACACAGACACATTATTGAGAAAAACAAAATAAATCTTTTGTCTTTAAAAAAAAACAGCGTTGAATGTAATGAAACGCCATTTTCTGGTATGAGCCCCAGAGGCGCTCTGAAGCTAACGGACTGATATCCGCTATATCAGTCCAGAGCATCAGTTAATTAGAGTTCTTTGCCTACCAGGAACCACGAGCCAGAACCTAGTTCCTTCAGAGAGGCGAAGGGAGCAATGGTGTATGAACACTTCACTTATTGAGAGTATAGTCATGTCTCCTCAATCGGGGTTATCACCCAGAAATGTAGGTGAACCATTACAAATCCCTACTGGTAAAACATTGCAACACAAGACCGAACAGAGCCCAAGAACTCTCCTCCAAGAGGAAACAACAAACAGGCAAATATCCACTCTACCAGCAAGCTCGCTCGTTAGCAACCCTCCCCCCAGAAGAGGAAGGGGGGGCCCCATGCACGCGACCCAAGCCCCTTACACCGGCAGTTCCTTGACTGATATCGTACAGACCAGACATTACTGCTGGCCTCATTCTCCTATCTGGACTCATGCTGCTTGTTCGGTCGGTGACACCTACAATTCAGAGTCATGCAGGATGTGATTCCCGCTCGTCCTCCAACTTACCCATTTTTCTTCAGAGGACATTAGGGGTCAGACGGTGGCTGTGTTGCAATTTAGGTTTTTGTTGTTGCAACACACCCAATTAGTGGCCTGTTTGGGTGCCCCGGAGATGCCCTGTTTTGGATTTATCAACCAGGAATTGGGAGTGTTGGTTGCTTCGACCTTAGTTTTGCCCATTTCCTCGATAACTTCCTGAGTAGGCGTGGTTCGTCCTGCTCCTCCGCCCCTGTTCCTGGCTCCCAAACGTCTGAGGGTTTTGGAGTCGGAATGGGGGTTTAGCTCGGGACAAGACAAGCTCGGGTGGCTTCAGGGGCTGCCCCGTCCGATGCGGGTACATCTGAAGAGGCAGATGAGCCCGATCTCCCCACTGAGACTTCTGGCTCCTCCTGGCAGACCCCATTCTTTGAGGCTTTAACCCTTGGACTTCGCCTTTTCTTTAGGGACGGTGGATGTGGAAGTGGGTTTGGCCCCAAAGCATGGGGTAAGTCATCTTGGGGCTCTTGGGCCCTGTTTGACCTGCCTGGACTTTGGTGCCTTCGGGGAAGGGGTTGTTATTACTGAATACGAGGTTATCATATCCTCCATCCCTGTACGAATTTGATTTGGGGGGGAGGAGGAGCGACTTCCCCCTGGAATCGTTTCTGGGTTCCAATTATCTCAAATTCCAATTATCTTTAATGTCTAAAAGATTCTACCCCATGAAGAATGTTGAATGCCCCTAGGAAATAAAGCTTCAAAGATAATTCAACTCAGATACTCCACAATTTTTTTATATAAAACTCACAAATCATGAGTCATCAAGAGCTCTGATGATCAAGGCTTCCTTTTTCCTTTCAAACATACAAAATAGAGGTGACATGTAGAAAAGTAGTTAGTGCGTTTGACTCAAAACTGACTGGACCCCATGCTCAATTCAAGAGCAGAGCAAGATATTTGGGCACATTTCATTACACCTGATGCCTCTGTTCATCTAGCATTAACTAGGTACCTGAGAATTAGGCAACTGTTATGGGTTGCATCCTGGGAAAGGTCAGTCACAGGCCTAGTAAAACTCTTTATGAGCTTATGTAAAGGCTTCCTTTCCCCAACAGTGAGAAACAAAAATAAGAGGATCCTCAACACACAATTATCTACTTAAGATACTAGCAACCTGCTGGAGAGATATGCAGTTCAATGGTGAACAGATAAAAAGAGAAGGATGATTGCAGTAGTGCTTCCACATACATTGAGAGCTCTAAGGCATAAAACACAAAATTAAACTGAAAATGCTATTGCTTGTAGTTAAAAGTAGGATAGTTTTTACAAAACCCTCGTGTTTAATTGACTGCTTGCATCTCTTTTTGTCTTTCAACTTGTGAAGATGTAAAAGTAAAGCTAAAAAATTTGCTGAAGACTACTTGATATAAACTGGATATGGGACACAATGTCGGTACCAACTCTTTGCACCAAAATATCAATAAACAAAGAAAATTATTAAAATATCAAATGATTCCCATAAGGAAGTAAGCAAGAGGACACAAAGTAATACTGTAACACAATGTGCTCCAGTGAAGAAATTAGCCAAAAAGAAAAACTTTAAGAAGTTTTGACACTGAGAAAATGAGGCACACCAACAAGGGTTACTGAAGTGTGACTATGGCAAACAAAAAAAGGATTACCATAAATGGATTACAAAGCAATCTCTATTTCCCAATAAGTGTGATTTCAAGGGTGTCAAAAGATAACTAATCTTAAGACCGTCTTGAATACTGTACATAATTTAATTGGAGTATGATTTCAGTTCTGCATAAACAGTTTTATTGGTACATTTAAATCAAAGTTTTCCTAATATTTCACTTTACTAAAGTTGTGATGTTGCACGACTAATCTCATGACCATAATTGTCTTTATTTGTTAACAAGTCCACATACCTGTTTCACTATATAGGTTTAACACTGAAAATAATATAATTTTTGCACAAGTGTTACACAATGCACAATTAATACAGTATAATTAAAATATAATTAGTGTATATTTCAACATTAAATAACCTGCAGGTGGTAATGGCGGTGCCCGGTATGCAGCCCTGGTGTCCCCACAACAGCTAGAACAATCCCAGCAGAAACCCCAATATCGTCGGTTTCATTCAATTTTTACTTCAGGAACCTGGAGTCCACTAGGAAAGCGCAGTGATGGTATAAATGAACATATTGCCTTCAAAAATTCTATTGAGAAAAATAAAGGTAACAATGGACAAGGTTGGCTGGGATTCGTTCTCGATGACAAAGGAAACCTGATAGCAAGTGATGATAAGCGAAGTGGAGTCTTTGCCTCTTCCGGGTGGGGAGCCGGAGGGTCGTCTCCACCTTCCAAGCATCCCTGGATACCACATTCAACAAACACCTTGAGTTCACCAATCCTCCCAAGGGTTATAAGCATGACAGCTGATGGAAGTAGCAGTGGTGGGGGCAGGCACAAGGCAAGCTTCCGGAGCAATACACTCCATCAAGATGATAAACCCCTTCTTCACCTTTTTGTTTCCCATGGGTGGGGTCCCATGGGAAGATGAGGTGCTTCATTTCTACACCCACTTGCCATCATATAAATTGTGAACTGCTCAGCAGGCCCTTTGTATGTGACCAAGACAACCAAATAGCTCCAATACTTAATTAGAAGATCCTTCAGCTCCTCAGAATATCATTCAAACCCTGTTTCATGTATGACTTCAACACATTCTTACTCTCACCCTCATACACACACTTCCTTATACTGGAATTGTTCTTACTTCAATTTTAAAAATGCTTAGAAACATCCACCATTTAGTTTATAATAAATGTGCCCCAAATTCCTAATACAGCATGACAAAATATATGTTTGACACTTGCTATTCTTTAGAAATATGAAACAAATGCACCAGCCAATGAATGAGCACTACACTTGACTGAAACACCACCAAGAACTGGTAAAACAGAAAAGATATATGATGATGCAAAACACATCAAATGTTAAAAATAAGTACAGTACCTATGTACAAGATAAACAATGTAAAAGAAAACAACTAACAAACAGTTTCTAACTGTAGCATGAAATATAATAAATATAAACTGCATTGCACAATGAGTTTTCCACATAATATCTTTGATTATGTTATTAACATATCCAACCATGTAGTTAAACAAAACTTACTACCTCACTCACAACCCATGTTCATTGTTGGCCCAAAATATGCAACAGTTGTTCAAGCAGTTTTAAATGTATATGGATGTTATATTGTTGCAGTTTTACAATATCAAAGGATCACTTCAGCAAAATCTTCCCCATAATGCAATTTTAAATAATATCAAAATTTTCTTCCCAAACAGAACAAAGGTCCAAATCACGGTTCATGGATAAAACTTCCTCTATGAAAACACTTAACAAAATAGAATTTAAAACAAAAATTATCTAGGTAGACGTTTTTGACAATTTAAATCTACTATCTGAGGAGAAAGACGGTATACAGAGGTTAAAGCAAATACATTATATAAAAGAAAACTCCAAATAAGGTCAAGGCTTGATCGTGGACAACATTTTGCTCTGAATGATCTTTATCAGGTCATGAAAAATATCCTCCAGAGCAAAACAACTACAATAAAGATTTGATTTACAAGGTCGAACAGCCTCTTTACATTAACATTCTTTACATCCTCTTTTCATTCAACCTCTTTACATTAACCCTAGGATTAAATCAATGAAGAACTGAATCATTTACTTTAAATTAAAATACAAAAAAAGATTATTAGCTTGGAGTGATAAGAGTTGTGAATGAATTTGATATTCAGGTATACAGTACTACATAATCACAGAGTTGTCTTCCCTGAATGGCGCCCCCTCCAATACTCAAAATTGCTGAAAATTGTCAAGTTAGGTCTTACACCCAAATGAAGTCACATATACACTATTGGAGGGAGAATTGTCTCGGTTATCATCATGTTGGAAAGACATTTTTTAATAAAAATTAAAGAAATAATGAATGCATTTTTTAAATAATTAAATAAATGTTAAAGTAGTGACAAATGAATGTTTCAACAAACCTACAAAATACTTCCTGGCATCAGAAAGTAACAAGACAACATTGTTACCAGCGCCACCAGCCACTCGTCAAGGTAATCCAGAACTCGAACCCCTAACAGACACAAACGGGTCATCGCGACCTGGGTAAGGCATGTGAAAACGCGAGATTCCAAAGATTCCAAAGAGTAAATGAGTTCACTGCAAAAGCAGGGATGACGGGGCCTGCTGGTGCGACCCAAAAGCCCCGGCAGGAGGAACAGACTCGAATGCCTTCCCCACCGATCCAGAAGAGGCAGTCACCGATCCAGAGGAGGCAGGGACTCAGAGGTCTCCTCCATCGGATCAATGAGCCCCAATTGGGGGTTTCCAGGGCCCTTAGGCTGACTGCTAAGGGTAGCCCAGCATAGGTACTGCTAACCAGTTATTCTAAAGCTACCAAGCAAACAAACTAAAAGTTGAACCCGTGTGATGTGTGCAATCACAGGGACCTAGGAGAGCCACTAAAATCATACAAGTGGTCCTACAGCCACACCAGGCAGACCCCACCAGGCAAAAGAAAAGAAAAGAAAAGAAAAGAAAAAGAAAAACCCTACAAAAGCATAACATCCCCAGGGAAACAGAACCGGCCGCTATCTGTATATCAGACAGCTGCACAGTACCTTGCACCCCAGCTAGCGATGATACTACCTCCTACCCAAGGTCAAACAGGAGTCAGAACAACTCAGCTGACTCCAAGGGCAGGCAATCACCGAGCAGCAAAAGAACCACACGGAGGTAGATTCCCGAACGGCCTATGGAAGATAACCCTAAACCGCAAGGGCAGTACTTACAGGGCACCGAGGGAAGGTGGCCCTAGGTGCATGCAGCCCCAGTACTCTAGTGTTACTCCTGGCTCGCACACCACCACCACACAGAACAACAACACTGCTATAGACAGCACTGCTCAAAAGGATGGAGCCAGAGTCGATCGATTGGGGAGTTCTGTTTGCTCGTTCGGCTTTCGGTTAGCAATTTTTCACCAGCTGTAGTTTGTTTTTGGGATTCCTACCTTTCTGGGTGCCTGACCTGGTAGATGGCAGATATAGACTGCCTCCAACTACACGGGGGTTTCTATGGGTTCCTCGTGCCTCTGTGAGGGGGCCAGGTTCAGGCTCTGGTTCCCAGTAGGCCTAGAACTTCATCAATTGACTGTTGCCATGGTCTAATACATACACATCACCCTGGTATATCTCCGGGGAGCCGAAGGGGCTCTCCACAGAAAATGCCTGGAACCTATCAGGTATAACATTTGCTTTGACATACTGTACCAAGAGATATGACTGATACCCGGTCAACACAGTTGAAGTCTACTGCAGAAAAAGAAAGATACATAATACAGTAACTTTATAAAATAATTATGTATATACCATCACATAATTCAAGGTAAACTGCCTCGTCTCTCTCTCCTTCATCATTGACAGCCTACTCACGATGCCTACTCCACACCAACATGAACTACAAATTGTCATAAACGTATGTTCTGGAGTTCAAGCCGGGTCCAGACACCCTGTCTAGGTCTAGACACCCTGTCTAGGTCTAGACACCCTGTCTAGGTCTAGACACTCCCCCATCCCTGGCCACCACAATCAGCCCAGCAGGTGCTCTCGTAACCCTGCTGTTGCCTAGTTCCAAGCGACATTGACACAGGAAGTGACGTCACCAACAGGAGGGTATAAATACCCATGACCAGCACAGACAAATCAGACTTTCTCAGGTGTTCCAGAGAAAACATTGCAAGCTGCCACGTTCCTGCTTCTCCGTTGTTTCGTACACTCAGGTTGTGGTTCAAGTGTACATAGTTCATAGGCCCCAAACTGTTCTCACTGTATAAATTGATTAATGTAACTTTCATGTGTTTATTTTGCTATTGTGTAACACAGCCAAGCTCTGTGAGTCAAGTGTTGTTGTAATTCTGTTGTAATTTCTTTTTTTTTATTTTGAAGTAAATTTGTTATATTTTTAACCGAGTTTACTTTAACGCTTGCCCACTTCACACAGTGCAAAGGCCAATGTGGCTATTTTTTTTCATTTTTGAATAAACGTGAGGTATAACATCAGCCAGGTATGACCGCAGTATCGTATCACGTCACAATACTGAGTGGTTTACTGTATATTAATACTATGGACTCAACAAAATTTAACTCTGAAATTATACTGTACATGCATAAAAAATAGAAACATTCAAAATAACCATAAACTCTGCAATAATATTGTACTCACCATTCATCTCCTTCATAGCTCGAATGTAGTCTTGTGGATCGGAAAAACTTATAAAGCCATATCCTTTACTTTTATTTGTGCGTTTATCCCTCACCACTTTCGCTTTCACAAATGATGAGAAATGGCTAAAATAACGAGTGAGCAGTTCATCTGTAACGTCATTTCCAAGATCGCCACAGAATATCCGGAAATCATCTGGAAATAGAAAAAAACCCAGCATTGAATGTAATGAAATGCCTTTTTCTGGGTGAGCCCTGGAGGCTCCCTGGAGCTATCCACCTAATATGTGATACATTAGACCAGGGGATTAGTCAATGGAGTTCAGCCTACTGGGGATCACAAGCCAGAACCTGGCTCCCTCAGAGTAATGAGGGAGCCAATGAGCAGAGCAAACACAGGGAGCAATGGCCCCTGGAAAACCATTGGCAACAAATTGATCAGTGTTACAAAAGACTAGAGAGCAAAAAGCTTCTTGTTTCAGTGCCTCAGTGTCACGATTCAGAGGGCACGAGTCCAACTTCGGAGGATTTCGAAGAGGTGTTTGACTTGCAACAATGATCGAATCTGTCTGTGACATTCATTAACGTATCCCGTTGGTCTATTTTTCATTTTACTTGTAATGGTTGTGTATGTGTTAATGCCACATTTTGTAATCATGTAATCTTATACAATAATGTTCCCCATATATATGACTATATAAGGGGGTGATAGGAGAAGTTAATATGTGCCAGTGAACATGAGAGCCCAACAAGGCTCCCCCAGGTGCTGCATATTGTCTTCTTCGAGGACTGAGGGGTCCCTACAAACAACCATAGGTGGTATCCCCTATATATATATTTATATATTTGTATACAATATATAATCTCATAACACTCACCACTTTCCCACTCATTAAGAGAGTGATCCTCCCATATTTGTCCACCAGCACATCTTAAGTTTTTCTTACTGCGTGCTTTCCCTTCTTTCTTCTTTTCTTCCACAGGTGGAGGATTTTGTCCTTCTTGTCGAGAGATCGTTGTTGTTATCGTGCTGGCTCGAACCTATGAAATTATAAGTGAATGAATTACACAAAATTTATTATGATTATAAACATTATAAATACTATTAGAACCCAGTACAGTACTAGTGTTTCTTCAAAATATCTGCCATCTAACACATTTCATTGTGATATACAGTTAGAGATCACTGCAATATACAAGTTTTGCCAAATGAATAGAAAACCATCATTAAAGGAAATGAAACACTAATTTATGGGTGAGCTCTGGTGACTACCTGAAGCTATCTTGCTGAGATGGCCCCTAACTAAGGAGATAAACCAGAAGTTAAGAGGACAAACAACCCGAGGACAGATAAAGATAAACAACTCTCTTGCACCCAGCACTGCCGGGTGGGTAAATATTAGGCAGATAGGTTAGCTTCATTCTAGATTGTCAAACCCCCACTCCCATCTTGGTACTATATACCGAGAGAGACGGTAGATAATCTCCAGTGATGCAGTAGTCATAGAGAGATTCGCCATCATCATGATTTTCCGCATCAAAGTCCGGTTTCGGGGGGAAACCAGATTCACCGGGCCCCAATTACTGAAGAAAATTGTCGACATCCCGAATGCTGCACCATTGAACATCCGCGACGAAGCCGACGGCGACGCTGTCGTCAATACAATAAATATTATAAAAACATACAACTGGTTTAGATATAAAGTACCTTTTCTGCCATTTCCTGAGCTTGAGTCAGCATTTGAGAAATTTGTGCTGCAGTTGGGGAGTCAGTCTTTGTTTTCTTCTTTTTTGGTTCAACTGTTACTTCTGGAGGTGCAGTGGGTCCTTGCACAGTAATGGTAGAAGGAGCAGCTTCATTTGGTTTATTTTCATTCTTGGCAGCTTGAGCAGAGTAGAGCTTAGGGGCTGAACTGAAAAGAAACATGGTAATAAGTATCAAAATGTCCTAATGAATGATAAGTTCTAAAATTATTATAAATACACCACTTAGTTTCAAACAGAGGGAATGACATGCCAAATACAGAGAGAGAGAGGATCTTACATAAAGAATACCCAATACAACGGTGATAAGTCTAAGCTGATCACAATATTGCAGGGGATACAAAACACTGGGAAAACTGACATAATTAATGATCACCATGGCCAGAAAATTAGTAATGAGACCAAAGTTCAACTAAATAATGACTAAAGAGAGCTGTTTCCCCCGGCCTCGTTAGTTAACTGGGGGGGGGGTGGAATAATGGACTAGAGAGAGCTATTTCCCCCACCCCCAGTTACAATTTTACTGTTTACAATTATTATTATTATTATTATTATTATTGAGAAAATCAGTGGGAGCCAAGAGGAGGATTCCAACCTGCACACGTGGTACTACCAGCCCTCATCCCCATGCCCTGGACCACTACACCCAACATGGTCAAACACAATGCAACCTGGGATTCAACTAAATCCTATAGGGGTCCTGAAGCTTCCTCTGAGGCCACACCCACTCTGGCTGTGGTCCAGTAGTTCTACCTCCAACATTATTCTTCAAATGCACAATGAAATCCCACTAATGTGATGTATCAATGAGAAAATCAGTCACATCAAATACATCACATTAATGTGATTTCCTTGTGCATCATTGTTACTATTATTATTATTATTATTTTCATTATTATTATTATATGTTACTGTACCCTGTTTAGAGTAAGTCAGTCATGAAATGATTCTTCTACATGTACAGTATATCTTTCTTGCTTTTACATACTGCATTAACAAAACATCTTCCTTTAATCTTTTATGCCAATTTCTTAAATAATATAAATTATTTATCTTAATTATTAACATTTTCATAAACTGCCATGCCTAGTGTAAACAAAAATATGAAATCCATGAAAATAAGCTCCGTAAAAAATAACAAATGTTAAGAATCATTTCTAAATCTTATTAATTAATATACCATGTTATTTACAAACAACATTTGGATAAACAAATCCACAAGGGCCGTGACGAGGATTCGAACCTGCGTCCGGGAGCATCCCAGACACTCAGTAGGTCCCTTGTGGATTTGTTCATTTGATGCATCACGTTAGTGTGATCTGTATGTGTAACATTTGGATAACATTTATGCAAGAAATACATACCTGATGACAGTGGGTGGCTTAGAGATGATTGCAGGAATGAAGGGTGGAGGAGGTATATTGCCATGCTGCTGTGACTGTAGCATGCCAGGAGGTGGAGGAGGAGGAGGGTGAGGCCCTCTCAGTGGTCCTGAGCCTGGGGGCCCAAGGCCAGGACCACCAATGTGAGGAGGGCCCTGTGCATGGGGAGGCAGTTGGTTAGGGCCCAGTGGACCATAGCCATGAGTACCTGGCCCCTGTGGACCATGTTGTGATGGGTGTGGAGGGTGCTGTCCTGGCGGACCATGTGGACCCATTCCAGGAGGACCATGACCTGGGGGACCTGGTGGACCATGACCTTGAGGTCCATGGGGATCATGACCAGGTGGTCCGTGTGGTCCTGGTGGTCCATGTGGGCCTGGTGGTCCATGTGGTCCATGTGGACCAGGTGGTCCATGTGGTCCATGATGACCATGTGGTCCATGAGGCCCATGAGGCCCATGTGGTCCATGAGGTCCATGTGGTCCATGAGGACCATGTGGCCCATGTGGCCCGTGTAGCCCATGGGGCCCGTGTAATCCATGTGGACCTGGTGGCCCATGTGGAGGACCATGAGGTGGTCCATAGCCAGGAGGTCCTGGTGGCCCAGGATGTCTTGGTGGCCCAGGAGGTCTCATAAAACCAGGAGGGCCTCCACCCATCATTGGACCCATCTGAGGACCATCACACATCATATCTGAAAAATCACAATGAATAATAAACATAACATGGTGTAAACATTGCCATGTTTTCTGGTAACACAGCACAAATTTATGAATATTAAAGCTTTTAATTTATCATACCTACTCTAAAATAACTACTCATATTTACTGTTAATGGCAATATATGAATCTTTTACAACCGAATTTGGTGCTGTTCTCCGTCATGATTCTGAGAGTTCCATCTACTGCTCCATATTAAATTGTCATCCTGCATCTTCCATTAAAATATATCTTATTTAAATTCTTGCTTAGGTACAGAGCACTGGCAGGATGCCAAGCCAAACGACCCGCCGTAGCCTGGTAAACAAACAGGGAGCCAGGTTCATGTCAAAGAGACAACCCTGAAGAGTTAAGCACGACTTCCCACAACAAGTCGTAACTATTCCCTGAACCCTGTATGAATAAGCATGTGACAGTACACATCCTTGAGTTCCAGGGACACCATCCAAGCCCCTGCCTGCAATAGCAGGCAAACCTGGACCAAAGTGGTCAAGCAAAAGGTTGAGCAGGAGTAGAAGGCATTCAGACCCGAGAGATCAAAGATGTACTGTACCAGAGAGCCGCCGAAAGGTTTATTACTGCTTTGGGACCGGGAACGACTGGAACACTCACCAAAGGGACTAGAATGGCTCAACCATGCCCTAGGCCAACCAATCCGCACAGATCCAATGCTGTGTCAGGGAGGACTCCTAACCCAACAGATTCCCCTTCAAAAATGGGGGAAAGACTGACCACCTCCATGGAACACCTTGGGAAACAACCCAAAAAGCCCATGCCTCACAAAACCACTTTAAGGATACTTGCTTGATGGGGTTCCGATGGGAAAGATGTGGTCCATGATGGCCGATGGACCATCATGGTACAGAGCTTTTTTCAACTACTGGGAGTTCTTCTACTCCCCAAGCCAGGCCCAAGGCCAGACTTGACTTGTGAGAGGTTGGTCCAACAAGCTGTTGCTTTGAGTGGCCCGCAGGCCCACATATCAACCACAACCCAGTTTGTCAGGCACTTCTCAGAGGAAAACTATCTAGTTTTCTCTTGAAGATGTCTATGGTTATTCAAGCAATATTTCTTATACTCGCTGGGAGGATGTTGAACAACTGCGGACCTCTGATGTTTATACAGTGTTCTCTGATTGTGCCTTTGGCACCCCTGCTCTTCACTGGTTCTATTCTGCACTTTCTTCCATATTGTTCACTCCAGTATGTTGTTATTTTACTGTGTAGATTTGGGACCTGGCCCTCCAGTATTTTCCACGTGTATATTATTTTATATCTATTTCGTCTCCTTTCTAGCGAGTACATTTGGAGAGCTTTGAAATGATCCCAATAATTTAAGTGCTTTATCGTGTCTATGTATACCGTATATGTTCTCTGAACTCCCTCTATTTCAGCAATCTCTCCTGCTCTGAAGGGGGAAGTGAGTATTGAGCAGTACTCAAGACGGAACAGCACAAGTGATTTGAATAGTACAACCCTTGTAATGGAATCCCTGGATTTGAAAGTTCTCATAATCCATCATATCATTTTTCTGTCTGACGCAATATTTACTTGGTTATGCTCCCTAAACATTAGGTCATCAGACATAATCCTTCCCAAATCCTTGACATGCTGCTTTCCTACTATGGGCAAATCTGATTGTGCTTTGTACCCTGTCTTATATTTAATATCCTCATTTTTACCATACCTGAGTACATGGAATTTATCACTGTTAAACATCATGTTATTATCTCCTGTCCGGTTCCCAGATATTAATAAAACTTTATTAATATCTGCTTGTAGTTTTTCAATGTCTTCAACAGAGGTAATTTTTCATGCCGATTTTTGTGTCATCTGCAAAGGATGACATGAAGCTGTGACTTGTATTTTTGTCTATATCTGATATGAGAATAAGGAAAAGCAGTGGTGCAAGGACTGTATCCTGAGGTATAGAGCTTTTAACTGCACTTGGACTCAATTTTATATGGCTGACTGTTACTCTTTGTGTTCTGTTCGACAGAAAACTGAGTATCCATCGTTCTACTTTACCATTTATTACCATTGACCTCATTTTGTTTGCTATCACTCCATGATCACATTTATTGAATGCCTTTGCGAAGTTCGTGTATACCACATCTGCATTCTGTTTTTCTTCCAATGCCTCAGTGATTTTGTCCTAGTTGTCAAATAGCTGTGAGAGGCATGATCTTCGAACTCTAAATCCATGTAGGCCTGGTTTGTGAAGGTCATTGGTCTCCATGAAACTGGTGACTTGAATCCTGATAACTCTCTCGAAAACTTTTATTATAAACCCCATTCCAGCCAAAAAACATCCACCACGAAAGACCTGCAATCTGGAAATGTGACTGTAAAAACCAAAAGCTTCTGATTTCACACAGCTACACAGAAGTTCACCCACCAGAAACTGACCATCCACTATGTGGAGATGGGAAAGAAACAATCCATGAGAAAAAACCCACACACCACCTATAAGAACCAAGTGCACAGTGAACTCTTTGGCTCTTTCATCTCCCTCTGGGCTCCATAATTCAGCTCCACTCTTGACTGCTCTCTGGTGGGTCACTGTTCATATCACCAGGAGTTGTTTCAGTCCTTACCATTATGGAGATGGCCATTACTGGATTCTCAGGATTCTACACCTAGTTACTGGTAGGCACTCATGGTTCACAAGAGCCTAGTGGGGTGATTGAGGCTTGGAGCTAAACAGGCAGGTAACTTTATGAGCCACCTAAGGGAGTCCTCCCAGAAAAGAAACTTCTAAACAAAAACAAATCATATTTAAAAAATTGCACATTGTGGTAACCCAGCACTGAAAGAATTGTGCCTTCCAAGAGTTTATGAAATACTGCACAGTAAGCAATGGAAAAATGTTCTCGATATTGGTTTAAGAACTTCACTAGTTTAAGAGGCTAGAGCTAATTTCACTAGCTTCACCTCTCTGTTTAAGAACTTCACTAATTAATTAAAGCAATTAATTCTACAAAAAATATTTGAAGAATTTACTCACTATGGTGCATGTGTTGGCGAGTGAGCTGTGGTGGAATGAAGCCTGGAGGAGGTGGTGGTGGTGGTCTAGGTTGCTGCTGGTGCATCTGGTGCTGTTGGTGATGGTGGTGCATCTGTTGCTGCTGCTGCTGATGTTGCTGCTGCTGCTGTTGTTGCTGCTGCTGCTGTTGTTGTTGCTGCTGCTGATGTTGTTGTTGCTGCTGCTGTTGTTGTTGTTGCTGTTGCTGCTGCTGCTGTTGTTGTTGCTGTTGTTGTTGCTGTTGCTGCTGCTGCTGCTGCTGTTGTTGTTGTTGCTGCTGTTGTGGCGAACTGCTATTTGGTGTACAGTCCCCAGGTAATCGTGGCCCAATGTATCCACCGGGTGGTGCTGGTGGTGGGGGTAATGGCAGAACACCATTGCTTGCATTTGATCCACTGGGTACTGAAGGTGCATTCTGTGTTCTCTGAACCCCAATAGCAACACCAGGGGGACCTGGAGGACCTGAAGGACCTGAAGGACCTGGAAGACCTGGAGGACCTGGAGGACCTGGAAGACCTGGAGGCCCAGTAGGTCCTGCAGGAATAGGCGCACCAGCTGGACCTGGAGGACCAGATAAAGTAGGAATGCCAGGAGGTCCATGAGGACCAGAGGGCCCAGTGCCAGGAGGTTCAGGATGCTGCTGTTGCAAGCGCTGCTGAACCTACAAATATAGAAACTCTATCCATTTAATAATTACTGTAACATAAATTTTGTCTTCATACTGATAACATCAGTATTAACTTTTGTTTAATGAACCTAACACTATGAATATCTACAATTACATATGAAAAAACAAGTGTGGCAACAGTGTACACTGTAGTTAGTAATCTGAAACTTATAAATATATTCTACAACAAAATCTGTATTATATCATTCAAGTTTACAATTACACAGTACAAGGAGGTACTTGGCTGTGCCCGGGTCTCTCCCCTCTGTCATCTCTCATTCCCTAACCCTGCTCTTTCCCATCTCCCACCTCTCCAACTTCCTCCTCCTCTAACACTCTTTCCTACTCCACCCACCCTCCCACTCCACTTTCTCACCCCACTCTCCCTCCACATCTCCCCCTCTCCTAAAGAAAACTCCTGCAATAATTACTGTAATCAGAATGCTTCTCTTTTAATTACTTCTCTGAATGTGTAATGCTGAATGCAGAAATAGAAGCTAGATGTGACCCTGGCTGTTCCAGACAAGTTAATGAGGTGGCTGGCTGATGGGGACCCTGTGTAACCTGGGCTGCAATTTGGTAGTGGTCAGGCATATGTTGGCTAAGATGATGACCCTGTAGCATGTCGTTTGGTTTGCTTTCATCAGGGTTTCCTTTCAAACAGTTGCTCATTTTGATGTACTTATAATTTCCAGTGGATTTTTTCTTGGTTTTGGGTTCATTTCTTATCCCCCAAGCTTCTCTCTCTCCTCACAGAGCTTCTCTCTTCTCTCTCTGATCCTGGTTCCCATCAGGCTCAGATGGGTCTCAAAGTTCTGGCATGAATTCTTAAATAATTGAAAACACAGAGCAAGTATGAGAAGCTGCAGTGTGAGTGTTGTATGGCCATTCTCAAAAAGGGAATACTCATTGCACAAGGACCTGAAGCAGAACCCATAGAAACAGCAACAGATGAGAGAAAAATAGAAGCAATTTTGCAGTGGAAAGGTAATGACTCAAGCAAAGATGTGAGACCAGGTAAACTGATTAGACAGTTTTTCTTTAAATTGCATCAATAATTTTGACAGAGGGCATCAACAGATATAAGAGCAACATTCTTGAGAAGAGGGAAGGGACTTTTGTAGAGCTGAAGTAACTGAACATTAAATATTTTTTTTGACCCACCAAAATAATACACAAAATAGTTCTTTAGATATTGCATGGACATCACACAAAATTATACCCACCATTATTGCCAAATTTGAGTAAACAAATACTGTAGCTTATTAGAAGACTATTACAAAATATGCCACCCAATTTATACCAGAATGCAGAATATAAATATTTGCAGAAGTTAAACTTGCCTGAGTAAAGGTATTGGATCCTATAACAGCCCTTGGAGGTGTTGGAGGAGGCTGCAGATTTGTCACACTACTAATCCCAGGAGGACCTGAGATTTCTGCCTCAAATCTGCACAAGGAAAAATGACATAATTAAACCAATCAAGCACAACTTGCTCTCCAATATTTGTATACAATTCCTAGGTTTTGGGGGGATTTTTTCAAATTTAACTTGAAATATTTCTCAACCAACAGTCTATAAAAAGATAGGCAACTGCCTGAGATATACAGATGTAGATTTAATTACATGTAATTATATGCATTATGCAGTTCATAGCTAAACAATTTAATATCGGTGTAAAATGAAAATGAATTCCCCGTAATTATGAATAAACTATAAAATATACACTTTATATTTTAACCCTTAAACTGAGTAGGGTATACAGTATTCATGTCAGAGCAGGGTCTGTCATGCACAAGAAAAAACGAGCAATGAATGAAATGAAACACCTATTTCTGGGTGAGCCCCTGGTAGTTCCCTGAAACTCTCTCACTGAGATGCCCCCCCCCCAACTACTAGATCACATCAGGGGAAAAGAGTGCAGTTCGGCCTACTGAGGACCAGAGCTAGAACCTGGGCCCCCCTCACATAGGAACATGAAAGGAATTTCTGTGAGTAAGACACGTGAGGGAATTTTGCTTGTGAACTCCAACAGCAGGCAGAAAAGGGGAACAGGAGCCACCTCTTCCCACCTACCCACATGTGGCACACAAGATTCCCCCTCACCACATCACACACACTAAGGAAGGGGAAAAAGTCCAGGAACGTTGTGTCAACCCTATTCTTGACTAGGAAAGTAGTGTGCACCCTATTCTTGACCAGGAAAGTAGTATCTAATCTATTCTTGACCAGAAAAGTAGTGTCTAACCTATTCTTGATCAGGAAAGTAATCTAATCTATCCATGACCGGGCATGTAATGTAGAACTTATTCTTGAGCAGTCAAGTAGTCTAACCAATCCTTGACCAGGAAAATAACGTAAAACTTATTCTTGAGCAGGAAAGTAGAGAGTGTTGGTATGGTCCAGGGTGGAGGTGGCAGGAGAACCTGGCACCCGGTGAGAGGTCTCCACAGAGTCTAAGGAAAGTAAGGTTTCTTACGACTCTTTCCTCATATATCTTCATCACCACTGACCTGCTCATCTCATCATCAAGTTGTCTTCTCTTCTCTGTGTTCGTCGCCATGATGTAAGGCAGCTTAACAAGTAGGTTGTTAAATAAATGAGAGTTAGCTCAATTTCGCCTAAAATCTCTTGACTGTTCTGGGGTTTGTATACATGTGTCAACAAACGTTCTCTCCACAGCTATTTCCACAGCATATTTATGATGATAACATAGACGTGTATATATTTAAAATAATTAATAGCGTATTTTTTACATATTTATGTAAAAATAAATATACTGTAGTAAGTTAGTGTTTAATTATTATTAACATATGGCTAATTTCACAGCAGAATCCAAAGGTATCCAGACTTCGGCCTTCGTAGAAATCCAATCGGATTCCTACTACATTATTTGGTTTGGAAATTGACTTTGTAACCCAAGTATGGTTATTAGTATTTTCATTATAGAATTAGATAATGGCGAGAGGGGTACCTCAAGGGTCCATTTTGGGGCTAACCCTTTTTGTCATATACATCAATGACAGTTTAATTTAGTTCATTTGTTATACACCCCATACCCATCTTGTGGGCGGTAGTGGGAAGGGTTACAGAGGCACATAATGGGCTCAGAGACTGAATCCAACAATTCATTTAGCTAAACAAGTTACAATCTTGATGAGCTAGTTACAAAATTCAATACATATCGTCACATCACAATGGGCTCGAGATCGACCACAAGTACAGTTTCTAAATTAAGCAACTGACATATGTGGAGAGCTAGTGTCACAATTGATATATTTATTCTGCACACCGCCCGCCATCCACAGCCTATTATGTACCTCTGTAACACTTTCCACAGGATGGGTATTTGGTGTATAATAAATAAACTAACCTAAACAAAAAAATTAACTCAAAACACTTGTATACACGCTATATACCTTCTTACAATGATTTTTTGTACTTTCTTACAATGTACTGGTATTTGTATACTTTCTTACAATGTACCTGTAAAATGTTTTAATTTTGTTAGAAATTACCTTCTTAAAATTATATATTAGATTAAGGATCTGCCCGAAACGCTATATGCGTGCTAGTGGCTTTACAAGAATGTAAAACTTCAATTCTCTGTACTCAAATAAACCCAATGTACCTTCTTGTATATAAATAAAAAATAATAATAAAATAGTGGCTTTATAAGAATGGTCCACTGAATCAGCATAACATGTACTTTCACAACCCATTGTACCTTCTTGTATATAAATAAATAATATGTATTTATATTTATTTGTAGATCATTAAATAAATTAAAAATAAATAAAAATAAAAAATCCCATCTCAAGATGGGAAGGATTCTTAGTTGGGACTGAGTGAGCACCGAGCAGCTGTGTGTGTAAACACAGACATGGCCGGCCCCGCGAGATCCATGTCCTCCTTAGCATTAAAAACACCATGGAAAATCAAGCTTCCCTCAAAATTTAAAGGCGGTTCCATAGAGAAGTGGGGTATGTTACGTAATTTTAAAGTTAAAGATCATTGACAGATCTCCTCACGAAAGTGGCGTTTTGGTTTCCCATCCTAATTTTGTATTAGGAGATTCAATCAAGTAAACATCCATGTACTGCTACACTGTTCTTTATGCTGGATTACAGAGTACGGATCAAGAGCTAGCTATCAGCTCTATTTAATAGTTTCATCTCACAGGGTGGTTAGTCATACATGAGAATCTGTTAGAAAATGAGATACGAGTCTTAGTCTACTAGTCTTGCTAGCAAACTGGGTAACGGTTCGTCTAATTACCCAAAGCTACCCAAGTTTACTCAAAGCTACCCAAAGTTTCCTAGCATTACGTAAGTAATGAAGAAATGATATATTTACTCACAATATTATTGGTGTTGAATGTAGAACATGAAAAAACATTTTTACTCCGAAATAATATAAATTTATAAGGAAATTAGACAAAACTAAGTGGCATAAGAGGCCATAGGAAGTCGATGATCCAAGTGACAATGTTGTGGAGCGACTTACGCAAGATGAACATATTATTCAAGATGTATTGTTGCCTAGAGGTTATATTAAGTTATGTTTGGATAGGTTAGGTTTAGTTAGGTTATGTTTGGGTAGGTTGGTTAGGTTAGATAGGTACAGGAGGCTGATATACCACCAAACATCGTCGCTTGGACCGCCGACTTGCTTTGGAGTCACCAGCTTCTTATTTTTGTCTAATTTCGTTATAAAGTGATACTTTTTCAGAGTAAAAATATGTTTTTCATGATCTACATTCAGCACCAACATTATAATAAATGAATATATCATATTTATTCATTACTAACGTAACGCTAGGAAGCTTTGTGTAGCTTCGAGTAAGTTTGGGTAGTTTTGGATAATTAGACGGACCCTTGGGTAGAGTACAAGAATACCTTTAAATATTTGTGAGTGTACAAAGTAGTTACAAAGCTCAAAGCTGCCATAAGGATACAACCCACCTACATGTTTACTTGAATTTACCTCAAAGCTACTATCCCTCTAGTGGCCTCAATGAGAACAGGAAGCTGGCAGCTTGTCAAAGATCTCCCCATTTGCCCTGATGATTTTAACGAGCTGGATTTTGAAATTTATCACTAGATGAACAGAGGTATCAAGTGGAAGGAATCACCGACAAAATGCTTCTTTCCTACCATATTATTAAACCTGGAACCTTTCACCTGTGACCCCCCTTCCCCCCCCCCCTTGGATTATCACTGAGTGACACTGCCAATTGCCACCATCCTCATAGGAAATGATACAACAAAAGTTCAGCAAATTTAAGATTTTGCCAGAATGTGTGTTCAACCATTCAATCTTATTTTTATTACACTAAGAATTTGTGAGTAAACTCTGATATCTATTTTTTGTTTGTATCTTGAGGTCTGATTGTAGTCTTTTCTCTTACAGGTAACTACTGGGCATCAGTTGCTCAAGACTATAAAGAAATGGTTCAAGATGTAATTGTAGACTCACGAAGACAACCACTTAAAGCAGCCACATATTTATCAAGTAAGTCATTTGCGTGACAATAATGTACAAAGTTAAAAATACAAATAAAGAAATTGAGAGCAAAGTTGTTACATGACAGAATTAACTAAATGTTCAATGTTAATAAAGCTTAGGATACAACTTTATGCAAGCAAACTTAAAGGCTGGAGAAGTTAAGAAATATACTGTAGTTGGTTTCACACTAGTGCCTGTACAGGATATCTTTCTCAGCTCCACCATTGCTGCTTCCATATTTAAGGTTCATAGATTAACATGCGCAGGACTGAGCATAGTGACGGGGCACCTTACCTTGTGGTTACCTTGTATGATTCAGAGTATCAACGTCCATGGGACCTGGTCTCTGACCAGTCCTCCTGGTTGTGGTCCAGTCAACCAGGCTGTTGGATATGGCTTCTTGCAGTCTGATGTATGAATCACAGCCTGGTTGATCAGGTATCCTTTGGAGTTGTTTATTGTGTTCTCTCATGAGTTGTTTATTGTGTTCTCTCATTAACACCATGAGGCCAGCGAGGGAGAGGGTAGAAAAGTCTTGGGCCTTTTTTTTATGTTGATTGAGTTCTCTCTCATTGTGCTTATTGCATCTCTGCTTTTCAATGGGGGCAATTTTGTACATCCTGCTATGCCTTCTGGTCTCATGTTATGTTATTTCCATATGCAGATTTGGAACCAGTCCCTCTAATATTTCCAGGTTTAAATTATAATGTATCGCCTACCTGTGCTCTAGAGAATACCGATTTTACAATTTTAATCGGTCACAATAATTTAAATGTTTTATAGAGTAGATTCTAGTAGGTAAGGATCTTTGCACATCTTCCAGGTCAGCATTTTCTCCAGCTTTGAAAGGGCTGTTATTGTGCAACAATATTCCACCCTAGAGAGCACTAGTGTTTTGAAAGGTATCATCATTGGTATAGCATTCCTTGTTTGAAAGATTCTTGGTATCCAACATATCATTTTTCTTGCAGTCTTGCAGTACAAGAATGTAACAACTCTTGTATATATCTCAAAAAAAAAAAAAAGTCATAACAGCTACTTTATTGTGTTCCTCAGAGGTAAGGTCTTCCGACATGATTACTCCCAGAGCCTTCACATTGCTTTTTCATTCTATAGTGTGATTTGACTGCATTTTATATGTAGTTTCCATTTTTGTATTTTTATTTCTGCATAACATTAAACATCATGTTATCTGTGGCCCATTAAAAGATCTGATTTACATTAGATTGGAGGTTTGCTGATTCCTCTACAGGGGTACCTCAGTTTTCATAGTTAATCCGTTCCCAAAGATGGTACGAAAACCAAAACAAATTTTCCCATAAGAAATAATGTAAATTGAATTAATCTGTTTCACACCCCCAAATATATTAATAAAAAAATACATTTTATACAGAATAATACTCTTAGGTACCTTACCTTTATTGAGGACTTGTTGGCGTATGGAGGACAGTGAGGAAGAGGGAATGAGGAGAGGTGTTAGTATTTGGATTGGGAGTCTCTTTCCATTATAACATCAGTGATGACATTTCTGGGGTACTTTCTCTCTCTCTTTCTCTTACGTTTTGCAGGCATACCACTAGGACCTGGTTGTGGCTCGCTGCTTGCTTGTCTTACTAAGAATCTATCTATAGACACTTGTTTTTCCCTATGTTTTAACACTTGTCTGTAGTGAGGCATCACATTGTCTCACTATGAATGATCTCTTGTTTTTCCTTTATCGTCATCCTCACAACTATTTTCTTAGGTTGAACATTACCACTGACTATTTGGTATTTACTAATTAACAACTTATATTCTTCCAAAAAATTCCTTTCATAATACTGTACTATGTGTAGGATTTTGTTTAGTAATGTACTTGTAATGATCAATCTTGTTAAATATTTAAAAATCTATTTATTTCACTATTCCAGTAATAGCTGGATATATATGTGCTGTAAAAACAAATCCAAACAAGATGGATTTTCAAGATACTCTTCAAAAATACATGAATGAATCAGCCATGTTAAGTGACAAGATTAGGAACAAAGAAGTAGATGCTCATTTCAACTATATGGTAGACTGCTACAATCATGGATTGGTGAGAAGGTGAATGTCAGGACACTCTTTATGGCTGTTTTATCTGAATTCTGAGTACTTCAAGTAACTTGACTCTATTATAATCCTTTATATAAATTTTATTGCATTGTTATTGGTATGTATGTCTGCAAGGTGCAAAATTGCACACAGAATAGAAGGATGTGTTATTTACAATTTAAAGTAGAGGTAAAAAAGTCACTGAAATTAAATGAACTGTTTAAATGTTAGCAAATCGATGCATTCGCGATTGGATGAAAGCAGAGATAATTTTATTTTATATGTAGCAGTGCCCCTGACCCAACAGTACATTACATCAACATCCATAGCTTGGCTGTTGGTGCCCTCTGCAAATTACAAATTTGTAGGGTTCTGTTGTAAGCAGCTTAATAATGTAAAAACAAGAAATACTATATCTTGAAATCTTCCATTGTGTGTGTACAAGTATTAGCGAGAGGGAATGGTAATGAGACTATACCAGGTTGTTCTCAATTTCAGCATATATATTTAGACAATACCATTTGTACTAGCTGTTTAAGTTTGTAACTGCAAAAGGATTAGTGACTGTAGTCTTTTTCCCTTCTCATTGTTTTTTGATAAATATGAATATTAGTTGTTTCTCAGCTTTAGCAGATACATGACAGAGTTTTACTAGGTGCCGAGCCATATTGGTGTTGCCTTTTAACACTGGCGGTAAGGCCTGTCTGCTCATTCTTGACTGTAAACATTCTGGGTTCCCAGGGCTGCTGATAGGCCACTCAGTGATGTGAAACTGTTTACAATTAGTACTGTGTGTTTTCCCAAGTTATAACTATAAATTTGGTGTCAAAATGTTTCATCTAATCTCGAGACTAGAGAATTAGCAAAGACAAAAGTGTATTTATTATAAATTGTACATAATAACGACGAATACAGTACATGAATATTTAGATCAAATAATGCATTTTAATCATCAGCATATAAAATTGTTAACAAGCATATTTAAGGAAGTTAGGCTGTATTATCACAATGAGTAAACCAATGATTGATGTAGAATCACAAATATTATTTGTCATTTAAACTATCTTTTTCTCTGATATTAGCCTTCCCTTCATCATTTAATTTTAGTTGTCTATAAATTATTTGCGTTTCCTCTGGTAACTTCAGTATAAGAATTCTTTTATATGTGTACTTGCAGATACTAAAATTGATTTTGCAGTTTAACACAGTCATCATTGTCAAAATTAAAAGTGTACTGAGGATTCTAATGTAAAGTGGTTTTGCATCTACTGTATTTCCATCAAATCTGTTTATTTATGTACACTTTCTCCATTTCAGATTAAGCCTAGGATTTTGCTCCCTCCTCTGGGTGGACAGAGGAGGGAATTAAAAGTGTACTGAGGATTCTAATGTAAAGTAGTTTTGCATCTACTGTATTTCCATCACATCTGTTTATTTATGTACACTTTCTCCATTTCAGATTAAGCCTAGGATTTTGCTCCCTCCTCTGGGTGGACAACTATTCTAAGGTTTGTGGGGTGTTCAAGAGTCAGTGTGAATATCTCACCCCACAATATTTGACTTTTCATGAGCGAATAATGGATGTGGGCTTCTTTGGTACCTGGTGGGGTATTGATGCAAAAATGAAGGAATTTGATATTAATCCTGAAGAGTGGGTAGAATGTGATACAAAAGGTTAAACATTTGTTTATCTTTATTATGTAGTTTTACAGTACAGTACTGAGATTGATAATGTTAGGCGACTTGCTTGGTAAATGTTAAAATTAATGTAGTTTTGAATATTTAATGCCATTACCTTATACGTGGCAATAAGTTGCTGGGTTTTATAGATTATACCCAGCAACTGGCCCTCACTGTTCTGGCCTCTACTAAGATTGATATAAAAAAAAAAAAAAAAACCCTGCAAAGTTATCCTAAGGTTGTAAAAGGTGCAATCTGATAGGATTGTAGATGTTTTGGGTGATCAGTCATGCTCTACTGATACTGTAGTAAACTACTTTACATTGTGTAATTTCTTCAGCGTACAAAGTTGTATAGATGTGTTTGTATAGTGTTCTGTAATAATGAAAATCTTGTTAATTTGACAGATTTAAATAGATGAATAAACCTTTGGAATTGTATTACAGTATATTCAGATTCTTATTTTTCCTTGTACAATATTAAACAACTAATCACTTGATAAGCCAAAATATTATGTTAAGAAAATCTACAAGACTAAAGTAAAAATTATATTTCCAACATTACTAATAAACTGTTCAGAACGTTGATCTCTTAAAACGGCAATAATTAAAATTGCCAATGCATCCTTCTGAAACCTATTGTCCTTTTCTAAATATTCAGTTAAGATGACAAGCTCTTATTAATATCAATTGCAGGAGGACAAACACAGGAGACATTACTGCTGAATATTCAAGCTGAGAGGGTTCCATTAATTTTCTACACAAAAGAAATTTAAAAGTAAACCCAAGTGTTAGCACAGAAAAACTCCATAGAGCTCTTAAAGCTGCAGGCTTTAAAACGCCATCCAAGTACATTCGAATAAGAACTATGACACAGAAGTAGGTGTTGAGTGCGTCGGCAATGAACATAGGTGATAATACGACCCACCAGCTCACTGTGGGCATAACTCCTTCAACTCTAAGGACCACCAGTACTAGTGTCACTAGTAGTGCTGTGAGCCAGACAAACACCTGAAAGTAAGGATTAATCATAAAGGCTTGCATTTATAATAAACAAAGAAACGATTTAACATTAACGCCTCTCGTCTTACATTCAATAGTACATTCCTCCGATAGACCATTCTTTTTTTATGGGATAACTTTAAGCTCTAAGCAGTAACTGGGTAGGCATTCATTGTAGTTCTTTCATTTTATCTCTAGTCTTTTTATCTATAACATTTGTTTTTAATTCGTTAATTGTAAAAATTTGTTTTGAAGTTGGAACATTAACTATTTACCTGATACCTTGTCCTCTCTGGAAAATTCTTAAACATCAGAACTTTATCTTACTATACTATATCTGTTAAGCATACATAACATACAATACTTTTAAATCAATATTTCTTACCTCTAATATAGTTACTCCAAGCCACAGGGTTAACTCGCGCAGACTGAAAAACATCCTTGCTTATATAATGTCTCGTATCAAGAAATGATAATGTTTACCGATTCAGGGTCCAAAGCATCTTCACAAGTATTGTACTGAACAGTAGTATGTTACCTATTTCTCATACCCAAAAATATTTTCACTTTTATTTTCAACATCTTTATGTAAAAAGCTTTAAGTAGAAAACATTTTAATAATTTAGCCTTATTTAATTCCTGAATACATTACAAAACTGCTCTTCATCGACATAAACTGTGGACAATACATTCACTTGAATTTTTATATTTATCAAAACTTTATATAATTTCAGAAAGAGAATTACCATGCAAAACTGGTAACCACCAGGTAACAAAGTACTGTATTGACAATACGGTATTTAATACAAACTAGCTTCCTTTCACCAATCTGTTTGGATCTTTTGTGGTACAATTTTCTTTACCATTACTTTGCTGAAGGGAAATTTTGATGTGCACTGCTGCACAACCCTTAGAGTGGTAATTATGGTCTACTCCATCCAGCGAGGGTTCTATATCATCTGGGGAAGAATAAGATAACATAATAAATATCCATGAGCATCTACATGAAGCAATAAATATTAATTTAGTTAATAAACACATATTTCTCTAAGATATAACATTAATATCTGCACTGTGCACATGTTAAATGTGACATTTCCACTCTGGAAATACCAACACCCAATCTAGAGACCAAGAAGGCTCAGGGGAAGCAGGAACCGACCAGAGGTGAAAGCAAGGTGGAGACAACTTGCGAAATGAAGGAAGTATCAATGCCAAACACCAATAAAAGCGACTCCACCAAAGCTGCACATTAGGCATGAGGTGCCGATCAACAAACTAGGACAAAAAGGAAAAACCTAAGAAACCGACTCAAGAAACATGAAAGGAGAGCAATGAAAATTCATACTGTCACCCTTGACAAAAGACACACGTGGGACACAAACAAATCAGCCATCTGTGCACCATATAAATGGTGGTAAACCTGTATCAGAAATTCTAGACGTGAAGATGGAGGCGAAGGTTAAACCAGGAAGTTATGTCACCAGACCAATCTGCTGAAAGTGGCGAACTTGCAGAAAAATGCCCGGGTTCGGACACCGGGCTAAAAGATCCGGAAACCAGGGCTTCCTTTTAGGTGTTAAAAGAGCACCTAAGGAAAGGAGGCCTAAGACATATGCAGTCCCAAGCACAAATAATGCTAATTTTACTAAAAATGTGGCTTGAAAACACACTGAAAGCAAAACACTAAAACGGAATAATATGCTAACAAAAAGGCTCTCACATGATGGAGTCCTAAACATGACCAGCACTTATCTTGGAGAAGCAGCAACACTTGGATAACTGACAGCTAGTGAAGGTAAGATTTTAACCCTTACACATCAGCAATAAGATTGTATGTGGGACGCTGGCTTAATTGCCATGCTCCCGCTTGGTGGCTGGGTGCATGCATGATGGAATGGGTATTTTGTACCGTTTTGAATGAACACTTCATTTTTGAAGAATTTTTTTGTGCATCTGTTGGCTGTTTCAGTGCTTCGTTTCATGAACCAAGCAATTGTTTGTATTGTTTTGTCTGCTGTCTAGGCGAGGGTGATTGCAACAATCCCCGTGCACTCTGTGCCTCTTCAAGGGGGGCCTGTTTCTGGCTCTGGTCTCCAGTAGGCCAACAAGACTTCTATGACCAGTGTGCCTAATTATTGGGTAACTATATCAGCGATAAAGCTTCTGGGAGCCACTAAGGGCTTTCCTTTGAAAACAAATTCAATCATCGTAGCTTTAATAAAGTCTGTTGAAATTTAAATTGTCAGATAATAATCGGGAACACTAAAAGAAATTGAGAGACACTGGAAAAAATAGATTTAATAAATCAGTGATCCAAGATGATCCATTGTGTACTCAACATTAGGAATGTCATATACAAGTTTTAAAATCATCGAGTGATGTCACTGAAAATCATTAATTTAAAGAAAAAAGAGGATAAGTGGATACTGCCAAATATAAAACAATTTGATGTTGCATGTCAATACTTACTCTTTCTCACTACCTGCAGGCAAGAAGTATTTGGTTAATCAGTGGTATATTTTTAGGAAATTGCTTTGTTTGTAAACTATTTAAACCTACTGATTTATATAATTTACATATTAAAGTGCAATGTGGAGATCTATCAGAGGAAGAAGTCAGTATAAGGTACTTAAATGGTGCCATTAACAGATAAAAATCAGAAATCACACGAACAATAGGATACAGTAAACCATGTGGCAGGCCCTGTCCTACCTAGCAAAGAACTCAAGCTCAGTATCAAAGTAGTAACTAAAATTTATGAAAATAGTAAACAGTAGCAACATGGACATTATCCTAAATCAAGTTTTCATAAATCCTCTATATTTTAATTCTCATCTATGCTGTTATTAATGACTATATTAGGAGTGCCCTGATATTTTCTCTTTGTATCTGCATTATGACTAGAAATAGAAACCAACACTACCAATGAAATATTTCTCAATTCTGTAGTGATACAATTTGACAAATTACCATTCAAGGGTATTTTCTCCTGCCCCTTCCCCCACTAATTAGCACAGTTTGTCTGCAATACTAATATAGTAGAGCCAAGTGCCAATAATATTTAACTGATAGAATTAGATTCTAGAATATCATTATTACTATGTATTTCTTCTTTTCTCAGGCTCTCATTAGTATTTTATCTCATTGAACAGGTTAAATGTACCTTTATAGTCTATGCAAATTAGCTTGTAAAATTGCTGTTCAAAAGCTGTAAAGGTACAGTATTGAATTTCTTTATGTTGAAAATGATTTGTATAAATGTACTGTACAATACTACAATAATACAGTACACATCTTACATTCCACATTTTTCAACAGTTAAGCAATAAGGCAAACCTGATCTCTATTTACACCTTAACCTTAAAAATCTCTATTCCATATAAGCAGCAACATGGGTCATCAGTGAAAGTGAATACAGTGCAGTACTTTACAACTTGCATATTCTCTTAAAAGAAATATTTAACAGCTAGACTTTTTGGTTCATTTGTGACAAAAGTATATCCTCTTCATGTAAATAAATAAATTGTATATATTTTTAAAACTTAACCATTGAGATATACTGAAGATGTATTGGTATGGAGTGTAGTGGGAGTACGAACAGCAGCTTGCAGAGTGAGAGCCAGATTAATGGCATAGGGCACAGCTGATCCAAGACCATGAACTACCACCCAGCCTGACTCATTTAGCAAGCTCATACCACGCACCTCTTGTCCCTGGAAAAAATACAACAAAATATAGTACTGTACAAGCATTACAGGTACCTGTATAACAAAATTAATTATCAGTGATAGTTCTCGAGAATCTAAATATAATCATGAACTTGATCAGTGACAAATAATGTTGCTAAATATGTATAGTACTAATATTGGCAGCACATACTTTGTGTGGCATTGGATAACACAGTTTTACATGCATGTACATGTAAATGTAAATGTAATTTACATGTAAATGTACTGCATTGGATAACACAGTTGAACAGTTTTACAGTTCCAGTGTAACTTTTCATGTACAAACAATATAATAATAAGCAATTCATTGTTTTGGGGGACAGGCAGGCAGTGTGCTTATATATGTTAGGCTTATACAGTATCAAGGTCCACCCCAAAGTCGAATTACTAAACCTCCCCAGGATGTAACCCAACAACAAACTAATTCCCTCCTGGGTACATATTTACAGCCAAGTGAACATGGGCATTACCACTACTGACAGTCTACATCGCACCCACCGGTGGGGTTAGTGTTGTTGCAAGCAGTTGCAGTCGCAGTAGTAGTTAAAGAGCCCTCACACAGATTCTGAGAGATTATTTTAGCATTGAAGTAAAATACACATATCTTACCTTAATGTTGGAGTTACTATTCACATATATATCATTAGGCCGCTTAGGCAAATGGCGAGGCAGCCTCCGCCGCAACCACTGCTCTTCTGGATCAATGAAGCTGAAGCTACTGTTGACCGGAGGTGCAGCTTCTCTTGCCTCTGTGGCCATCACATGATCACTCCAGTTCCTCTGCAGATTATTATAAAAGTCAAGGCACTTACATATAAAAAAAAAATGTACAGTACTTTACCCATGGAACTGCCTACCCAACAAAACCATAAATGCCAAAACACTGCTCTACAGTACTGTAACATGAAATTCAACTCGATAGAATCCTCTGGAGCAATGGGGGAGACCTTTGGAAAGTCACTGGCTTCGTGTCCTCGTCAGGCCACTAGCTTTTAGATTTCATAAGGATCTGCGAGTTGGTACAAGAATTCAACCAACTCCGAACCACTTAGTTTGATGAAAGGGAGCAGTAGAACAACAGAAATACACTTACATCGCATCAGACTTGGATACCCTGTCACTAGCGAGATGGTGGCCCTTGGGAAAATTAGGATTATCGGAGTCCCCCTAGCCCATCTACCAATGACCTTCCCCACCATGAAACCCACAACAATTGCCTACACACAGAAATCACAATTGCGTGATGCATCAAATGAACAAATAACGCTACGACCATGTTGTACCTCAGTCGATTAAGGCAGCTTCTGGGATGCTCTTGTACGCAGGTTTGAATCCTCGTCACAGCCCTTGTGGATTTGTTCAACAGTTGCCTAACTCCTAAATACCTATTTATTGCTAGGTGGACAGAGGCATCAGGTTAAATTAAGACTGCTCAAGTGTCCATATCCTGGTGCAAAAATTTAACATGAGGTTAGCTTAGTTGTGAAGTGACTATGCTGACCATTGCTGCATCAAACCCTTGGGTTCCACATACTGTTTACAGCTGTACTGGGAGCTAATCAGATATTCCTTACAATAATAAACGTCTATATCTGTGAGTATTAGATGTCATCACTGATGACATCAGTCACTTATATTCTACTACTGTAACAGACGTATCCACAGTTGTTTGGTTAGACTTGGGTTCAATTTTTACAAATCTCAAAAAAATACTGAGAAAGCACAGAGCATTTTACAATATGGGGTTTATAAAACGCAACACAAAAACGTATCACAGAAATGACCTCGACTCTTCTCTGGGCAGAGAACGCCCACACAAACCCCAAGAGTAACTTATACAATTATTCCTAAAAATACAAAGCTTCATCACACCACTAGTAAGTTAATTTCCGTTTTAGTATTCAAACTAATATAAAATTGCTCATGTATACTCTGTATCCTCCATATTTCACATAAGCAAGTGTTTACCTTTGGACAAGTTTGACAACCGACCGAGACACGGTCTTCACCGGAGCGAACTGTTCTGACAATTGTTTTCTACACCGAACGAAAGCGTGACTACCTCAGCTAGCAATTTGAGTCAGAAAGCTCTATTATAAAGAATTGTGATATCTTTATAACTGAACATCTTATGGACGGACAGTGTAAAACATTCATCAGACAGTGTGACATTGTAATTGATTTAGATATGACTAATGGCAGGTAATTTCACTCTAATACTAGTACAAGCTAGTAACTTCCATTCGCCTCTCGCGTTTTCTCCATATTCCATGTATGATTATCTGCTGTGAGATGGGATACTATTTTATCGCATAGCTAAATCTTCACATACTATGCATAAGTTAGAGAGAAATATATATGTAGTAGATATAATAAAACAAAAATAGATTGATTAGAAAAGCCAAGAGCTAATAGCTCGATCCTACAGACACAAGTAGTAAATATTTATGCTTTGTAATCCCGGTTTAATTTCATGAGCTCGGACACAAACCTATAGCTATGATCTTTTAAATTAAAGATGGGTTGATTGATGAAGATTAAGCCACCCAAAAGGTGGCACGGGCATGAATAGCCCTAAGTGGTGGCCCTTTTGAGCCATTACCAGTATCAAGAGCTGATACTGGAGATCTGTGGAGGTGCGACTGCACCCTGCATGACGGGAGATGTCTCCCGTGTTAAATTAAAACCTTAAGTACTCACTTAAGTTCAATCATATGAGTACTCACTACTCATTTTACTTAGGTAAGATATCTGAGCTAGGACTCCCACAAAGATTTACGGCTACGCTCTGCAGCTTTATAGACAACAGAACTGCTATGCTTAATATTGGTAGATACTTGGGGTGACATAATAGAACTGAAAAGTGGAGTACCACAAGGAAGCTGCCTCTCTCCCACTCTATTCAACATATATACAGCTGACCTGCCCCAATCCCAATATGGAGAATACATCACATACGCTGACGATGTCACCCCAATAATATGCCAAGGACTATCAAAGCCGATGCTAGCCAACAAGACCAAGGCAGCAATTGAATTCATAAATAACTTTAAGAGGCAAAGGAAAATAAACACAAATAAACAAAAGTTCCCTATAATATACATTGCAAAAAGAAACCCAGACCCCATTATCCTTCACAACCACTCGATCCAATATGCGGATGTAGGTAAAATACTGGGACTCATGTGATCAATAGAACAGGGGATAAAAATTCACGTAAAGGACAGACTAAATAAAGCAAAAGTAGCATTAGGAAAACTGAGGAGATTCCGAAGCCTCAGTACAAACATACAGCTGCACTTATACATAAGTGCATCACTCCATGCAAATTAAAGGACCCGGTAAATGGAACTCACTCCCTAATGAATAAAAAAATCCAACTTACACTTTATTTAAAAATAGAACCAAAAATGGCTGTGATGCGTCGAAGGGCGCATCGTGCGCAAAATTCCATGCAACTAGGAGTTGCAAATATTGTATTATTAATATTTAAAAGTAATACAATTTTATATCGCCTATGGTGTTTGTTTCACCCGCACGTCCAAAAAGTATTGATTTCATTCTCATAATTTCCCATCTCGTGCTACTAACTCACACTTTATCTTGTGTTTAACACACCAAATTTAGCACTTATGACGTGCAATTTCATCAGTATAATCTATTACTTTAAAATATAGTTATTATGCGAAATTCAAATTCTGTTACAATGTACCTATTATTACGTTCATTGCTAGCTTAAGCTAGGACATACCGGAAGCGCTATATGCGTGTTAGTGGCTTTGCAAGAATGTAACATTCACCAATGTATCTACTCTCACAACCCAATGTAATTTCTCGTATAAATAGGAACAGCAATAAAAAAAAGCTAACCAAACCCTTGGGATAATCAATCTTACCTTTGACTTTAAGGAAAAGAAGGTAGTTATTCAACTGTATCTTTGGTGGCATTTGGATTATGCGTTTTGAAGGGAAACCAGAGTCTAAAACAACTGAATCTAAATCTAAAGAGCTGGATTTAAAACTACAACAACAACAACCCACTTGGAATATTGTATCCTAGAACCACTTGAGCTGGACAGTAGAGCGACGGTCTCACTTCATGCAGGGCGGCGTTCAATCCCCGACCGTCTAAGTGGTTGGGCACCATTCCTTCCCTCCGCCCCATCCCAAATACTTATCCTTACTTCTTCCAAGTGCTATATAGTCGCAATGGCTTAACGCCTTCCTAAAATAATTCCATCCTGTTGTTGTTGTTGCACCTGGCACAGGAGCGGGGCTGTAATATATTGTATCCAAGCATGTAGACCTCATCATCAGAAAGACATTAATGTAGGACAAAAAACAGGAGATGCTTTTACACCAATAAGGTTATAAACCCATGGAACTGCCTACCCGCCGAAGCTGTAACTGCTAAAACACGTTGAGTTTTAAAATCCAGCTTGAAAAAGTCATAAGGACAAATGGGGAGATATTTTAACAAACTTCCTGTCCTTGTTGAGGCCATTACATTACATTAAAACAGTCTCCGTGGTGTAGTGGTAAGACACTCGCCTGGCGTTCCGCGAGCGCTATGTCATGGGTTCGTATCTGGCCGGGGAGGATTTACTGGGCGCAATTCCTTAACTGTAGCCTCTGTTTAACGCAACAGTAAAATGTGTACTTGGATGAAAAAACGATTCTTCGCGGCAGGGGATCGTATTCCAGGGACCTGCCCGAAACGCTACGCGTACTAGTGGCTATACAAGAATGTAACAACTCTTGTATATATCTCAATCTCAATAAATTAGAGAAATAGTGACTCTCGGGTTAATTCGGATAAATTTCCGTGAAGGAGGACCCTTTACTTTCTTTGTTTTAACCATTGTTTTATCCATTCTAGTAATCTACTCTTTTTTTCCATGTGCTTGTACTTTCCTTGCCAGTTTTTCATGTGGTACCTTATCAAAAGCTTTCCCAAAGTCCATATACTGTATACTACGCCTCCTGGAAGTCCGTTGTCTGAATAGCTGGTTACAGTTTCCAGAAATGTGAGCAAATTTGTAAGGCAGGATCTATTGTTCACAAAACTATATGTTGCGTTAATTGTATTAGATTGTACACTGGGAGATGGGGAATAAGTTATTATTTAGTCAAAGTTAATATATTTTTGTATTGAGGCAGGTATTTTCTCCCCTGATTCCATTTATGACTAACCATCCTGTAAGATTTGAATACGGTATTAGATGAACTTATAGCTAGTTTTATCTACACTGTGTAATCTTTCATATAGACTAAGGAAGATTACTGGGTAAACCTTAGGTTGTGAATAAAAAAAGTGAATAATTCCCTCCTTTAGGATTCTCTTAATGAGCTTACAGATTTATTTTTATAAGTAAGCTACATTATTGTTATTATGATCATTATTATAATTATTTTTATTATAATAATAATATTATTATTAGGTGGATAAATGAAGCGGGAACACTTGCGCAGTGCGCGAGGCAGTTGTGTGAGGAGTGTGTTGTGGAGAGCAGCCGCTCCGGCCTCTCCTTTACCCACCATACGCCGCCATGGGTGAGTACTGCGGGATGGCTCTCATATATCTCCACGTTTGCCCGTCATCCGTCAACCATGTGATCTTTGTGTGTGCTAACGTTACGTCGAGATATACGGCAGCGGTGACAAAACAATTGTAAGCGTTTATAGATTGGAAATAATAGAAGAAATGTTTCTGTAAAGTAGTGTGGCTGCTCCTCTTGACATGAATTTATTTTGCCGGTTTTAATCTTGTATTTAGCAATATTTTGGTGCATTAAGTGTTTAATGCAGACGTTAGCTTTAAGGTATTACTATTAATCTTTGAATTGAGGGAATTTGGTGGAAGGTATTTTGCAAAACCTCGGTATTGATACATGTTACGAACTCTTGTTGTCTGGCCCAAAACGGCATGAAACGACAATGTGCCTGAGACTTGCCAGGGTGGGCGCGTGGGTGTACTGTTTATTTATTTATTTATTTATTTAATATACAAGACGGTACAGTGGGTTAGAATACATAGCATAGTATTTACAATCTTGTAAAGCCACTAGTACGCGCAGCGTTTCGGGCAGGTGAACTGTTACTAGACTTATTTCGGACTGTTATTAGAGCAGTGTGTGTGTAGGTGCTGTACCCTGGACAGAGGTTTTAGAGCAGAGGTCTCTCTAGATTTAAAACTTCGACTCGCAGCATAAAACCAATTTCTCTAAAGTATTTGATACGTTAAAAGGGAGGTAGTTTCTATACTTTATGTAGGCCCCCATGGTCGCTGGGCCCAATTTATTACCACAGTTTCGAAAATTTGTAAACAAACTAAATATTCATCACTTTCATGGGTTAACGTTTTAAAAATATTTATTTGTATTTGCTGAAGTTGCATTTATATATGAATTGAATAAGTGCAATAATTAATGTCCTGCAAGTTTTCAATAAAGGTAAAAAAAGGCCTAGAAAGGCTCCTGGGGATGTAAAATTTGGAAAATGGATTAGTTATGGCAGTTAAAGGTACTCTTTAACCCAATGACATTGAAGTTTTTATATATATAGTGCACATTGTCGTGCCTCGAGTTTTTTTTTTTTATTCTTGCGGCCACAACTGTGTGATGATTCTGTGAATGGGTATTCTCAAGGGCGAGTCTAACCTGGCCTTCTGGTTGGGGATCCGGTCAACCAGGATCATGTCTTGAATCATTTAAATAATACACACTGTAGTTTTGTTTCTGGTACCCATGTGCTGTGAGTGCCAACATTTTATATTGTATCCCATGAACTGGTTTTTACGCATTAAATACTTGAAAAAAATTAGGCACGGTTTTTGCACCCTACTACTATCTCGGATAACTGTGCTGGAGATTGTTCACAATGTATTGCAAAAGTCTTATCAATTGCATACAGGTGTGAAGCTTATTGCATCATGTGGATGTAAATAGTTAGTCAAATGATGACTAATTTAATGGATAGAACTAGGTCAAAGCATTGCGATCTCCCATCCAAAGTACAGTATACATTAAATATCTACACAATACTGATATTTGATTTTTCAGAATCGTGCAACTACAGTATGTGATTCGGCTGTAAAGTAGGTTTGCTTTATTGCATATTACATTATATATACGACAATGTAACCAATTGTTTCTTAATTTTATGGTACAAATGCAGTTAAGCATGAATGTTATTAGTGGAATGCAATCATTTGAATTTATTGTCTGGGTCTTGCATGTATGAAGCAAATACGGATATAAAAGCTGTGGATATAATTAAAGAAAAACTAGTGATAAAAGCATCTATGAAACTGAATAAATCTGGAAGCAATAGAGCACCAGGCATTGAGAAGTCAGAGACGCTGACTTAGAGCGCCTATACCCAGTGAAACTAAATATTCACCTATTTCCGTATTTTTCTTATCTACATACAGAATAATTAAAAAAAATTGTTGTACTTAGGTGGGGATGACCATTTTTCCATAGCTGTTTAATAGTTAAGAATAATGCTAATAGGAAAGTTATTTTTTATTAAATTGTGTAAAGCAATGGATAAACCAATATGGCTATTATATTTTGATGGTGCTTAATGTGTTTTTCTGTTTTAGGTATCTCACGTGACCATTGGCATAAGAGGCGAGCTACAGGAGGCAAGCGTCTCCAACCTCGCAAAAAGAGGAAGTTTGAGCTTGGTCGTCCTGCAGCCAACACAAAGGTATGGCAATTATAAATGGTATGAACAGACATTATAAATGTCTGTTCCAGCCACAAGCTGGAACAAACATTTAACTTATATTTTTATTACTCGCTAAAGTTTTTATTGGCTGCTTGATAATCTAAATATGAAAAAAAAATCACTTTTATTGGTAATGTACAAATATTAACATTGAATATATTTGAGTTTTTATTCAGTCTCCATAACCCGAATTCCCATTCAGCGTATTCCCTGTGCTGCACCCGTTTATACTAGACAATGCTCTACAGCATGGGAAAATGTGTTTACTATTTGTCTGCAGAAGTGAGCTATTAACTTGTGGATGCTGCCTTTCTAACCAATATTTTCCCTCTTTATTATATCTACTACATATATTTCTAACTCATGCGGGTGCACACATTCCTAGGAAGAAGCCTATAGCAGCTGTCTATCAGGTACCTGTTTACTGCTAGGTGAACAGACCCATCAGGGTGAAGGAAATCCTGCCCATTTGTTTCCGCCTCCACTGGGAATCAAACCCGGGTCCTTAGGACTACAACCCCCGAGCACTGTCCACTCAGCTGTGAGGCCCCCGTGTGTTCCTGATAACTGAAAAATTAATTTGTGACTGGCCATGGTGAAGCTAGGATCTTGTGATGTCACAATTCACGAGTGTTAGTAGTGTTGTCACCCTGAGCCAGGCATACGTAATTTTCTAAATAGTGTCATTGAAATTTTTATGTGGAACACTGGAATTCTCAAATATATTCATATTGTTAAGATGCGCACCAAATTATATTCTTAGAAAAATTATTTATACTGTACACACTTTATGTAATGATCTACAGAGCTTCGTTTTCATGCACCATTGTGAATGAATAAGCAGTTCTAGTGTGTAATAATCACATAACCAGTCATGAGTTCAATCTAGCCCCCACATGGTTTGCATGAGGCTGTAATTACATGCCTTGAATATATTCATGTTTTTATTGGTTTTACCCTTTTCAAGTGCATTGATATACTTGTGAAATGAGCCCTATAAATCACAGGGAGAGTATTCCTGACACCCTTAAATGCTGTCAAGGGTGTTAAATACTAACATTTTGCTAACAGCATTTAACAAATACTATTAAATGCCCTTGGATTTTCACTTGCCTATAACGAATCATTTTAATTTGTGCTCACCAGCTACATTTGCACAAACAAGCAGAGAACCATTCTTTATTTATAGATAGGAGCTGCTTCGTGTAGGCCAAGAGGCCTTCTGCAGTTGCCTTTTTTCTTATGTTCTTATTTACCTTAAACCCAGTTGAACACTTTCATCCTTATGAGAACATGTATAACTGTCTAACATACACCAGTACAAGTTTGTTTTATCATTTTAAATTGCAGGAGATAAAGAATCGTCCTGCACGATCTCAAATTTTGACTTGTTCCTCTTCACCTTTTGTATCGGCAGATTGTTTTTCACCTCGTAATTCCACAGGCCTAGTACCATGACGAATCATGGCCATCCATCACTGTACTCACATTTATTGGTGCAAATGCTTAACAAGTTAATTAAGTGTGTTTCATTGTTAAGCTGTGGGCATGAGCTGCATGGCAGTGCTGTTACTTCATGCATACTTGTGATTGTTCTTAGTCCCAAGACCCTCTCGTCCAGAAGGGGTGCCCACAACCTCCCCCTGCCCTCTAGATGGCATCTGTTCAATGGAGGCCTAAGTAAGATTAGTCTCGTATTCTAGCAAGAGTTTTAAGTCTTGGCCAATACATTTCCCCAACTGATTTGTGCAGTTTATCAATAACTAGCTAGATCAACCTCAGGATTGATGCACATTGGAAGGGGGTTAGAAGGTATAAAAGGTGATCTTCGTCGTGAATTTGAATTATTTGGGTTATCGGAATTAGAGATCCTACAGTAATCTGATTTTACTGTTTCCCATGCTATAGGTGTTTTAGTGTATGTATTGACAAGGTTTTTTTATGCATAGTTATTTTAAATAACATGAGACTATATTATGTAAGATTTGGATTTTTTCATTTTGCAATGATAGGCAGGCATAGAGGTATAGCAAAGTAGTAAGATATACTATAACAAGTGGATTAGAGGATAATTGTAGGGAAGAATGCTTCTGATAATGAGTAAGTAGGTGGTGGCAAGATTGCAGCATTGTTTTGCTTTATAAGTGACAGCATGTACCAGACTATTTTAAATTTCTATGATTAATTTAATTATAGTACTGTTTAAAGTTTTGCTGTATTTGGTATAATTTGTTCCTTTTAAATTTTTCAATCTTGGTAGAAAAAACTTTTGGTTAGGACCAGTTTTGCCGATAAATCTTTCTTCACCTTCAAGCTGTCTTGTATCCTGGATCTCGAGTAATTAATCTTTTTTTTTGGGGGGGGGGCAGATGAAGGAATTAGCCAATTTTCATTTTGCAGTGATAAGGCAGGCACAGAGGTATCGCAAAGGAGTTTGTAAATAAATGGTTGCAGATGCATGTTGGTCTGTTTCATAGCCATTGCACCTTAAGGCACTTAAGGCATGGATGGTGCACATTTTTTTTTAATTTGACAGTATTTTAGTGTAAAGTTTTTTGCCGCATTAAAATTGTTGAAGTTGACTATTTTGTCAATTTAATTTTTAAAACTCTTCGGGTAATGTTAATTCTTTAACAAACGACAGCCCCATCAATTTGTCACATGAAACAGGTGTGCAATGCAGGGGTTAAATGACTGTTCATTTATATTGTATTTTGCATAAATTCAAATGCTTTCTTCATAAACAAAAAATTTAATCCTGAATAATAAATGGTTTGATGCAAATACAGTAGTACTTTTCATGATGAATCAACTTTCCTCGTAGGTTACCGATGAAGACAATATCACGGTACAATTTCTGATCCTGTATATTTAATTATATTAAGTGGCTTTGTTTTTTTTTCCATTTTATGCTAATTCTGCATTTTCTTGTAGCTCGCGCCTCAAAGGATCCATACTGTGCGGACTCGAGGGGGCAACAAGAAATACCGGGCTCTGCGACTAGATACTGGCAACTTTGCATGGGGCTCAGAAGGTGTGTAGCTTTTAAGCGCCATGTTTTATATTGAATGGTTCAAGCATGATAAGTTGATGTTCTGTTTGTTGATAAATGGGACAGTCATTCCTTCCTTGCAGTTGCTAAGTGGAATACTGTAAAATGTCAGTTTTTGGATTGGTTTGTGGTTCATATGTAGTTTGTTCAGGTCAGATGATTTGTAGAAAGGTTTTCTTGTTAAAGAATTGTATACAATTAACTATGCATTACAATTGGCCTCCATTATATGGTTGGGGGATTTGGCTAGTCCAAATCATTTTCAAAAATTCTCGCCAAAGATCAAAATTACCCTGAATATTTTATGTAAGTATGGACAAATTGTGGATATTATAGTTTTTTGGGTGTGAGTGGTGACCATAGCATGCTGTTCCTTTTGAATTCTGGTGATCCCAAGCAGCCTATACTCATCCTGTCCCCTATCCAGACCATTTTGTCTGCCAATTTGGGTGAGGCTAGCCCCTAAATGTCTGGCCTCCAACTTTGGATAAACCAGCCTTTATCTCTTATATTATAGATTATAACCATATATACATTGTGTAAGAACTGGACAACTTAAAGAAAATACCTAGCAGATAAACATACGATGATAATTATAACCCATGATGGCCAGGAATGTTCTCGCTAAGCTGCATGACATTGCCAATCTGTCAGTTTCATAATTGCACGCCTTTCAATTTCACTCATAGGTGTGAGGGCCCAAGTTTTGAGAAAATGCAGAATAGGACCAGTGAAGAGCAGGGGTACCATAAGCACTCAAAAACACTGTAAACAGAGGTCCACCTTTAAAATACCAAATACCACCTTTAAATGATGTTGAACATCATCTCAGCATTTAGAAAACTAGATAACCTTAAAGTGGCAGACCAACTGGGCTGTGGCGGGTATGTGGGCTTGTGGGCCACTCAAAGCAACAGCCTAGTGGACCAAGCACTCAAAAGTAAAGCCTGGCCTTGGGCCAGGCAGAACAACTCTAGGAACCCAATCAAGCAATTAATGGTCTTATTGTATAGTAATGGTTGTAGTTGTTGGTAAATTCATTTTCAGTATGCTTTCTTAATGAAAATTTGTTCTACAGGCCAGACACGCAAGACTCGTATTGTTGACGTAGTGTACAATGCCAGTAATAATGAACTTGTAAGGACCAAAACTCTTGTGAAGAATGCCATTGTTGTTATTGATGCAGCACCCTTCAGACAGTGGTATGAAGCTCATTATGCACTTCCTCTTGGACGCAAGAAGACTACTAAACTGGTAATTATGGAAGATTTACACTGCCAGATTTTTGCCCATTAGTTTTGTTCATAATGCAATCCATCAGTTGCCAACATTGATTGGCTTTCATATAAGTATATACAGCTTAATAAGTTCAGCGTCTTCCCAATTAATGTACTATTTGTCTTGTGTATAGAACTTTCTGGTGTTTTTTTATGCTAAATATCAATTATTTTGTTAAGGTAAAAAAGTTTTCTAGTAATTTAATTTACCAGTGGGAATTTAAATTTGGATAGTACTCCAGTTCCTGGATGGGGTACTGGGAATTCTACTCCCAAGCCTGGTCTGGGCCAAGGCTTTGCTTAAGAGAGCTTGGTCTAATAGGCTGTTGCTTGGAGCAGCCCACATTTCCACTACAGCCTGGTTGAAGTGACAATTCTTGCCAAAAACTCAGTTTTTCTTGACTTCCACTTGTTCTGGCAATATTTTTTGTACCTGTTGGGAGGAAGAACTGTGGGCCTCTGATGTTCATAGTGTTTTCTGATTGTGCCTATGGTATCTACTCTTCAGTGGCTTTATACTGCATTTCCTACCATGTCGTCCACTCCAGCATGTTGTTTTACTATGCAAATTCATGTCCTTTGTAGATATTACATTTATCTTTTTCAAGCTGATGATTTGCTTGGTTATGCCCACTAAATGTTAGGTTGTCGGACATTTCCAGATCCTTTACATGTTGCTTTCCTGCTGTGGGCAGAGTTCTTTTCTACCCTGTATAATTTTTTTTTTTTTTTTTTTTTTTTTTTTTTTTTAAACCATGCTCAGAATGTTGGCTGTATTCAGCTACTTGCAAGTAGATTGGTTGTCTTCTAGTACACCTTTTGTGTAGAGTTGTAAACATGTGGATTAAATTGTAGGAAAAATATCTTCAAAGCTGGAGATGTAGTCCTCGGATTGGTTAACGCAAATAGATTGCTGCTAAATGTTCAGTTCCTGAACCAATCGGACTACACGTTTTAGGATTATCCGACAAAGTTTTTAAATTTCTTGTAATTACAAACTTTCTTAAACTATAGTCAGATGTCCTTGTACTAAACTCATTTTCTTACTAGTACAAATTTTACCTGTGTAGTTTTACCGACTTATCAGATGAAGTTTTTCCCAATGTTACATGATGAAAACAACTTAACTAGATGGTTTATGTAGTCAAATGACTGCAGCCATCATTGATGTTATGTCATAGTTACTCTGACACTTTCTAATGTTTAATTTTGAAATAAGCTTTGTTTGTATTGTTGAAGCTTTTATCAATCTGTTAACAGACTGATGCTGAAGAGGCTGTCCTTAACAAGAAAAGGTCAAAGAAAACTGAAAAGAAGTACAAGGAACGTCAGCGTACTGCCAAAGTTGAAGGACCTCTCGAAGACCAGTTCATGACTGGCCGTGTTCTTGGTAAGATGAGATGAAGCATGGTTTGCAATTTCTCATGCCAGTGCATCATAACTAAGTTTTATTAATGTTTAAGTATTAGTTGATGTAGTTCTGATAGCTTGATGCATCTCCCTGCAAAATAGCCATTTGGAGTTTAGCGCCTGATATTCTCATTAATTGTAGCATTTACCTAGTCTGACAAAGCTTTTATGATATTTATTATTTTGGTATTTATTTCTTTTATCTTGTAGTACTTTTAAATAATTTTAATTTAAATAGTTGTTTGGGCCTGGCTCCTATGCTGATACAAAATAGGGAAAGAGGCAAAAAATTTCATTTAAATACAAACTATCAATTCTTAAGAATAAAATCTTCTCATGCAGCATGAAAAATTAATGGGTGCACTGTTGGTTAATATGAAGTTTGGTACAGGTGCATTATAATATTTTATTATACCAGTACTTCAACCTTACTTTTTTAACCAGATTTAAGTATCCCAGTAGTGAATACAGTACATTGAACCCCTATGCTGACAATTTTTTTTTTACACGGAGTATCCACTGAAAGTAGAAATGCAGCTATAAAAAACTTTAAGCTCTTGTCATGCACAACTTTAAATGGTGTTTACTTTTGTAAATCTTTTAAATTGCTTTTTTCTTTGGTAATTTTTTTTTTGTATAATTACCATGGGTTTTAGAGCTGGGTCTTGTACATGACTATGTAACCACCATATTCCCACAATTTTCTCAACTGAACATATAGGGGGAATGTTAAAATAATAATTTTGCAGTGTGCAATGGAAATTTGTTCTTAATGTGATGATAAAACTATCACTAGACCATTTATGCTTCGTCGTTATGACTGGCATGGTCAATGGAGTGATTTGTCATAGTTACTCTGATTTCAGTAGAGAATTTGACAATATAATGTTCTGTATATGACAATTTGAATAATTGTGTGTAATATTTTCAGCTTGTATTGCATCACGTCCTGGCCAGTGTGGCCGTGCAGATGGCTACATTTTAGAGGGAAAAGAACTTGAATTCTACCTGAGGAAGATAAAGAGCAAGAAGAGCAAATAAATAAAGTGCTGATGTAACTAATATTTAATTGTCCTAATTTTACTTTTAAGAAGTTTATATATAGCATGGCTATAATTAACTAGTCACTAATATGGTTCTTAGGTTTAAGACTAGGCAATATTTGGAGTGATATGGCATGTACCTTCAGGCACATGTGAGGGAAGACTGGATGGCTCGGGGTCAGTGTGACTAAACTGGATCAGTCTGCTCGGGGCAACCCATACTAGGTACATCAAAAATTATTTGGTGAAATGTACCAGTGAGTACTGTTGAATCACGGAAAGTGCAAGATTTGCTGAATTATCTTAAATGGCATATTAAACTTGAACCTTGACAGGATCTGGGGTTGATATTTACACTTTGTAGCAGATAACGTGGTGCCCTAATTTTTTTTTTTAATACACTATCCTTTGGTGGTCTAAATTCAATATTGGCAGGTTTTTTAAGTTTTGCTGGATTCCCAGCCACGTTGGTGTTTCCTTACATTGGCGTGCGGACGTTGCTGCTAAGGATACTATCGCACTTTTCATATTTCCTGCAAAGGCGTTCTTTATTAAAATTTCTGCCGTCGCCAATCTGTGGCAGGGTCCTATGGCTTATATTGCTGGGAACAAACTGCCTGTTTATTTTTCCTTACCTCTTTAGTGATAGCGCCCTGTGATTATTCAGCACATTTGATGGTGCTACATAGCCTAGCCGGCTTGGTGCCTTTTGATAATTTGTCTTCCCAGTAGCCAGCGGCGGGGAAAAAGAGAGCTTACGTTTTGCTGTAAGGTTTTTAGTAGTTGTCATTAAATGAGGGTACAAACGCTGCTACTAAGACTGCGTTTGTCCCATTTCTCGTCAAGGTGTTCCTAGAGACGCTATAAATTACGATGAACATGGATCGAGATGTATACGATTGCATTACATTCAACTAAGCAGGAGATCGAATTAGCCTCCCCCTCCAAAAAAAAAAAAAATTACCCAAGGAAAAGGAAAGGAAAATCTGAAATTATTCTGTATATACAAAGTGACGCCAAAACAGCACTGTATGACCCCTAAAAGAGTAGACTAACCTAGTTATATTTAAATCCTACCTCTACCAAATACTCAAAGATCAATACACTGTGATCAATCATTCTCAAGGGTGCTTGCAACTAAACTTCCCTTGTATCCCACTCATTTAGTGTAAATATCAGATCAAGCATGGCTGGTTCATCTTTCCCTCTTTCTTGTCGGGGCCCTTGATGTGTTGGCTTAAAAAGTTTCTTGTTGCCGCGTCCAGCAGCTTGGCTCTCCATGTATCTGGTCCTCGTTGTTGGTCTCTGTTCTCCCAATCTATCTTCCCGTGGTTGAAGCCCCTTATGAATAGTAGTCCAGATCCATTCCTGCTAGCGAGAGAAGCTGCTCTCACTATGTTAATGGTGGCCATGTTGTTTCTATCGTATTCCTGTCTGGGTCTTATGTCATTTGGTGGTGGGTTATATATGACTACGACTATAATTTTTTGTCCACCAGTTGCTATGGTACCTGTTATGTAGTCACTGAAACCTTCACAGCCCTTAATAACAATCTCAAAACCCCAGCCTTTTCTTACCAGCAGAGCTACACCATCTCTAGCCCCTTTAGTATTTCATTCACTGCCGCTCTGTCCTTATCGTTCCATTCTCTCCTATTGGAGACATCCAGCTTTTTAATACTCACAACTACCACTGATCGTTTTCTTTCCATCAGCTGATTAGTGGACCTTACTAGTGTATTTACCAGCGTATTTAACAGTGTATTTAACAGCGTGTTTATTAAGATATTAAATAAGGTAGGACTGAGGACACCTCCCTGTGAGGTGCCTAGTTCGAAGTCTCTTGTTAGATTCGTATGCCCCTGGAAAAATACAGATGGGTAAGTCATCCCTGATCCAACAAAGAAGCTGACCACCAATATTCATTCTCGCAAGGTCACTCAAGATAGCAGTCCCCGTGGCGCAGTGGTAAGACGCTCGCTTGGCGTTTCGCGAGTGCTTTGTATCCCTGGGTTCGTATTCTGGCCAGGGAGGATTGACTGGGCGCAAATCCTTAACTGTAGCCTCTGTTTAATCCAACAGTAAAATGGGTACCTGCTAGTGGCTGTACAAGAATGTAAGAACTCCTGTATAGACATAAAAAATATAATACAAAATGAGCTATACTGGAAACACTTTATAGATAAAAAAAGACAGACTATATGTCCCAAAAAATTGGAACCCTGAGTAAACGTCATCTTATCTAACCCAAACCGCCCGGACAGCCATACAAAGAAAACGTAACATCAGCGAGAAACGACAGCAGCAATCAGCTGACGCCATCAACAACACACGTCCAGACGGTCCAGCCATCGCCTAATCACATGTAAGCTGTGCCTCCACCCCGTGCTGACTGCCACATCCCTCTACTAATTGGAATATATCCGTATCTACAGGAGTACAACAATGTTTATGAGCTGCGACTCGTCATTCCGCTAACTTGCATTTCTCTGTTAACGGAAAATACTCTTATCGTCTCCAAATTTGGCCATGAAGTGTAACTCTACAGTCATCGGCATGTACCGCAAAGAAGTCTAACTATAACACAACAACATTTAATTAAGTCTTGCCAAATCATAACACTGTGACGCGTCTCCCAACATTACCACTCGTGCAGTCAACGGGAGAAAACTACGCAAACTGCACATAAAGAAGATATTAATAAGTAAAGTGGTAAAAGTAAGTACTGTATTATTGTTAAATCATTCCAGTGAAAATAGTTTAGTAAAGCTAAATAGTTCTGTAGGTCACTAAACGACTTTAGATGAAAAATAATTCTAAGAATGTCGTCCCAGTCCATAGCATTGCTTGTGGTGCAGTGGTAAAGCACTTGCCCGGCGCTTTGGCCTGGGTTCGTATCCTGGCCTTGGAAGATAGTGAACACCTCGAACATTGTGTAAGAGAGACTTAAATGTGTGTATTTGTGTGTGTGATTAGAGTAGTATTTTAAAAGCACTACAACCACTTTCTGTGGTTGATGGTTCAAATATATTTCTGAACTATATATATAACAGATCTTTAACCTTGTCCATGGAGGACAGAATAAAATGTACATATATGATAGTTAACACTGTAAATGTATGGTAGACAAAAAACATTAGCATATGAAGAATACTGTAATAATTAAATTCTTCTTCATAGTCAACTGCTATTGGTTTTTATCAACAAAAGTTAATGTATGTACTTTATGGTTCACTAAAGTCAACATCCTTAAATAAAGTTGCAATGAACAAGGAAAGTAGTAGAAAACTCTAGAAAATAGCTTCTGCAGAGTCATTAAGATAACCAGCATCTAAGCAGTACACCTCAGAAACCCATTCCAATAATAAATAAACACAAAGAACTGTGAAAATAAAAATGCCTCTGTACTTGTGTACTGTATACAGTACCTTTTATATTAGATTATTTTATTATGTCTTAATATTTCTAAGTTGGGAATTATTCTTATGTATTCTTGACAAAGACAATTTTATTTTTAATGTTAAGATGATAAGGTAGGTAATGATGATGCATCTATTATTCTCCTCTGATTTGTATTTTCAGTCTGAGCATTGATCATGTGGGTGTCAAATGTAAGGTTAGCAGCTGATGCTTACCTTGTGTGTCTTCATCATGCCCTCACCACAGAGAAGGAGGAAGTGCTAGGGCTCTTGGTTGGAGAGTTTAGTGAGGTAATGTCTTCTTAATTTTAAGGTTTATGAAAGTCATAACTGTGTGTGTGTGTGTGTGTGTGTAATTACCTAAGTGTAGTTACAGGATGAGAGCTACACTCGTGGTGTCCTGTCTCCCCGACACTATTTGTCAATAACACTTTGAAATTACTGACGGTTTTGGCCTCCACCCTCTCACCTAACTTGTTCTAACCGTCTGTCACTCTGTTTACAAAAGCAAACTTTCTAATATTTTTTCAGCACCTTTGTGTATGAGAGAGTAGATGAGATACCGTGAGGAGATGCGGGGATAAGTATTGAAACTAGATCATAAAGTGCTGACTTTTTTTTGTAAGATCTTGTTGGGGCCTGAGTTTACTTTTGCATAGCCTATTTCCCAATCTAATGTAGGTACAATGAGTGCATAGTCCAAACTGTCATAAAAATTATTACTTCATTCTATTATGCATTTCTAGTTTGCTGCTACCTAAGTGTAATTTCCTAAGTGTGATTACAGGAGGAGAGTTCTACTTGTGGTGTCCCATCTTCCCAGTACTCTTATCATATAATGCTTTGAAACTACAATACTGATAGTTTTGGCCTGCACCACCACCTCACTTAACTTATTCCAACTGTACTCACCTAATTGTGCTTGCGGGGGTTGAGCTCCGGCTCTTTGGTCCCGCCTCTCAACCGTCAATCAACTGGTGTACAGATTCCTGAGCCTATTGGGCTCTATCATATCTACATTTGAAACTGTGTATGGAGTCAGCCTCCACCACATCACTTCCTAATGCATTCCATTTACTGACTACTCTGACACTGAAAAAGTTCTTTCTAACGTCTCTGTGGCTCATTTGGGTACTCAGCTTCCACCTGTGTCCCCTTGTTCGCGTCCCACCAGTGTTGAATAGTTCATCCTTGTTTACCCGGTCGATTCCCCTGAGGATTTTGTAGGTTGTGATCATGTCCCCCCTTACTCTTCTGTCTTCCAGTGTCGTGAGGTGCATTTCCCGCAGCCTTTCCTCATAACTCATGCCTCTTAGTTCTGGGACTAGTCTAGTAGCATACCTTTGGACTTTTTCCAGCTTCGTCTTGTGCTTGACAAGGTACGGGTTCCATGCTGGGGCCGCATACTCCAGGATTGGTCTTACATATGTGGTGTACAAGATTCTGAATGATTCCTTACACAGGTTCCTGAACGCCGTTCTGATGTTAGCCAGCCTCGCATATGCCGCAGACGTTATTCTCTTTATGTGGGCTTCAGGAGACAGGTTTGGTGTGATATCAACTCCTAGATCTTTCTCTTTGTCTGTTTCATTAAGTACTTCATCTCCTATTCTGTATCCTGTGCCTGGCCTCCTGTTTCCACTGCCTAGTTTCATTACTTTGCATTTACTCGGGTTGAACTTCAACAGCCATTTGTTGGACCATTCACTCAGTCTATCCAGGTCATCTTGTAGCCTCCTACTATCATCCTCTGTTTCAATCCTCCTCATAATTTTTGTATCGTCGGCAAACATTGAGAGGAACGAATCTATACCCTCTGGGAGATCATTTACATATACCAGAAACAGTATAGGTCCAAGGACTGACCCCTGCGGGACTCCACTTGTGACGTCTCGCCAATCTGAGACCTCACCCCTCACACAGACTCGTTGTCTCCTGTTGCTTAGGTATTCCTCTATCCACCGGAGTACCTTCCCTCTCACTCCAGCCTGCATCTCCAACTTTCGCACTAGCCTCTTGTGTGGCACTGTATCAAAGGCTTTCTGACAATCCAAAAATATGCAGTCTGCCCACCCTTCTCTTTCTTGCCTTATTTTTGTTGCCTGGTCATAGAATTCAAGTAACCCTGTGAGGCAGGACCTGCCATCCCTGAACCCATGTTGATGCTGTGTTACAAAGTTCCTTCGCTCCAGATGCTCCACTAGTTTTTTTGTCTACCACTCTTTGTGAAAATGAATTTTCTTATATATCTTCGGCAGCTTTGTTTAGTTAGCTTAAATCTGTGACCTCTTGTTCTTGAAGTTCCAGGTCTCGGGAACTCTTCCCTATAAATTTTGTCGATTCCCGTTACTATTTTGTACGTAATGATCATGTTGTCTATTTTCCTTCTACAGTATCTTCTAGTTATGACATATATAATGCCTCTAACCTTTCATAGCTCTTGTCTTTCAGTTCCAGAAGCCATTTAGTTGTCTTTCAGTTCTGGAAGCCATTTAGTTGCATGTCTTTGCACCTTTTCCAGTTTGTTGATGTGTTTGTGAATATATAGGCACTATACAAACACTGCATATTCCAACTTTGGTCTCACAAAGGTCGTGAACAATTTCTTTAGTATTTCACCATAAAAGCAATTCTGAAACTGGAAAGTGTAGCATAAGCTTCTCGCACAATGTTTTTTATGTACTTTTCCTCATCCTCATAGCAGACATAGACCAGGATTCAAGCCATAGTACTGTTTCATCCTTTTCAGATGACAGTAGAATTTTCATGAGAGTAGACAGAGTAGCGCAGTGTTCAACATTTTTACACCTGTGGACTCTGTGAAAATAGGAGAAATATTTCGTGAACTGGCTGATGGCCAAGACAGAAATAAAAAGGAATGTAGATAGTACAGTATTTTATTTATTAAATCTAATGTAATAACATTTATATGTTTAGTTAGTGCAACATTTGCTGTTGCTTTGTTAGAAAGTTTGATATTTTTGCTACAACATTGTTTCTGAGAGACAAAGAGCTGCATAAACATCCATTCGATTTCTGTGTTTGGTTTTGTTACTGACATGACCGAAAAAGTCTCTTCACACAAATAGGAAGTAAAAAACATGACCAACAATTTGATAGCTTTATAACTCAGAAATAGATTCTGTATTCTATTTTGAGTGCTATCCAAAATTGTGACCGATTACATTTCATGTTTGGTCACCAGTGTAACATCAGAAGACAACTTGATCAGCTTTTCTTTTTTTTTCACATTGATCATGTACATATAATTTGTCACCACTCCCTGTGCCTCTTTGAGGGGGGGCCAGGTTGTGGTGCTGGTTCCTAGTAGGCCTATAGAACTCTGTGGCTGATGCACCCTAAATAGTTGGTACATTATCAGTGATAATAACTTCAGGGAGCTACAAAGCTCGCCCAGAAATTGGTGATTCATTATGTTCAATGATGTTTTTCTCCATTTGGATCTGAGCAGGTGACTTACTGTACTCCTTTGCTGCAGAAAAGACAATATTCTGCTGTGAATTATTTCAAATGAGGAAGTAGGCATCAGATCAATCATTAGACAATTAAACATATAAGGAAGGACTTATAAAATTTGTGATTAAGCTTGTTTTAATTAATACATGCTTGTATTTTTTCTTCAACAGGGCACAGAAGTTGTATGTGACATTCACTCTGCTGTAACACTTAGAAGATCTGATAAACGGAAGGACAGGGTAGAAATTTCACCTGAAATGCTCATTGAGGTAACCTTCTTATTGTTTGCGGGTCAATGTATTGGCTGTAATTAGATAGTCTGCATAATTCTGTATACAGTATTATTATGCTGTAATTTCATAAATAAATGTTCATAGTACAGGTATTGTTGTTATTTATGATTTAAATAAATCTTGGCTCCTGTTGTCTCTCTTTGGCGTTTGCTACCTGGCACGTTCCCACCAATTCAATTCCTGTCAGGCTTCTGAATCACATGTGTTTTCTAGAAACCAGAGGTTAAAACCTGGTCCCCCTCGAAAAAGGTGCAAGGAGCACCTTCCTTCCTAAACCACCAACCTCCTCTCTGAAGAAATGACCATAAAACTAAAAAAATCTTTTTATAGCCTACCTAAACATGCTCTTCTAGTTTTTCTGTTCTATATTTGCAATCCCCTGGCGGTGTGCATATGAAATTTAACTTCAGAATTGCTTTGCTGCTGATCAGTTCGTGAGTCTCTGGGCTTCGCTATCTCTCTTTATTATTATTATTATTATTATTATTTCCTTTTTGGTGACTTTTTTTTAGTTACGGTGATCCCCCTGCTCCTTGGACCTCCATGGTGGTGGTGAAGGGAACGGGGGGGGAGGGGTCAGGTTTCATTCTATTACCTGTTAGGCTTATATGATTTGCAAGGGGCCTGGCATGGATTGAATTGGGTTAAGCTTGTCAGGTAGCAAGCATCAAAGAGCCATCAAGGACCCACCAGAGAGGCATTTCATCACATTTAATGCTGTTTTCTTCCCTAGGCACAGCAGAGGGCAGAACAGATGTCTGCATCAAGTGGTCAAGAGCTGCACATAGTTGGCTGGTATCACTCCCACCCTCACATTACTGTGTGGCCCTCTGATATTGGTAAGTTTTTGTATGCAGTATTTCATTTATTGTGTTCTCTCCTGATAATGAAAAAATAGTGTTTAAATTCCATTTCTCTAATTTTCATCCCATCATTCCTAATGTGAACTCCTCTCTGAAGGAATGGCTATAAAACATAGAAATCATTTTGTAACCTACCTAAACATACTCTTCTAGTTTTGCTATTCTATTATTGCCGTTAGGTTAAGGGATGTGTTCTGTCTTCCATAAGTTGTTGGCTGCTTTTCTCTCTAACCTTATATTTAGTCTTGTCAATTATTCAATATAAATTTTGAGTGTATTACAAGATAAGAGTATCTACTACACACATTCTAATTTGAATGCACTTACGATTATGTCATATGTGCTTAATTAATTTAATAAAAATATTTGAATTTGAAAATAAGATAAAACTGGTGTTAATAATTGTTGTTACAAAATTAAATAAGTGATAAAACTTACTAATGAATGTGCAGTATTGCAGTGTAAATGAATTTTCATAAGATATTTAATAGATTTGCAGACACAGGCAGGCTACCAGCAGATGGACAGTCGGTTTATTGGGCTTATTTTCTCTGTATACAATGAGGATAAGAAAACAAAGGTATTTAATTTTTTGTCATTTCCCATTCTCTTAAGTTAAATTGAAGTACAAATAAATTTGGTATTTTATTCTGTTCATTGCATTAATGTACTCTTCCATACAGAATGTAAACAGTTTGAGTCAGATGGTTTAATTTAACCCCCCTGATATTGTTAAAGAAGCTTCTCAGAAACAAATATCTGAAAAAACCTGTATGTACTGTGATTAATTCTACCTGCTTCAGGTAGCTGAAATGGCACGGATAAAAGATTCTTGATCCTGGAACACACTTTTTCCATAAGATCCTTAATAAAATGCAAAAGTTTAGGAATACATTTCTGTGCAAACTTGGGAGTGTATTTCCTCTTTTAAATAATAATATACTGTACTGGTATCAAATGTTTGTCTTTGTTCACTGTCTTAATTTGGTTACTAAATATAGTACAGTACATTAATAATTGTGATAACTAATAATTGAGGAAGTAATATAAAAGAATACTGCACTGTATTGACTATATATTTACTGGTATAAAATCATTTATAGGTTGGTAGTCATCAGGTGACTTGCTTCCAAGCAACTAATCAAAGTCCCGAGGGAGAAGCTCCTCAATATGTGCGCTTGCCAGTTCCTCTGGAGATTCGTCTAACTCCCTCGCTTGCGATCAACAATCAGCAGGTTTGTATTGTGTAATTCTAATACCCGGTCATACATGTTATCTATACAAACACTTATGTCATATTGTTACAATTAACACAGTTGTTAACTGAATAAATTTCTGTAGCTCCCTGAAGCTACTATCTGTAATAGTGTTCCAAACAACCAGTTGCCGCAAACGAGGCCTGATCTGAGATAGGCCTCAGAGATGTTGATTCTTGGAATTACATCAAGGTAAGGTATCCATTAGTCAAAGAGTTTTGTTGGCCTATTTGGGACCATGAGCCAGATCCTGGCTCCCTAAATAGAGGTGCAGGGAGCATTGGTACTTATGAATAAATTCACAGTAATTTTACCATGTCTGCCACCAACAGGGAAGCCCCCTAGAAAGTTAACAAAACAAAACAGACCAGTGTTGGTTTTAACATACACTGCACACCTTTTTTTTATATATATATATATACTATATATACATGAGTTCTTAAATTCTTGTAAATCCACTAGCACGCATAGCATTTCGAGCAGGTCCTTAATACAAATTTTTTCCCTGGAATACAATTCAATTCATTTTTTCAGTTTACTGTCCCTCTTTGGTCCGGGATTGTTTTTAGAAGGCTTTGTTCTTGGTTTCTCTCACCACTGGGTTGGGGAGCTTTTGGGGGTGGGGGGGAGCTTCATGCTTTCCTCTGTGCAAGGACTTTTATTCATTTGGTCTTGGTGGGCAGTTTATTTGCTTGCAACCTACTCCTTCTTTTCTGGTGAAAGATGGATCATTTGGCTTCCAAAGGGAGGGTGGTCCTTTGGTCATTGATGGTTGGTCTGGCTTGATGTGCATTATGTATTGTCTGGTAGCAGCTCTTTGCTGCTACCTTCATGCCACTGGTTCTGCCTCTGTGGATTCTTTGTGGGCTGATCCTGTCACTTTGGTTCCTTGTTCCAAGGCTCGTGTCTTGGGTTATCCTCAGTGTCGTTAAGTCTAGCCAGTCTATGGTTTTTCCCTTACACCCACGATGTTCGAAAGTACGCTGTTCTCTCGGCTGTTTTTGCGAATGTGTCATGGGCTGATATTCAGACAATAGGGTTTGGCGGCCTGTTATGTTGTCAATGTGACTGGTCCTCCATGTCTTTGTGTACTTTGAGTTATATCTTGCAGCCAAGAGTCTCAACTTTGTAGTACTACCTATGGTCCTCCCTCCTCCCTAATGAGTGCCCCTTTTGTTTCCTTCCTCGTAGGTAGTTCCTTTAGGGAGCTACAAGGGGCTCTTCCCCAGAAAACAAGTGTTGAATGTAATGAAATGCTAATATCTTGATGAGCCCAGGTCACGATAACTTTTGACACCTTCCCTGCCTCTAGGTCATTGGACGGCAGGGTTCTATGATGGTATTTGTTCAGAGTTCTATGATGATCTTTGCATCGTCATAAACTGAGGGTGGAACAGCCGGTCGACCGTGGGTTGCCTTACTCCTATCCACAAATGAGTTGGAGGTGGGGCAGAGGAGCTGGCACTAGTTTCGTAAATTTTCAATAATTTTTTGACATAGTTTGGGGAGTTCTTTAGGCGGTTCTTGAGGCTGCAGTCATCTTTGAAGCTAGCAGTGGTTTATTTTGTTTTGCTGACTGTGTGTCTCTTCCTCAGTGGTGGGGTATATGAATGAATTTCTAAAGAATTTATCCTGGGTCCTGCTCCCTTGCGTCTCTGTATGGGGGGCCAGGTTCTGGCTTGTGGTCCCCGGTAAGCCAATAGAACTCTGCGACTGATGAAACATAGTGTACCATACTACTATCAGAGAAAGTAGCTTCAGGAAGCCACTGGGGTTCATCCAGAAATTGACGTTTCATTACATGCAACACTGTTTTTTTTTTTTTTTAGTTTCTTTTCAGGTGGTTGCTGTTTGTGGTTCCTTTTATCACCATCATTTCTTGAGAGTGTATGTTTTGGTTTCTGGAGGGGTTCCCTGGATTGTTGATGCTTGATTGCTCCGACCCCGAGATTCTGGTATGTTCTGTTTGGTGGTGGCAGTTCGCTATTCCCTTTGGGGTCATTTATTGAGCTTGTGAGGTTTCATTATTTGTGTTACTAGTGTCCTCTGTTCAATGTTCTTGGGGACGGTTGTTGAATTTGGTTCAATGGGTGGCTGCCTTTAGCCTTGCTGCTGCTTTCCCATAATTCCACATTGTCTACAAGTGTTTGATGTTCTCCTGTCTTGGGTGGAGTTTCAAGATTATGGTTTCTGGCATTCTAATGAGGCTTATTACAGCTCAATTCCTTGTTTATGTTTGTGGACTGCTCCCTCTGGGGTTACTGGTGTTGCCCTCTTCTTCCCACCGTGCCATCCTATTTTCCCTGTTTCCTGTGTTAAGATAGCTTGGGGGAGCCAAGCTGGTGGGTTCTCTGTGGCTTCCCTATTACATCCTACCCTTCTACTGTTATATTCGGGAGTTATTGCATGGGCAGTTCATGAACGGGGGGAAGGGGCAGGTAGTTGATATTACGATCTGGTAGTGAGTGACTGTTGCTAACAGGTGGTCACTTGTCACAAGCACGCATATGCATGTTTACGACAGGGTTGTCAATACCATCCATACAGTTGCTTGTTTTGTTGTACCCTATGATCATTATAATTTTTTCCTTCAGATTACTATAGTTGTCTTGTGCCCTAGACTTCCCTTGTCTCTTTTGAGGGAGCCAAATTCTAGTCTGGTTTCTAGCAGGCGCTTGCGAATCGTAACATCTGGTTTGAAGCTTATTAGATGGGGTAGTTCATGGAACCACTGAGGGGCATTTCTTTACATTCAATGCTGAATTTTTACCAACTGGTCCTTACTGGTGCCCCGGGCCAGGGGTTCTTTGGAGGTCCATTGGGAGGTTGATTTTTTGCTCCTTGGATGTTTCTTGTGCAATGAATATGTGGTGTTTGTTCACTGCTGGTTTTCTGTACCTAAGTGCTACTATCGTTTCCAAGGGTCAGACCTTTATGACTTTCTGTTCATTACAGTGTATGCTTTTGTTTCCCTTTCTGAGAAACTCTTCCACTGCTGAGGTGCCATTTGTTGTAGACTTGTGAAGTAATGAAAGTAATTATCAAAAGAAGGTACCAAGCCAGGGAGACTATGTAGAATAGACTTGTGAAACTTCGAGGAGGCCATTTCAGAAGCCAAGCATTGAACATAATGAAACACTATATTCTGTTTTCATTTTGTAAAATTGGTCATATAACCTGTAATGAAAGGGCTAAACTTTGTACTTACATAATTTTTTTTAGTTAAGTTTGTTTTTCATATGTTAGAATTTCAAAAGTGTTTGTTAGTGATTACTTTGTTATGTATATGTACTGTAATACTAGAGTTGTGTCATGTACATTTTACTATGCTGCCATATTTTATGAAAACTGAAACTCTGCCTTGTAAAAGTAAAAAAAAATATCCAGTTGGTCAATATCATGGATACAGTATTAATAATGTCAATTATTTTCCAAAATTGTTAATTAAAGTGTTTTTAATACATAAGCATAATATTTTACATGAACGTTATTTTAAAGGTTAAGATATAGTGCTACACAAGAAGTGAAAAAATGTCTGGTATGAGTTTTGATTAAAGATGTAATACATCCCTTTCATTATTGTTTTAAGTTTTACAGTACTAATACAACTGAAAATATGATGATTAGGATTGTACAATATTGTGATTGAAAAAAAAAATTAAGATTTTGGTCAGAGGCCAAGTGACAGACCATGGAAAAATATTAAAACTTAAACAATATTTTTAACTTCTTTCAGGCCCTAGAGAATCTGTGTTCCACACTCTATGATGAGCAGAGTGAAGTGCTGCAGTTATCTCGACAGCGAGCAAACCAATATCCCCTCGCACATTTACACAATTCTGCAGGTAAACTTTGCTTTCTGACTTTATTTATCTTATTTACCTGATTTACCTGACCCTAGGCCACTAACCCTAGTGGCCTCAATGAGGACAGGAAGCCGGCAGCTTGTTGAAGGTAAAGGTTTATGATCTATATACTGTTTATGTAAAATAGAATGTCTGTTTTAGTTGGCCCAAATGACATCTTCACAAAATCAGTGGAAATTAAATTGTTTGTGCTCAGCCCATAGTTATAATATACTGTATGTTCATAATGCAGAATTCAGATATCAAGATGAAGTATTTATGTTCTGATGGGAAATTTAAGTTCTGGGCACTCCCAGCGAAAGTGTTAACCAGATTTACGTTAATTTTAAATTATTTTAATGCACTGAGCTTCTAGTTTAACATATGTTGTATGGTTTGTGCCTAAAGGAAAATTGTTTATTATCTTTCATTAGTTATATCATGTGTAGCCAGTGAAATTAGTGTTTTGTCTATAATTTTTATTAATCCTCAATAATTGATCTTTTAGTTATGGTACGGAGTGTATGTGGTCTGAGCAGTCTTGTATCCGGCCCTCTTGTGTCCACTGTGGAAGAGCTTTTGCATCACATTCAAGGAACTACACAACAGTTGAAACAAGAATCGGAGTATCTCAGGGAATTTCTACAGGAAAATAAAATTGACATTCCATCTTAATGTTGAATTTCATGCTACTGACCATATTTCTATGGACACTGGTAAATTTGTGCCTTTTTCCTGTATGTGTTGATATTTTGCTATTAGTTATTGGTATCTTTTAAACCTACGATTCACTACGTTGATTTATTGTCCTGTGTGGCTTAGTAAAAAAACAAAAACAAAAAAACAAAGCTAGACTGGTCGAGAATGTGTTTACAGTGACATGGCACCCAAAATTATTGAAGAAAATATTTTATATCAAGTATTTGAGAACATTTATATAACTTCACTTAAAAACTATTTTTTTTCTTATTTATTCTACAATCCAAATAAAAAATTGTTAATGGATTAATCAGTCAATTTACTTTAAAAAAGTTCTCTGGTAGCACTATGCAAACATTCATTTTACTATGTAAAAAATAACATAGTAATTATTATGTAATACAGTATGGGGGTGCAGTGAAATTGAAGAACAGTGAAGTTTAAAAAACAATATTGTTCTTTAAAACAATATTGTCCCATCATTCAGCAATAACAATTATATAGTAATAATATTAAAACTATCTGACAAGAAATGGCACATGATCCAGCTCATGTATTACAGTATTTAGATTTAAATGAATTTCATATTAACTAAGAGATTAAAATTAATCTGATGACAAAAAAAAATACAGCAATGAGAACCAGAACTATTATGTTCACAAAATGTTGAGATTCATAGCGAGTCATTCGCCCCCTCCCAAATAACTGGCATATTCATTAAACCATTACATTATTTTGATGGTTCTATGTGACACTATTTTGATGGTTCTATCAGTACCTCAATACCACTGGTTAAAATGCAGTCCAAAAAAAAAAAGCTAAATTGTGAAATTTTTTTTTTTTTAATGTTTCCAAAAGCTAAGGCATACATATACTTCTGGGAGTTTGTGCCACCTGATGATCTGACCAAATATAAATTTTGTTTAGCAAAATTTCACATACTTTGTCTCTATGTAGTTGAATGTGAAACAAATTTCAAAGAAATTACTCATCATAAATGCTCAAGACATGTTTAATTATTTCATTCATAATCATAATTATATTTTATATTTTTAATATTGTTAAAATACATTCTCTGATCATGAAAAAAAAAATGTTTGTGCTTGCCTAGTTGTACTTACTTAATTGAGCTTTGGCTCTTTGGTCCCGCTTCGCAACTGTCGATCAACTGGTGTACAGATTCCCTGAATCTATTGGTCTCCATCATATCTACATTTGAAACTGCATGGAGTCTGCCTCCACCACATTACTGCCTAATGCGTTCCTTTTGTTGACTACTCTGACACTGAATAAATTCTTTCTAATGTCTTTCCAAAGTCGTGTGTCACTTTAGCTGTGGTGAAGCCTGGAAGTTTTGGGATTCATGAGCGTTCATGCAGCATTAGCCCTGTGGCAGTAGCTGTAGCCCTGCCATGGAGCGTGCCAAGGTATTTTTATATTTTTATTTTGATGCCTTTGATTTGTTTTTTCTAGTAATGTTATTCAATAGTGTGTAATTTGAGAAATTTATATAATTGTGGGGACCATCAGAATGCTCAAATATATTTGTCACTAATATGCACACAATATTATATGCTTAGAACAATAAAACATGGTTGTTGCTGTTATTACACTTTGCTCCATATACACACACATGTTATATAACTACATTTTCATGCACCATTATGAACCACTAGGCAGTTCTCTTGGGTGTAATAATCTTATAACCAGTTATCAGGGCTAGCTCTGCATGTTTTGCATGAAATTGTATCTGCACAGATTGAATATATTATATTTTCTTATTTTTAATTTGTAATGATTTTTTCAAGTGCCGTGATACATTGGGCTGTCATGCACACACATTTGTGTCACTATAAGGATTTCAATGCAGGACAATTTTTGTAAGAGTCAGAAATAACAATTGTGACAGACGCACATAAACTACAAGTACCTCGAGTGAACCCTTATGTGGTGTAAGCCATCATCATCAGGGTTAAGTGTACAGTACAGGTAGACTACCATACTAAATTAAATAAATTCCTAGATTTCAGAATTGCTGTTGTTTTATTTAACCATTTAAATTAAACCTTTTTCATGATTACACATTGCATTTGTAGGTAGACCTAATTATTTGTACTGTCAAACTAAGGTACACCCAATTGCCAGAATTAGGCTGGGATATTGTTGCTTATAGCAGGTAACTGCAGGAATCTCTCAACAATGCCTGATGAAGTAGATTTGACTAATTCACATTCCTTACAAAACTATAAAATTGAATTTATTTCTAAGACCTTAGAAATAGCCATCACAAATGTTTAAGAAATATGTTAGTACTTCATTCATAATTATATATTACCAGAAAAATTAGCCAAGTACAGTATCTCAAGTTTGCTTATTGGAGGTAAAGCATACACGTGATTGTAAATTTTGCACCACTGCCCACTGGATAGGTGTTGGTACATGATAGAATCATTAAAATTATGTATAACTATCTTGTCACAAATGTGAATTACTTACAAAATTGTAGTTTATTGTAACACTGAAACATTTGTCACCCAAAAGATTGGAATGTGGTTAACTTAACTTGTGTTAAATTCACTTGTGTTAAGAGCTTTATGGGATCATGGTTAGTTTGTTAAAAACTATGAATACTGTTGATGTATATGCAATACTATATATAACTAGCACATCAAGACTATAACTTACTTAGCTAAATGAATTTCGAGATTCGGTTCCCAAGCCCATTATGTTTACTGTAAAGTCTCCATTATTACTCGCAGGCTGGGTGCATAAATGAACCGAACAAAATTTAACATTCCAATTGCTAATTCTGTGAACAAGGGCTAGTTGAATTGGTGAATAATTTGTAATATAAAATATTTTAACACATTATTTATGAAGTTGAATTAAATACATTGTATCGTGTATATGAGATGTAATTAATAAATAGCAGAGGAAAAGTGTGTGTGTGAGAGAGCTCTAGCGCTCGCCACCGCCGGGAAAGTGCCCCCCCCCCCCCCACACACACTCACTAACTTAGAATTCTATGACCAAGCACCAAAAATTAGGCAATAATGAGAAGGGTGGGGAAGACTGCATTTTCTTGAGCTGTCAAAAAGCCTTTGATACAGACCCATAAAAGGCTATTACAAAAGTTGGAGCAACTGGCAGGAGTAAAAGGTAAGGTGCTCCAATGGATAAGGGAGTATCTAAGCAACAGGAAACGGCAAGTAAATGTGAGGGGGAAGACATTAGCATGGCGAGATGTCACCAGCAGAGTCCCACAGGGCTCTATTTCCATCCTGTTTCTAAAATATGTAAACAATTTTCCAGAGGATATAAACTCATTCCTCTCAATGTTTGCTGATGATGCAAAAATTATGAGAAGAATCAAGACAGATAAAGATCAGACAAACTACAGGACGACTAGAAAATGGCTACTAAAGTTCAACTCAGGAAAGTGTAAAGTAATGAAATTAGGTGAAGGGAGCAGAAGGCACAAGGTACCATCTAGGTGAAATCCTGCAAGAGTCAAATCGAGAGAGAGATCTGGGGATTGATATCACACCAAACCTGTCCTCAGAGGCCCACATCAAGAGGATATCATCAGTAGCATATGCTAAACTGGCCAATATAAGAACTACCTTTAGAAACTTGTGTAAGGAATCAGGACCTTGTATACCACTTATGTCAGACAAATCCTGGACTATGCAGCTCCAGCCTGGCATCCATACTTAGTTAAAACACAAGACAAAGTAAGAAGATTCAGAAGTATCTTCTGAATCTTCGGGGACTAACCAGACTAGTCCCCGAGCTGAGAGGTATGATCTACGAGGAAAGGCCTAGGGAGCTAAACCTCACGCTCCCTGGAGGACAGAAGAGTAAGGGGAGACATGATAACGACCTACAAAATTCTCAAGGAAATTGACAGGGTGGACGAAGACAAACTATTTAGCACGGGTGGTACGCGAACAAGGGGACACAGGTGGAAACTTAGTATCCAAATGAGCCACAGAGACATTAGAAAGAATTTTTTTTTAGTGTCAGAGTAGTTAACAAATGGAATGCATTAAGTAGTGATGTGGTGGAGGCTGACTCCATACACAGTTTCAAATGTAGATATGATAGAGCCCAGTAGGCTCAGGAATCAGTAGACCAGGTTGAGAGGCAGGACCAAAGAGCCAGAGCTCAACCCCCGCAAGCACACCTAGGTGAGTATATATATCCGTGACACCATTCAACAAGAACAAATTTATTTGTTCTCAACACATTTTATACTTTAAACTCAATTAGTATTAAGTTTTAGTTTTTAGTGTTTTTCCTGCCCGAAACGCTTTGCATAATAGTGGCTTTAGGCATTGTATGTACTAGCTCTATCTATAAATCTATCAATTTTTGTAAAATCTCTTGTATGTATGTACCTTACCTTTAGTTTAGTTCATTTATTATGCACCCCATACCCATCTTGTGGGCGGTAGTGGAAAGGGTTACAGAGGCACATAATGGGCTCAGGGACTAAACCCCACAATTTATTTAACTAAGCACGTTACAATCTTGATGAGCTAGTTACAAAATTCAATATAAGTCGTCACATCAACAATGGGTTCGAGATCGACCTCAAGTACAGGTTCTAAATTAAGCAACTGACATATGTGGAGTGTACCTTACCTGAATAAACATTTATTTAATTAATTAATTAATTAATTTATTTATTTATTTATTTATTTATTTATGAGCACCTTCCGGCCAAGACCAGCCGTCAGCACCCTAGTGTTTTTGTTGTGACGTCAGTGGTGAGTGGCGCCTGCGTCACCCTCGGGGCTCAGTCTCCATATTTGTTGTGAAGGACTGAGCAGGAGGCAGAGGTACCCGCCCTGTGGGGCCTTGTTGTGTGCTTGCTCGCCCCCACCCTGAGAGGCCACATTAATGGCGGCCGGGAGGACAGGCCGGGGAGAAGACGTTGGTGGTGGTAATGGAGGAGGAGGACTAGAGCCATTATCATCCCCTGGGCTGATTGCTGGCTCTGGCTCTCTCTCCGCCCTTAGTCACGCTCATTGACTCAATCATGTGTTTGGTTATTCTATATTTATGTACTTGCATGTGACGTGATCCATTGCCCATATCTGAAAGTGACTAAATAAGAGTTACTAGCTGGTAACGTCGAATGCAGAGCTCTTGTAAAGAGGTTTAGAGGTTTTGTCTATAGTCATTCGTATATTTATGGTTCTCAGAAGAGAAAATTTAATTTAATTATAACTCCATTAATTTCATAATCAAATTTGAACCAATTGGGTATCATTTCTTCACAGTTCCCCCCCCCCCTCTCTTGTGCAAGCAGCGGTAATTGGTGACCTAGATATAAAACACCCCCTTGCTTCCCAGTGCTAATCTGAAGTCTAAAGCCTAGTGTCAGGTTTGTTCTATACTCACAGTCGGGAAAATCCGGGTTTACTCCCAGGCGGGACAGAAATGGTTGTGTGCATTTCCTATCACCTAAAGCTCTGTTCACCTAGCAGTAAATAGGTACCAAGACTGCTGGGTTTTAAAATACAACTGGAAAAAGATCATCAGGGCAAATGGAGGGACTTTTGACAGCCGCCAGCTTCCTGTCCTTGTTGAGGCCATTAGTATTGGTGGCTCTCAGGTAAATTCAGGCACTTAGGAGTTTCCTCGGGATGCAATGCACACAAGCTAAGTCAATAATCCGACCTTGGTGGAAAGGACCTCGATATAAGCCTGACATGTACTTTTTCATTGGTCTAGGTTAAATTCATTACATCCATATACTGTAGATGTAAATATGTATGGTTATAATATATCTGTATAAAAACTAGTCTATACTAACTAAACTCAATATATTCTGCATTACCCTGGGGATCAACATATGAAACTAACCACACTTTGAGGTAATTTGCTTCAGTAAAGTTAATTTTTGTTTGTATCAGAGTTTTAGCCTAAGGTTTATCCTTTTCGGTAACCAGCTACTCAGACAAGTTCCGGTTGATATAGTATACATGGATTTTGCTAATGCCTTTGACAAGGTACCACATTAAAACTGGCAAGGAAATTACAGGCACGTGGAATAAATGGAAGAATACAAGGAATTGCGTACAAGGAATTGCGTGCAAGGAATGGACGAGGTCAGCAGTTTTATTAATAATAAAACTGCAAACCAGGCAAGACAGGGCAGATCTCATTGAAACTTAAAATACAGTACTAAACAAATTGGAAGATGTTGATCTGAAAATTTTTTTCAAAAGGTCAGATGTAACATGATCAAAGAGCAACAGTTTCAAGCTCAACAAGCCACAATATAGAACTGAGAACAGGAGATGTTTTTTCCACCCACAGGGTTATAAACCTATGGAACTGCCTACCCGCTGTAGCCATAAATGCCAAAATGTCTAACATTTAAAATACAGCTGGAAAAGATCAAGGCAAATGGGTGGACCTTTGACAAGCCGCCGGCTTCCTGTCCTCATCGAGCATATGCCCTAAAACAACTCTGCCATGACATGCTCAAAGGCAATTCAACCTAAGATTTAATGGAATAATCTAGGTGTCCTGAGGCTTCCAGTTGAATCCTAAATTGCATTGTTGTTAAGCACATCATTGCCAAGTTGTTTAGGGTGTATGCTTGGGAATAACCAGAGTGAATGATCAAAATTTCATCATGGCATTACTGATTTTCTCACTGTATTAATAATAAAACAAATAATATTCATGGGAAAGAAGACTATTGTCTACTTCCTGCATGATACTGTATATACTGGTGATTAGTAGCCGCTATTTTTATCTTGAAACTGCTTTAAATTCTCTCTTCCCCTACTCCATATTCATATGCATGCAGTTTCATAAATGTGTACATGCATACACAGAATAAGCCTAATTATTTTTGTCATGTCATTAATAAATTTACTCGCAGGAATGCCATGTTTGCTGCTTCGCGCAGACGAGCATTACGACGGGCTAGAATCAGGCGCATTTTAATGAACCAGGAGGGAATTGTGGTTCGAGACATAAGTCCCCCGGATTATTCAGAACAGCCTCCACCACCCCCAGCATATGTAGGCTAAATGTAGCTGCTTGTTTGTTATATTGTTTTTCTTCATTTTGTATTAATGCCCTAAAATTTATGATGACTAACATGTTTGGAGAAAACTGCATGGGTGAAGCATTTTTCTGCAAGAAATTTTGCATTTTCATTTTTTAAAGGAAATAAGTACAGTATGCAAATTGTTTGTCTAGTGGTGTTATAAGAAATAGGTGAAACAAATTAGAAAAAATTTAGGTAGGTTAAGGTTTCTGTTATCTAAATTAGTTATGCATTGTCATTTGTTTGTGTAGTTTGGGAGAGTTCATTAGGTTGGTTGCAAGGTTTTGGTCTTTTTTGAACCCAGCAGTTGCCTGTTTCGGTTCACCGACTTTCTAGATACATTTCCCGGGGAGGTGACACACTGTCATCTTCTCCCTGTGCCTCTTTGAGGGGACCATGGTCTGGCTCGGTCCCTGGTAGGCCTAAGAACTCCACTGCTAATGCAACCTAGTAGTTGGGATCCATCTCAGTGAGATAGTTTCAGGGAGCCAGTGGTGCTCACCAAGAAATTGACATTTTCTTGTATTCAGTGCGGGTTTTTTGTACACCCAAGAAAAGATGTTAAGTGTGTGACGGGTTATGGTATCGCAGCTATACTGAACCAAGGTGGTATGGCTCTCCATCACATAAATACAAAAAAATGCTGTTTTGGCCCTTGCAGTGTTTAAGTCGCAGGTGGAAACAAATGAAAATCATCAAATAAATAATTAAAACAATTTACTGAAATATTAATGAACAAAAATGGCACCTGAGAACACTTGGCTGTTATTGAGGTAGATCTCATTCATCTTTGAGCTTTAATAATTATGTTGGTTGTACAGTATGCACATTTTTGTGTAGTTTATTTTGCATGATTTGTGATAGTTTTATTACTAATATTTAATCCTTCAATTGCATATACCAAACATTGTCATTTTGTCATTGGTGTGCATGTCATCCATGGGTTGATTTTAGGTCTTGCGTAAGATTTAAAACTCCTGCGGGTATAGAGGCTTCACATCCACTTCCTTAGGCCTCCAGTAAACAGATGCCATCTTGGAAAAAAATCATGGGCACTCTTCACGGCTGTGAGGGCCTCGGTACTGAGACAGCACCTATGAGTAACGCATGAAAAGCAACGCTCAGCACCACCATGTAACTCATGCCCACAACATCACTTAATAATGATGAAATAAATAAATAACTGCAATTATTTAACAATGATAAATCATTGATAAATATCATGATCTTGACAGTGATAAAGGCTTTGTGCAAGGTTCAGATGTAATGGAACCCAATGCCAGTTGCGATGTTCACAGCGCGAGGCACACAGCCACAGCACTCGGATATGGTTTGGTGCATTCATGCAACACGACTTCATGTTCCTTTAGAAAATTAACATATGAAAAATGAATCATATTTAGGGTTTATTGACCAGGATTCTGATAACAGCATTGCTTTGGCTAGTTTTTAATGGTGCTTATGGTACAGCATATCGAATGGCACTTTGATTCATCATGTGTCATCAGCAACAAGTGTGTAGGGCTGTGCTGTGCTTGTACATATCATTGTTTACAAAAATATCACACACTAGAACTGCTTAATGGTTCATAACAGTGCTTGGAAATGTAGATAGTAATGTATACAATGTGTGTTTACAGTGCAATAACAAAAGCAGTATGTTTTATTGTTTAAAGAATATAATATGCGCACATGTATTAGTGACATGAATATGGTGGTAGCTCCACTTATAAATTTAATCCGTTCCCAGAGATGGGTCGTAACTCGAAACTAATTTCCCCACAAGAAATAATGAAAATTGAATTAATCTGTTCCACACCCCCGAAAATATTAACTTAAAAATTCATTTTATACCGAAAACCACTTTTTGTACTAGTACAATACAGTATGTATATCTTACCTTTATTGAGGACTCTTGTTGGCGTATGGAAGACAGTGAGGAGGGGGGAGGAGAGGTGTTACTGATTGGAAGGGGAGTTCCCTTCCATTATAACATCAGGCAGTGATGACTTCTCTGGGGTACAGTGTACTCTCTGTCCTACATTTTGTAGGCATGCAATTAGGACCTGGTTGTGGCTCACTGCTTGCTTGTCTTACTAAAAATCTGTAAACACACTTATTTTTCAATACATTTTAACATTTGTCTGTAGTGAGACATCACATTGTCTTTTAAAAGGTCACCGCAACGACCTGCTACAGCTTTATCTGGGCGAGTTTTTTCAACAAAACTTTACAGTTCTTTCCATACTTCACGCACACTGACTTTCTTAGGATCCATGGCATGATATATAATAATTACCTGTAAAGTACTTTGATGTTCAAAAAACAAATACAATGAAATTCTTCATAGGCGCAATCGTCCTTAAGCAGGTGGCTCTTGTAAACTGAGGTGGAGTTGCCCATGCCACCAGGAACCACTAGCTCAGTCGACCGATGCGTGTATCAACAAAGTCGCTAGTCGAGGCAAGAGTTGTAAGTCAAGTTGCATTTTTTGATGAAATTGGGGTCATAACTTGAAAATTTCGTAAGTAGGGGAATCATATGTTGAGGTGTCACTGTATTTTTGTGTGTATTGGTATTCCACACTTTATTATAGGAATTTGTCAAATTACACACTATTGCATAATATAACTGCAAGAAACCAGTGAGAAAACAAATCTTTGACACTAAAATAGATGGGTATAAATATATTTGTGGCAACTCATGCCCTCCAGGTGACTTTGCCAAGGCATCTTATCAATTAACGCCCGTGAATTGTGATGTCATCGCAATATTTTTTGTCCACCCCAGCCAGAGTAAGCTAACTTTTGTTTTCCTGTTTTTTTTTTTTTTTTACTGACCATGGAGTTGTCATACATAACAGGCGTACAGTGCAAGAGCTAAAAGTACTTTCATGTACATTTTTAAAATTCATAAAACAGTATTTTCTGGCAGGGATCCTAAGGGTAAATGCCAATCTCTTTGACATTTACTGCCTGGCAAGCACCATCCAATTCAATCCATGCCAGGCTCTTATGAGTCATAAATATGCTTACAAGAGGCCAAAACCTGGCACCCTCTTTATAGAGGCACAAGGAGCAGGGAATTGTAAAGCACTCTGGCCAACATGTCTACTAACCTAGGTTGGCTCACGTGTGGAGCATGCCCAGTGTTCTGGTGATGGTCTCATGTTTTCACCCCATTACCACGAAGTGGCCCATTAATGACAGGTTCTTCTGTTGGCTGTGTAAGATGTTTGGCTACACCAGAGTGGACATCTTTGTCTTAGTGTGGAACTGACGGCATCCAGTTTACATGTCCCGCTTCCCCAATTGTGAGGCTCTTGTAGTGGATGCTTTTTGGCTAGACTGGGTTGGTGGATTTTCTTTATCTCTTTCCCCTTATTCAGCTGTTAACCAGTTTCTGTCATGACTGGAGACATTCTCCAGTTGGGTTCTTCTGCTGACTCCCTCTTGGCTGGCCTAGCCATAGTTTCTGAACCTTTCACTCGTTGTCTGATCATGTAATTTTTCTGAATTGTCTCTCATCTTGTGAATAGGCCCGTAGATATTTCTTGATGGTAAGGTCTCCAATGATCTATACGTTTGGAGTTTTTGACTCTTTGACTCTTTGTATCGTCTGCAGGTAGCTGATCTTTTGACATCCTAACTGCAGGTTTTGTTGCAACAACAGTATGAGGTTTTTGTGTGCATCTTTCATCTTTTTTCTGTCTTTTGTCCTCTATTTCTGTACTTGTGGTCGTGTTTTTTTTATGGTTGTTAATACAGTATATGCTTCTCATTATCTCGTATTGTTTGACCTTTATAGAGTCAGTTAGTATTTGGTGTCAATGTTTCACATTTGGCCCCGTTTCACAAATTGTCCCTGCTCATGCTCCTGAGCCATTCTGATCTTTGGACAGGTTTTCTCTTCTTGATTCCTGTTGCCCCTTCAGACTGTGATTTTTGTGTAAGTTGGCTTTTTATTGGCCCTTGCACCCAATTTTTAAGTGGAAGAACTTCATTCTCTACTCTGGAAGTGGAGGTATTGGTCTTTTGGTCCTAAGGGTCATTTTCTCCATTTGCAGCCACTGATTTTCTTGCTAAGAGGGAGATGGCTTGTTTGGTGTTATCTCTGTGCCACTAGTGATGCATAGAAGGATGCTCTGTTTGTGGATCTGGTGTCCATGTTTCCCTGTTCCAGGTCTCATTTGTCTCAGGTTGTCTGCAGTGTCATCAAATTTAGCCAACCTGTGTTTTACTTTTAGGCCCATGATGTGCTCAAGTTTACAGCTCTGTTTCTGAATGTCTTGTGTGAGATATTCAGGCGCTGGTGTTTTTTCAGTCCAGGTGTTTTTTGTGATTGCATAGCACCAAGGAGCCACCTAAGGATCCTTCCTAGAAAACTAGTGTAGAATGTAATGAAATGCCTTTTTCTGGTGGGTCCTGGTGGCTCCTTGGGCCCTTCCTTCCCCACAATAAGGGCGTTGGTTTTTCAGTTGCCTGGATATATTACTGAGGGAGTATGATTGGTGATTCAAGGAGGAAGGTGTGGATCCTTTGGTAGAGCACAGGTGGCTCTAATATTAATATTGCTTCACCACCAAGTGGCTCATAAATCTCAGGTCTTCTCTCTTCATCTTTTCCTTTCTGGTGGCCTTTTCTGGTTAGGGAGATTTACAATATCCTGCTCCTTGTGCCACTATAAAGGGGGCCAGTTTTTGGCCTCTGGTCTCCCATGTGCTTGTTTGTCATGTTAGGGCCTGACATGGATTGAACTGGATGGAGCCTTGCCAAGCAGCAAATATGTGGTGGGTCCTGGCTCCAGGACCCACCAGAAATTGGCATTTCAATACATTCAATGCTGGTTTTTTGCTTTGATATTATATAATATTTTGCTAAACTTTGTTTTTATTGCTAACAAATTATCTAGATTGTGGATATATTTACATGAGATTGGAAGTTGTAAATTTTACTCGCAGTATACTGTGTTTGAATCCAACTTCCTAAATGAAGTTGTTACTTATAAGTAACAGTATATGCTCTGCAGTATAAATATATAGTTTTCATTGCTGAATATCTAATAAATGTTTTCAGAGTGAAGTGTCACCTGGGAGTGACATTAACACTATTTTTGAGACAAGTGGTACCCAGGCAGGCAGCACGGAGTCCTCGCGGGAAAGCGTAACCATTGGGTGTGAGGCCCAGGAAGGAGGAGGGGTAAGATTGATATTTTATACACAACAAAAAATTAATTAGTACTGTACTGTATTTTACTAGTGGTATCCTTCCTACAAGATTATTATGATTATTACCCTTTTTCAGCTTTTTATGGTGATTTTTCCTTAAGATGGAATAATAGGAAAATATACCAGGGCAGGAGGATAATTGAGTGCAGCAAGAAAGTGGGCCTTTCCTGGCGAGGAAAGAAACCAGGGGAGTGAGTGTTGGTTGTGAGAATCTTCCCGGGGATAGATTTTATCAAGGGAGAATCTATCCTTGGTAAGAAACTAAACAGCCCAAGAGAAATAAGTAGTAATCAAATTTGGTACTAAAACTGCAGACGACATTACAAATGAAAAGGTAGAGCTGCAAGAACGGCTGGCAGAAAATGATCATTTCATTGCAGTTATAGACAAAACTGACAAACATAATAGAGAATGAAATGTTCTCAATATACCAGGTAGTAAGAAAAGAAAGGATAAACAGGGAAGGATGAGTAGCCCTATTAATACAACATTATTTGAGTTCTGAGGAAATAGCGATTCCAGAGGTAATCAACAAATAAGATTTCATGATAGATATGATAACAGTGAGGCCCATGAAGACTTATAGATGTTATTTACAACCCTCCATTAAGTACAAGAGGGTCAAGGGAGGAATGATATATCAATCCCCCAGTGACTTCTTTGGGGGTACTCTCTCTCCTGTGTTTTGCAGGCATACCACTAGGACCTGGTTGTGGCTCACTGCTTGTCTTAATAAGAATCTGTTTAAAGACACTTGTTTTTCCCTACATTTTAACACTTGTCTGTAGTGAGGCATCATATTGTCATTAAAAAGGTCAATACAGCTTTATCTGTGGTGAGTTTTTTCAACAAAACTTTTCAGTTCTTCCTATACTTCACACATTTAATTATTGAGAATGGGACATCGTCTACTGCCTCTACTGTACTCGCAACTATTTTCTTAGGTTGAACTTTACCACTGACTTTCTTGGGACCCATGGCATGATATATGATAATTACTTTTATATTCAAAAAACAAAAACAAAAAAGCACAAAAAATGAAATTCTTTACAAAGAATTCAAGCGTGAGCATCACTAAGTGGGCAGTAAGTCGAGGTTCCACTGTATTAATATATTTCCCCATGCTCATAATGTCAAGCGTAAATTTTTTCAAACTAAAGTACACAAATTTTAAGAAAAAATATTAGAATTTAGACTTTTTAGTGGACTATGTATTGGAATCGTTAGACATTTGAGTATCATCCAATCACTATTTTTCACAGGGGCCTGTAGAAGCAACACCGCCGCCGCCACCACCACCACCGCCGCCGCCGCCATTATCAGCAGCAGCAGCTGTGGCAGAGGGTAGCAGCATGTTGGGTCGAGGTCGATTGCAGGAAGTTCAGGGAAGATTGGAGGCATTAAGAAAGAGACATGACCAGTGGACTTGCTTTCTTTGCTGTCATGTCCGCACTGGCACCATTGTTATTGGATTTTGGCACATGGTAAAAATTTATGTATTTTTAAATTTGTTTAATAGTATTTACAATACATTGTATTCCGGCTCATATGTACTTTATGCATATTTTGGTGCCTTTGTATGCTAATACAGTACAAGAATTCTCCAATGATTTCTGTTCAACTGTGATTACTGAAAATCTAAAAGAATGGTTTGTGTGTTGTATAATTTTATGTAGTCAGTTTACTGTATATGTTTTTCTTAAATAGTTCACAATATAATAATTTGCATTGTTGCACTATTATGAGATTTTGTATAACAAATGTTTACTATCTTTTAGCTCCTTCATCTGCTGGCACTGTCATTGATTGCGGTGGTAGTAGTTCACCCCGAAAAGCTTACCCAGACAGGCGGCCCTCTTGGGGGTCTTGGGTCAGGAGATGAACTCTCCGTCAATCCACAAGATGTAAAAGCTGTCAATTGTGGTGCAGAGATGCCTTGCATCTTGGCAGCACAAGGTGATGGAAGCACAAATGCTGCTGCCTCTGACTTTTCCATTTCCCTAGGAAACTTGATAACAACTCATCGCCTTAACACTGGTAAGTCAAAACTATTGATTATAGAAACTATTTTCTATCCTACACTAATATATGCATCAGTTGTAGTTTCTAGTGGTTAAGTTGAAATCTGTTAATATTATAAAACTACAGCATCAAAATTTTTGTTGGTTTAGTTTGATTAACAGTACAGAATGATCCCCTCAAATGTATTACATACAGCAAAGCAGATTTGATGCAATAGTGACTCTCTGTGATATCTGGCCCCCCCCCCCACCTGACAATTCCCAACATATTAGGAGAGAAGTATAGCGAGTGAAATAACTTTTTAATAACCTTCTAGCACAATTATACAAGTACTGTATTATGATACTATAGTGTGTATACCACCAGCCCTGCCTACAAACAACTTACCCAGACACATGCTCCCTCCCGTCTCTGTTTCTCTCAGTCTGTGTATGTAGGTCCATATTGTAAAATATATATGAACACAGGAATTATATTTGAGAATATTTAATATTTTTGTATTGAGGACAATGGCTCTCTTTATTGCTGGGCTCACAAAAATATCTTGTTTATTTAATAGTACAGTATGTGTGTAATGATCACTTTATTGATTGAAATTGTTTAATTTTTAGTTAAACCTTTCTTAAATTTGTATATTTATCAATGGATTGGATTAAGTTATCAGATTTCAAGGGCTCTAACTCATCTATTAACTAATTTTAACTTAGAGGTTAAAATTGTGTTGAAGTGTTGAGCAAAGAAGTAAAATTAAATGATACTAGATGATACAGTTGTCTATATATCCATTTATTAATTTAAAATACTGTATTTAATATTATTTGCATCTCTATACAGATGAGGTTAATGTTGCCCTCTTCATCACCTTGTGTACTTTTGTGGTAACACTGTTGTTGGTGTATGGAGCATTCCGTGGTCAGCCCTCACATCTAATGCCATTTTTCTTTCTGCAAGTCTTTGACTTCTGTATATCAAGGTAATTATTTTGTTTCCAAAAGTTCAATATAGTTCTCATATGCATGTACTAGAGTTTGCAGACAACTCTTGGTTCTCTTAAGGAATTTTCTAGGCTGACTGATGAGTCAAAATTTCTTTGAAGAATTTTATGCAGTTGTAAGTGTTTCAAAACTTGGGTAAATACCAGCTGTAAAAGCAATACAGCAAACTACTAATTTTTTTTTTTTTTTTTAGTCCCATGTCTTATGAGTCCAATAGTTCACTCTAGGTCATTCAGACGTTCTCCATTTGTCACCAGGGGTTACCTGATACCAGTCTGTTTCGCTCTGGTGATTTGTCACTAGGCTTCTAAACAACATAGTCACAATCGTTGTTCCGGGCGAGCGTTGGTATGTCGGAAAGACGCTGAGTTTAACTTGATGGTGAGGAATGGATGGTGTTCAGTCTATTGGCCGATAGACAGAACAGGACACATCCACTAGCTATGAACTTCCTCACGTGAATACCCTTGCCAGCGGCTGCAGGACTCCTCGCGGGCACCAACACAAGGGGTTACAATTGGCCAATGGCGTTTCAACAAAAGATCGGGAACCAATCATATTGGTTGTTCCATGATCGGTAGCAGAGGTGACGTCATGAACACGTCACGGCCACGTCACAGTTGTTATTCTCCATCGCGCCGGTTGAGGCTAACCCCAGAGGTCAGATCTGTCGCCTCGCTGGCGTCCCCCCCCCCCCTCTCTCTCTCACGCTTGGCACCAACTATGTACCCAATGACTCTATGGCATGAATGCTTAACTTCCCTGTATCTAATTTACCCTTGGGCATACGTTGGTCTCCGTATTTTAAACGTATTCCTGGTTATGTGAGCATCCTGGGGACACCCAACATGACAAATTACCATCCAGGGTTAACAGAGATAGGGCTTGTGTACGAGATCGGTGCACTGTGCACTGCGATGAGCCATTCAAGTCAGCTGTGGGAGAATCTTGAAACATCCTCTCACAGCATCTCTTTTGGCTGTTTTGCGAATATATATGGGGCTGATATTCAGGCTTGGGGATTCTGGAGTTTAAACAGGGTTCTGGCAGTCTGGTATCTTTTTAATGTTCCCGGGCCTCAGTGCCCTTGTGTAGCCTTTGATCGGCTGTCACAGCTGAGTGTCTGTTCCTTCTTTGTGAGTCCTGTGGTGCTCCATTTTCCCTGGAAATGCCTGTTTGTTTCCTTCTTCGTGGGAGGTTAGCTTCAGGGAGCCACACGGGGCTCTCCCCAGAAAATCAGCATTAAATGTAATAAAATACTTATTTGTGAGTGAACTCTGGTGGCTCCCTGACTCCCTAACTCCCTCCCTCCCTAAAGGTGTCGGGGCTCTTTACATCATTCGTCAAACTGACGGTGGAGCAGCTTGCAGACTGCGGCCTGCCCATTCCTTCCCCAAATGAGTGGGAGGAGGGGGCAAACAAGCTGGTGCTAGTTTCATGACGTTTTCAATTGTTTACATTGGAGAGTTCTATTGCCGTTGCCGCCAGAAGGGGTTGTTTTGACTCCCTGACTTTCTGGGTGCCTTCCTCGGTGGTGGCATAAATGAATAACTTAATATATAAATACCACTGCTCCTCTTCTCCTCTGTGAGGGGGGCCAGGGTCTGGCTCTTGGGCCCCGGTAAGCTGTATAACTCCGCTGCTGTTTGGCACCTACATTGGAAATTGTAGCTTCAGGGAGGCTCTGGAACTCGCCCAGAAACTGGCGTTACATTACATTCAGTGCTTTTTTTTTTTTTATCTTTCATGTGTGAATACTCTTATTTGTTGTCCAAGATGATGGATGGCTAATGTGTCCCTCCTTTGCCTGGTGGTTGTAAGGTGGTTATTTCTCATTTCTCTGGTCCTGCAGAATGCTCATTGGCATAATACCAGTTGTCTGTAGTTGGAAATGGGTTGGGATGTCAGGTGGGATACCAGCATGTCCTCTTGAGTTGCCACAACGGACAGAAATGGTGTACTAAAACACCCAAACCTAACCAAGAGGCTTACTCATAGAAAAAGTAAATGTTTTGTGAGCTGCTATGAATTATAGTACATCATACTTTGTCCGTTGGGGATGAAGACGACAAATGATAAAAAAATTCTTTATTGACAATATCTGTTTTTATATTAAATTTTGTAAAGAGATGTACTTGCAAAATGTTTGATATCTTGTTTATGGTTCACAGCATGACAATGATTGGTTATCTCTCATATCTTCCAAACATCCGTCAACTGATCCGCGAGACTCCAGCATTTCCCTTTCAGCAACAACTTCTGGCAATGAACACAAAATGCCTGACATTCTTTGCCATGCTCATCTTCATTACAACCCTAATGGCTAAGGTTTGTAAATGTTTCAGAGATAAATGTGATTTTCATTAATTACAATTCCTTTGACATAAAATTATACCATATGACCTTCCAGGCTTGTTACCTTCTTTTGATGGTTACTTTGCATGAAATAAGTATCTAGCAATTGTTTTATATTTATACTACTTTTTGAAGTTAAGTTTGGAGAGGAAGAAATGAATGAACAAAAGTACCGTAAATTTTAATTTTGCTGCTGCTGCCTCCTTTTCTGCTCTTCCCTTTCCTTCCTGCTACTCCTCCTTCCCTCTCCTTCTTGCTCCTCCACTCCATTTCTTACACTTTTATCCTGCATGCCTTCCCCCCTACCTTTATCTCCACCCATCTTCTTCCACCCTCCTTTGACTTCACTTTTTTTTCCCACATGTCCCTCTTGTGTGTCTTCCTTTATTCTCTCTGTTCTTTCTTCTCTAATGCACTCATGTTAATGGCAGATTTGGAACTACTGTACTGGGCTTCCACCTCAGAGATCCAAACTTTAGCCCTTAAAGGGGCAATAGAGGTCTTCTCATTCCTTTCTTCTGCCCCCCCCCCCATTTCTCTCCACACCACCCACAAGATAAGTTTTCAGCAGCATAAATGTGTGTCCTTTACTGAATGTTTTCCCAAACATCTGTTAGAAAGATAGGTTTTTACTTCACACAAAAGTATTACCTTGGAAAGCCAGAGCTGACTTAGAGTACTACCCTCTCTTTTTACCTGCAGGCATATTGCATCAGTATTGTCTGGCGGTGTTACAAGTTCCTGATGCTGAAGGCACAAGCAGGCCGGTCAGTCCTGAGATATCTGGGTGGAGTGTCTGGACCAGTGGACCAAGAGAGTCAGACATTAGTCATGGGCCAGGACCTGCCTGATTATGATACTGCAATGGCTGATCCTCAATACAGGTATTTTCTAATTCATTGTGTCTATCTGTATCTAAGGCATTATCGTAGAGGTGTATCCATATCAGTGTTATCAATTTACTTTCACAGTATCGGTATCAATAAAATTTCATTTGATATTATAGGACTAACAGTTTGTACAGTTCTGACCTCTAAAAAAATATTGGTATAGAAATATCAGTCAAAATAATGGTCTTGGTATGCCTATACCTTATTTCACAGGGGATCTTACGTATTATTGGAAATTTCTCTTGTGTTCTCTTCATTACCTTTTTCATTCTGATTGTTGGTTGTCTTTACAATTAAGTTAACACTCATTCTTATGACAAAATAAGCATCATCATTTTATAAAATTTCTCCAAGCCTAAATTGATGAGCAGGCCATTTTTCTGGCTGTGTTAATTCCTTAGAGAATTTAGTGATATTTGGGGCTCTACTTATAGTGGATACTGCATTGTATATAACCAACTTGGACATCTGCCAATTCACCAGGAACCAAACATCACAAACTTAAGAAAGAACTAGGTCTCTGGGTTGCAACCATTTGGGAGCCCAAACAAGCCGGTTTTCAAGGAAGGCCAAGATGCTGAACCCCAACACATGTAGACGAGACCACAACCTGCATTAACTTGGTACTGGTTCTTCCAAAAGGAAGAACTATGAAGTGGTAACAGAGATCTTAACCAGTCCCTGAACCTTGAATGGATGCATCTTGAAGGTGCAAGGATACCATACCTTTACAGTCATACCAAGGTATGACTGTAAAGCCAGTTGAACCTGACTAAAGGTAGTCATGCTGGACAGGGCTGGACAGGGAAGGAAATTATTCAGATTTGATAGGGGTCAAGATTGAACACAAGGTTCAGTAAGTCCCACTTGATGACTGGGAATAGACTAGCTACCCACAGAAGAAACGTTGCTGTTTCAACCATCCCCAATATCCAGCTGACTCACAATGAACCTCTGAAGCAAAGTAAATGGCCAAGTCAGGAACCCCAAATGCCAAAGGAGGGGTTGAGAACTATCCTCCACTGAAGGTCCCAAGAAACCACTCTAAAACTTTAGAGTGGTTTAAAACTTTAAAGTATAAAAGACAATCATCATGAGTCGATGCCTGGGAGAAGGCATCCAGCTATTCCTCCACTGAGCTGTCAAAGGGGTTTGCAGGTTATAAGTCATACCACCTATACTAGATAGGTAAAGTATGCAGTATTGAAGGATCATCAGCAAGAAACATAGATTGTTATAGATCAGAGCAGGCAAAAACTCATCGACTGTCACAACACAACAGCCTCTAGAACTGAGGAGAGTTGCCGGTGTGGAGGTCTGGGACCCCCGTCCCCCTCCCAGGGAGGGGGAGGGGTTGCACAGACGGATGCGCAGTGGTTGTGGTGACGTCATGTTTGCTTCTACACATCAGCCCGGTATAGCTCCGGGGAGCCGAAGGTGCTCTCCACAGAAAATCAGCGTTGAATGCATTGAAACGCCATTTTCTGGGTGAGACCTGGAGGCTACCCGGGCCTCTGGGGAGGATGCCCGGGATATCAACAATAGCAGTGATTGTGAAATAAACTAAACTAATGTGGGAATATGTGCTATGGTAGATGGATGGTAAACGAAGTGGGGAGACATGCATTCCACAGCTAAATAGTACCACTATTTTTTAGTACCATTATTTTTAGTACTGTACCACTATTATAAATAATAGTACCGTGTAATTTTTATTTCTCATTAGAGTAACTGTTTATCACATACAAATAGTTGGATAAATTTAGTCATATGTTATAAGAAATATTTATATTGTAAGTATTTGTTAAGTAAGACTCGCTTGAATGAACAGCGACTGTCATGTGTCAGTAACCCATCTACAAAGTCTAGAGATTCGAATTTCTCTTTATCAAGTGATTAAGTACTATAAATCAGACTTGATATTTGGCCGAATTACCCAGAGATTTGAGTTCTGAGATTTTGTGAGCACAAATACTAAGTACAGTATATATATTTAGGCATGTGCTGTTTCTCTGTATTTGTGGTTAGCAACACATGAAATTATGACATGAATTATTGTGTATCTAAAGATTGAGCTCTCCAAGAAAATGCAGTACAAATATTAATAAAGTTAAGGAGTCTACACACACACAGATAATTAATTATATTGTATAATTACAGAAAGAAGTTGTCAGGTATGTTCCCCGAGCCACCTCCTTCATATGACATGGCTATGGCAGCACTTGTTGCTCAGCAGGATCATGAACACGATTATGTGGATGCAGCTGGTGCTACTAGTGGTTCCTCCCCTTCTCACGACCTTCCTTCATCCACCCAGGACCGCCCGGTTTCTGTTCCCAGCAATAACAATGCTACTACATCGCTTCCTACCATCCCTACTACCACCGTCATCTTGAGCACAACCAGCTCTGCTGCTCTGGCCATCAATTCTCCCACTGTTAATTAATCCTGATCTTAGCCATTGGGATGGTTAACTTCCTGGTACTTCAGTGAAAATGGAGGCGTTATTATTTTGGTGATAGTAAGCTTTATTTTAACAAAATTTAAATTTATCTATATTTAAGATATTAAGAAAGCAAGCAGGGTAATATTCTGATATATGTAACTGAGCAAAAAAAAAAAAAAAAAAAAAAATCAGGAACTGTCCATTATTGCAGCTCTAGCAGTGTCAACAGTTCTTGTACTGCAGTTGTATGGAAATTTGGATATATATATATATATATATATATATATATATATATATATATATATATATATATATATATATATATATATATATATATATATATATATATATATATATATATATATATATATATATATATATATATATATATTAATTAATATTATAATTCACCCTGTACTATGTAAGATTCTATTTTCAAATGCATATGTATCCTCGTTAAATTCAGAAAAAAACACGATTATTTCTTCATTAATGTTTTCAGTGTGTTACAGCCATTGTTGCATAGAAATTTTAGTGAAAATTGGCAAGTTGCTTAATAAGCATTATAGCACTATCTAATAATTACATTTTAGATTTGTTGTTATAGAGGGTGGATGTCAATTTGTGTTTTGTGTTATGATTCCTTATACTGTATTGTAATAATTGTTGTCATTTGAGAGGGGTTTAAATTTAACAACAATATGGGGTAATAGTATCGAGCTTAAGCAATAAACTTCATTGCAGTCTACTAGTCATATGAATGAAATTGGTAAAAAATTACTTTGCTAATTGGGTTCATAAGAAGTTCATTACTTTGCTAATTGGGTTCATAAGATGTTCATTATGATGGTAAGATGGTACATGTGAAGCACAGTGTTGTTGTGAAAACAATTTGCAATCAACAATCTTCTCAGTATGCCAGAACAAATACTTGCCGAGCTGTACCTTTAAAGTGTTTAATGATCATCTCTATACAGTTATTTTATGCATCGAATGTTTCTTAATGTTAGTGTAATTAAAGTATCGGGAAAGAATTTAGTTCATATTTTACTTTTAGTACTAGTGGTTTACTTTCCTTTTTTTAATGCTCCTCATTACTCCTGAACCTGAAGCTTCATATTTTGTATTAAGATATCTAAACTCTGCATTACTCTTATCAAATATCAGTTTCTGTATTGTATGTTGTGTAATTAGCCATTGATTTATTGTGCAGTTCGATGTCTAAACACAATAGGCAGATTGGTGTGCCAATATAATCACTGACAAGAATTATGCTTTACATTACTGGAAGCAAGATAATTTTTCAGTAGACAAATTCTTTCAAACTTAAAATCAATTGAAGATTATTTTTCAGCAGTAACTGGGTTTGCTGTAGGCATTTGTATGGATTGAATATGTTAAACTGTTTTACAAACTATACTTTTGTTTAAGACGTCCAAATAATGGTGATTCATCTAAATATATACTGTATCATGCTTTTTAATTTCATGATCATATGTATGCCTTATTGTCACTTAAAATAAAGTGCTACAAAATGAAGTTGTTTTCTTAAATTGTGATAATCTTTTGGTTACAAAGTTAATAAAAAATATTGAAAAATTACCAGATTTTTTAAAATTTATGCACGAATAAAGGTACCACAATAAATTTTCTACCTTGGTGAGGTGTACAAGACAAAAATGTATCTACTAGAAGGAAAACTGTGTGTAAAGGACCTCAGAATAATTTCTGAAGATCTGACATTTAATGAGCACAGCCGAGCAAATGTATATAGCATTTGTCAGAAAATAATCCAACTAGCATGTCAGAAAAAAAATCATATGTTATTTTCAATATGATTATAACTGAAATTTGAACATTTTCATTAAAATGGGGCCAAAATTGAGGTCTCATGCTGTATGATAATGTAGGATTTATTGGCACTACACCTGGTAACGTTGAGCTGCTTTCGGTATAGCCCAGTTACTTCCTCAGTCCTGTGTTTAGTGTTTACGTTGAGTGAAGGTGGCGTCACGTGTTATTAGTGGTGCCTAAATTATAAATTTAATTGCCCTTTAACAAAGAATGACAATGGAAAATAGGCTGAAATTGGTTAAGTATTTATAATGTATCAACCTTTTGCAGCTGACATTAACTGAAAAGATAGAAATAAATTAGAGTTTTAGTTGAAATTTGTCTACAAAGTAATGCCTCATGTTGACATGTTTTCTCAGTTTGTCTAATGATGCAGCTAATGCTAATGCCTTTTTAAAAGCTTTTACTTCTGCAGTTTAGAAATTAAAATATGGATATGAGGCTTTTGCATCCCTGAGCAAAAAGAGACAAAAATTTAATACAGATAGACCAGTTACCGCAATGGAAGTTTGTTACGTAATTTTGTTCTGTGCAGAATGAGGCTCAGTTCACTGAAGATTTGAAGACTGAACTGAACTCCGTGGTGTAGTGGTCAGACATTCGCCTGGCGTTCCGCGAGCGCTATGTCATGGGTTCGTATCCTGGCCGGGGAGGATTTACTGGGCGCAATTCCTTAACTGTAGCCTCTGTTTAACACAACAGTAAAATGTGTACTTGGTTGTAAAAACGATTCTTCGCGGCAGGGGATCGTATTCCAGGGACCTGCCCGAAACGCTACGCGTACTAGTGGCTGTACAAGAATGTAACAACTCTTGTATATATCTCAAAAAAAAAAAAAAAAAAAAAAAAGGATAGCAACACATTGCTGTGCATACTTATGCCTGTTAATAAACAAATTAAATTCTTCAGGTAAGGAATCTTATTCATTGACCCCATTTCTCCATTAATACCATTTTTGTTGTTGTTTTTTGAGATATATAAAAGAGTTGTTACATTCTTGTACAGCCACTAGTACGCGTAGCGTTTCGGGCAGGTCCCTGGAATACGATCCCCTGCCGCGAAGAATCGTTTTTACAACCAAGTACACATTTTACTGTTGTGTTAAACAGAGGCTACAGTTAAGGATTTGCGCCCAGTAAATCCTCCCCGGCCAGGATACGAACCCATGACAAAGCGCTCGCGGAACGCCACTAAACCAGAGACTGCCTAACTTAACTAAATCTGTCTCAAACGATATGCATCTTAGCAGCTTTGTAAGAATGTAGCACTCAAATCCCAATGTTTGTACTTTCACAACCCAATGTACCTTCTTGGATATAAATAATACAAAAATAGCATGAAATACAAAATTAAACATCCTTAGCATACAATACCACAATTAGGCTCGTAACCCAGATTGTTTACACAACATTGGTTTGGTCTACAGTTGTTTCATCAGTGTTCCTGCAGGTTGCTACGGTGAGCGGACAGACTCGAGTCAAAAGGGGGAACAATAGCAGCTGAAGCACCTGATAAAAAAGGCCTGGTTCAACCTTGACGATGGACATCTATTTTGCATGGGGACCACTGGAATACCTGACGAGATTTTACCCTCAACTCTCATCCCAGGAACGGTTGAGGGCTACAGGACTGACACTGAAAACCAGGCTTGACAGGGCGGAACTCATTGAAACTTTTGGAACACTGAACAGTTTGGAGGATGTTGATCCAGATAACTTCTTTAAAAGATCAGATATAACGCAAACAAGGAACAACGGTTTCAAGCTCAACATGTCAAGAGTTAAGGGGGAGGCATGATCACCGCCTATACAATTCTTAGAAGATTTGACAGGGTAGATAGACAAACTATTTAGTATGGTGGTTCGTACATCATATCTGATCTTAGAAGAAATGCCAACAGTTTTAGAAACGTTTTTTTGCTATACTTTGAATGTGGCCTCTGAAAATTCAGCTTGTTAGAAAACCAATGAAAATACCATCTACTTAGTTACTAATTTAGATATTGTTTATTCTTAGCTGGTGCTAGTTTTGTGAATTTTCGGTCATTTGTTTCCATCGTTTGGGGGAGTTCTTTAGGCGGTTCTTAAGGCTGCGATCTTGTTTGAAGCCAGTAGTGGTTAGCTTTGTTTTGCTGACTTCTGGGTGCTTTCCTGATGGGTGCCAAAAATGAATAACTTATTACATAAATGCCACTGCTCACTGCAGCTCTGTGAGGGGGCCAGGTTCTGGCTCTGGTCCCTGTAGGCCACAAGAACTCTGCAGCTGATGGGACCTAGTAGTATGGCATACTATCTGAGATAGTAGCTTCAGGGAGCTGACCCAGAATTTGGTATTTCATTATATTCAATTTAAATTTAAATTTCAGTTTACTTTGAAACTGTTCATTTAGTGTTTTACATACGGTATTTTCTTCTCTTTTTCCGTGAATCTGTTCCTCTTTTTCAATCTCTGAATATTATCCTTCACCTGCAGTTTACTTTTAATGAATTTATAGAATAGGTCTGGTTCTGTTTTAAATTTATCTGCTATACCTTAAAAATTGTTTCTACTCTCTTCTCGCTGCTGTGTAGTTGTTTGCTTCTTTGTATTGATAGTATGTTTGAGGGTTTGGCCCTTTCCTATACAGTAATGATTTCATTCATTTTTTTGTCTTTTGTTTGTTGACCATCTCTCAATTTATGTTGAACCAGACCAGTTTTCTAGTTCTTCATCTCGGTACCGTACTGGTATATATTTCCTTGTACGTTCATCGTATATCTCACAAAATTTGTCATTCATCTCATTTACTTCCTTTCCTAACAACAAATCCTTTCAATCAAATTCATTAAAGAACTTGCTAAGTTCCCCATAGTGTCCTCTCTTGAAATAAAGTTTGTAACTGATTTCCTTTCTCCAATCTCTTCTAAATTAAAATGCATTGGATATTTAATTTCCAAAAAAACATGGTCACATTTGTCTAATGGAGGAAGGTACTGAATGTCAAATATATCTACTTCTTTCCTGGAAGACACCAAATCCAGCATTAGTAGAGCATCACTTTCACTCATTCTTTTGGGTATTTTACATGTTGATACTTGAAAACCTCTACGATGAGGTTTATGAATCAGCTGGTCCAAAAGTCCTCTGTTCTTGCTTCATAGGCTTTCCAGTCTATCAATTTTAAATTTAAGTAAAAAAAAGTATCAACAATAATTATATTTTTTTATTTGCTTTCTAACTCTCTCTCATCATTATAAGGCCCTCTCTTTTGACATCTAGCTCTTCCCGAGTCCATGTGTTGCTTGCTGGTGGACTGCGTGCAATAATTGATTACAATATCAATCATTCTGACTGCAGAATGCCATTATGCTGACTTCTTAAGGATTGTCTAGTATTAATTCTCTTGCCTTTAGTCGTTCCTTCACCAGGATAGCAACACCTCCACCTTTTCTAATTTTTCTGACTTCTTATTGGTCTACTGATACAATCACGAGCCAGAACCTGACACAATGAGCAGTGCTCCATGATAAATTTGATGTAAATTTATTCATGTCAGCCACTACCAAGAGAAGGCACCCAGAAAGTCAGTGCAACCAAATAGACCATGGTTTGATTAGAAATGAGACCGCAGCCTCAAAACAGCCAAGAGAACTCCCCTCAACAATGTAAACAAATGATAAAAAATTCATGAAACTAGCGTGAGCTAGTTTGCCTCACTTCCCCCCTCGTTTGGGGGAGGAGGGAGGCAGGGCAGGTTAGCTGGCTGCTCCACCACCACTACTTATATTGATGTATTGGTGCTTGGTCGCCCTCTCAGTTCACTCTGGCTCTGGTCTCCTGCCATCAGCTAAGTGGTGTTATGCCTTTGAGGCTTTTACTGTGCACAGTGGTACAGCCTGAGCCAGTAGTTTAGTGTTCTTGGAGCTGCATGTGCTCAGGATTTCCTTCCCTGTGCACTTCTTGAGTACTGTCCTTGCTCTGTCAGGGTTATCTTCATGCAGTGTGTATGTATATATAGATATTATGTCTGACAAAAGTATGCATAACACAAGTGTTAAGTATACTTTCACTAATATGGTTAGTCTAGTTATTTGTGTATTATTATCATAATAACAATACAATTCTAACATTGCAAACTAAGCAGTGTACAGTACAGTATATATGTAGAAGTAATTTTTCTTCACTGTATCCTAATACAGTAATTCATTTCAGAATTGCTTATTATGTGAGTGATGTCTAGCCAGCAAAAGAGAAGTATATTTGATGATTCAGATGAAGATGGGCCATGCAATGAGGAAGAAACAACAAAATCTCTTGAACAGAAAGTCAGCAGCTCCATCAAGAATCATTCCAAGAAGACAAAAGTGAAGGTTCATAAGGAAATTGCTGCTAAGATAAAAGAACACACAAATGAAGAGTATCATGCTATTGAAGAAAATGAACCACTCGAAGCAGAAAAAATAGGCAAGGATGCAGCAGGGGAGAGAACACCTGAAAAACTGGTATTGACTCCAGCACAGCGTGCCCTAATGGAGCAAAAGAGACAACAGGCACTTTTATTAAAAAGAGATAAGATAAACAGAAGAAATCCTTATGTTAATAATGAGTAAGACATTTTATTATTTTTTCTAACCCTTTGACTAACCAAGATATTTTGGCATGTCATACCAGGTATTTTGCTAAGACTTTACTAACCAGATATTTTCTTTGCCTTGAAAAACGGGATATTTTCTGAGGGGAGCCTCTTGTGGCTTCCTAAAACTATACACTGAGATGGTTCCCATCTACCAGGTCACATACTACCAAGCTTAGGCATACCAGAGACCAAAGAGCTTCCCTCTTTAATTCTGGCCCTGAAATGTCTAAGGTTTCCAGGTCGTGGCAAGGTTTAGTTCAAGATGTGGCTCGGCCATCTCATGGGGTTGCCCCTACCTGTCATATACCTATCAGTGATTCTGAGGATCAACGTCCTCATGACCTGGTTTCTGACCAGTCTTCCTGGTTGAAGAACTTGTCAACCAGGATTTATCAGGATAATCAACCATGCTGCGAGCATCCTGGTTGATTAGGTATCCTTTGAAGGTATTTATCAAGTTCTCTTTTCAACAGTATGAGAGGTTGACCAGTTATGCTGTGTACATGTAGTGGGACAGTGTTGAAAGGTCTCTGGCTCTTTGATATTGAGTTTCTCTCTCAACATGCCTATTGCACCTTTCCTTTTCAGTGGGGTTATTTTGCACATCCTGTCATGCCTTCTGATATTTGTCTGTGCAGATTTGGAACCAGTCCTAGTATTTTCCCTATCTAAATTATTATGTATCTCTCCCCCTACACTCTAGGGAACACAGATTTAACATTGTTAAGCAGTTCCAATAATTTAGATATTTTATTGAGTGGATTCTAGCAGTAAAAGATCTTTGTGTGCTCTCCAGGTCGGCAAATTCTTCTGCTTTGAATGGGGGATGTTAGTGTGCAATATTCCACTCTAGAGAGCACTAGTGCCTTAACCTTGCAACTGTGCATTGCAACCAGGGTTGTTTCATTGATGGTGTGCACAGCAGTCAGGATTGTTTTAGACCTATCAGAAAATTTAAAACTCCCATGCATACTAGGGGTTCACATTTTCTTCCTCAGGCTTCCAGTAACCATCCCCCATCTTAAAAAAAAAAAAATCCTGAGTCCCTCACTTTCCTTCTAGGGCCTTAGTAGGAAGATGAGGACCATGTATTGCACATCACCAACCAGTGTCTGAACATGCTGGGCAGCCATATGAATATGCAAACATGCTTTTAGTATATTTATACATATATATATATACATGTGTATATTTTCAGAGTTATGCATAATGACCACCACCACCACCACCACCACTGACACATCAATATAACTTGTTAGAATGAAAAATATATAACGTTAGAAAGAATGAAATTAAATCTATAAAGTTATTCCTGAGCAGCACCTCTCCTCATTTTTACTGAAAAACACAACTTCTCCAAGCCACTACAGCTAAACCACAAGAGGTAGAGACTACTTGAATTTTTGTGCCTTCTGGATGCTAATTAACAATATCAACTGGAATTTATTTTCTTCATAACAATACTAGATACTAGTGTTACTAGTGTCAGGGGTAATACTAGTATCTAGACTACATCTCTGAAAGATATTTAGGGCCTGTGATAGTGTTTTTTTGCAATTGTTGGTAAATACAGAGTTCCAGGAGTCTGGGCCTGGTGCAGAGTGCATCTGCATGCTGTCTATAGCTGCCTCAAAAGTCTAGGCGGGGTTAGGTTGACATTTGATGTATGGTTCGAAGGTGGTGTCACATTCATAAAGAATTTGTTTTGATCATTGATCTTCAATGTGTTCAGGGGTTCACTTAAAACTGAACCATACTGTAGCTTCAGTATTTCACTCATTTCTTTGTTGTCATCTGGGAAAGTTCCATCAGCCTTGTGCAAGGGCTTAATGCAAGTTGTAGTTTTTGTTAAAAATTTTGTATAGGAGAAAAGTACTGTATTTTGAATTCCCCTTTGACTTATGGCCTTTTGCTCTTTTTCACTCTCCTGGATTTTGTGATCATTGCAACTTTAGCTCAGTTGTTTCTTTTTCTCTACATAACCTTCTTTGTCATTTTTGGGATAGTGGAGCATTTGAGATGTTCTGCAATTTGTTTTCTTCACCTATAGAGGGAATACTGTTCTTATTCCAGTTACCATCTTTCTCCTTAGCAGTAAGTGGCCTGCAAATATTTCTAGTGCTACTGTGTCTATTTTCTCAAGGCAGTGGTTTAAATTTTCATTATCTAGCTGTCTTTCCCAGCATGTTTCTGCTAGGTCTTGGTTTATTTGTTCCCAGTAAATCTGTTTCTTAAAATTGTTGATTTGATGTTCTCCAATATTTTCATGTACGCTTTCATATGCATATCTCTCACTATTTGTATGATGCATAGGGGGCTGTGTTTCATTTCCCTCTGGCCGGCTGAATCATCTTAGTCTCTCAGTAAGGTATTGGCATTTCTTTCCTTGCATTGGTTACCAGCTGCTGCTTTGGTCCTGTACGTATTTTTTGAGGTTCTATTTTTGTTGGCTTTTGCATTTGGTTGTCAAGTTTGGGAGCTTCTTGCTCTCCTTCTGAGGCATTACTTCTGTTCTTTTGGCCTTGTGGGCAAAATGTTTCTTCATTTGCATCCTTATTTACTGACAAAGAATGAGACAGTTGGATTCCAGAGGGGTTCATTGGTTGTTGATGCTTGGTTTGTCTGGCCGTTGTGTATCTTTTGTTGTCTGGTTGCGGTGGTTCATCGCTGCCGAGGTAGATGTGATTTTTATCGACCTGGTTTTCTTGCTGCCTTGTTTCATGGATCATTTATCCTAGGTTGCCATAGTGTTATGAAATCTCACCAGCCTGCAGTCTACCCTCAGGTTCATGATATTAGTGAGTATGCAGCCTTGTCCATTATGTTTCTAACATGTTGTGGGCTGATATTCTGGCTCATGGGTTTGGAGGTTTAGCAGTGTCCTGGCAGGCTTGTTCTCTGGTTCCAAGTCCCAGTCATGCTTTTTCTCTGGTCAGTCTTCCAAGTCCCAGTCATGCTTGTTCTTTGGTCAGTCTTCCAAGTCCCAGTCATGCTTGTGATGCCTGGGGGGGAGTTTTCCCATCTTGGTACAGTAACTCATTTTTGTGAGTGTCGTTTTTGCTCCTCTCCTCCTTCCATGGTAAGTCCCATGTTTTCCTTCTCTGTTGTTAGTTAATTTCCGGGAGCCACTGTTCATCTCCAGAAAACCAACTTTGAACAAAATAAAATGCCTCTTTCTGATAGGGCCTCGAGGGCTCTCCAATTCCCTTTGCCCTACCAGATGCATTTGTAAACTCCCTCCTTATCTCTGGACTGAAGCCAAAATGGTGTGGAAACTGGAAGCTCCTGGTGATGTTGGTGGCTGGTTGTATCTATGGGTGTATCTGAGTGAAGGATTTGCCCGTTTCAATGGTTTGCATTCTTTAAATCTTGCAGTTGTCTCTATTACCTTGCTTACTTTCTAGATTTTTTTTTTTTTGTGAAGGTGGTGATTTTTTTTTCTTCATCTTGACTAAGCAGTATCTAATTTCATAATCCGAGTTCTTTAAACTAGTAATGAATACTTTTATTAATCAAATGTTTGTTAACTGTTACTTGCAATGAATTCAAAGTAAATTTGCAAAAGTTACATAATTTACTCTAAATATATATTAATATTTCCAATCATTGCTGCACTAGAATTCTACTGTAATATAAATAATATTGCACTATTTTTAACTTTGTTTCTTACTGAATATTCTTTTAAATAATTTAATGCAGTGCAGCCACATAAAAGAAAATTTGTATTTGTTACAGGCATCAAAGTACAGTATACTGAATAGTGATACATAGACAAATAGTCATAGGATTCAAATTTCTTGTTGCAGTTAATTTACTTATACTTTGATTCAAATTATTACTAGTACTTAGTTAAAATTATGAATCTAAATTTGAATAAGAGACAATAAAAAGAATACTTACATGTATATTGTTTAGATTAGAATTTAAAAAGAAATTTGTCTAGTAGCAATTTTGCTTTTCAGTGAGAAGAAGGATACAACAAAAGTAGTGCGAATTAACAATACAAAATTGATTGATTCTGGAGGTGGCTTTTTCATTGAGGAAAATGAAGATGATCTCAGTGATGACATGCTGGCAGCAGTGAGTAATATTGCATATTTACTATATGATGAATTTGGGTAAATTCACTGGTCGCAGGATGCTGAAGAAAGTTATTGATGTTTGTGTTGGACTAAAAAATGAATATGCAGTATTAGGTTTATTACCAAAGTTATCATGTGAATAAAAAGAGGAAATATTGTCTGATATTCTTCAACTCTTCATCCAAGAATTCTGTCTAGTATTAATTCTAACAACCCGAAGAGCTCTTAGATACATAGAGGACAAAATTTATTGTTTCACATTGTATCTATGCCCTGAGAAATAATGAACATAAGATAAATTATTTGCAGGTTTTCTGTAAACACTAAACATTAGTGAAAAATCTTCCTTATGAATAAGTATATGTAAAAATGGCAAACATTAATAATTTTCAGTCTACAATAAATTTGATAGAGGTGACTTGATCATTAAGTTAAGGTAAAAATTCATCTGAATTTACATTTGTAGGCCAAATACATAAAATATCATCTCATTTTGTATAAACCACTTCATGAGGTTATCTTGAGATGATTTCGGTGCTTAGTGTCCCTGCGGCCTGGTCTTCGACCAACCCTCCTTTTTGTTACATATCCCCAGGAAGCAGCCCATAGCAGTTGTCTAACTCCCAGGTACCTATTTACTGCTAGGTGAACAGGAACATCAGGGTGAAAGAAACTCTGCCCATTTGTTTCCGCCTCCACAGGGGATCAAACCCGGTGGAAAGGGGGGGGGGTTTATTGGAATACTAGGTCTCCTGTGGTGTGTTAGAGATTCGTTGCTTGCTTAACTGGACACCCTTTTCATACAAACCCACCAACCAAACAACATTATTCTGACATATTACAAATGCATATTAGCATACTATAGTTGGATCTTTCAAGTAAGTGGTGTCATTATGTAACACCTTTGACCGTATGTATTTAGTATTATGTGTATTTTCTTTATAAATAATTATCCAAGGTTATAATTAGTACTTCATAATATCAAATATCATTACTGCAGATGAAGGTGGTGACAGAGCCTGCACCCTTGTTTGAGGAGGACCGACCCCACTGCCTGGAATGTGATCAACAGTTCAATAATTCTTTCCTCTTTCAAAACTTTGATCACCCAACATGTGATCAATGCAGGTGAGGTCATACTATAGTGAAATGCAAGTACAGTGCAATGGACTATACAGGACCAACTCAGATTTGTTGGAGAGAGAGATTCATTGCAACCAGAGACGCCTTCAGGAAGCATTTGTGTGATGCAATTTTTCTGAGGGGGGAGCCCCTACGGCTCCCTGGAGCTTATCGGGCTAATGTATTTTATATTTGACCGGGACATTAGCTATGGAGTTCAGACGTACCAGGGACCATGAGCCAGAACCTGGCCCCTTCAGAGAGGTTTCAGGGAACAGTGGCTCTGAAAACCCCCCCCCTGTGGTTGGGGGGGTTTTCCTTATCTGCCATCGACTTGGGTTAGGCACCCAGAAAGGTAGGCATAACAAAACAAACCCCACATGGTAAGAAACTAACAACAAAACCCGAACAGAGAGGTAGAACTCCCTTCAATCCCAAGGAAACAAGCAAATGTAACACACTACTGCCACATGGTTCATCCGCACAGCCCTCCCCTCCCCAAGAGGGGAAGGGGGGAGCCCCAGACCTCACCACGCCGGCTCCATAGCACTCCAGTTCGTAAGCTAATGTCAACCGGGACAGACGATTCTCTGGCCTCAATTTCCTAGGCGGTATTTGCCTCCGTGGCGCTCACTACTGTGTTTTTGTGTTGTGTGGTGGCCAGGTGTTCCTCATCAGTACCAGGGCTGTATGCACTTAGGGGCTTCCTTCCCTAAGCGTCCTGTGAGTACTGCCCCTGGGTGTCAGGGTTATCTTCCCTGGGGGAGTTTGGGACCCATTCCTGTGGGGGTTCTTGCTGCTCGGCATTTGCTTCGCCCTTGGGACCAGCTAGGGCCCTTATTTGGCCTTGGGTAGGGACTGGTATCGTGCTGGTTGGGGTATCAAGGTGTTGCGCGACCTGCTACGTACACAGCGACCGGTTCCTGTTGCCTCTGGGGACGGTGTACTTTTGTGGGATTTTTCTTTTCTTTTTATTTTCATTTGCCTGGTGGGGGTTTGCCTAGTATGGCTATAGTTCCACTGATATTGTTTGGTGGCCCTCTGCTAGGCCCCTGTGATTGTACACGTTGCAGGGGTTTTCAGTGTTAGCATCTACCCCTTGTTAGATTTGGGTGTTAACCGGTTAGCGACACCTTAATTACATTCCTGTAGTCGTCACCCTACAGGCCCTGGAAAACCCTGTCGGGGCTCGGTGGACCAGTGGATGTGTCTTCCGAGTTCCAACTTGTCTTGTGCGGGTTCGTTGGTTGCTATGCCCTTGTCGCAGGGTGACAACACACTAGGTTGGTTTTCCACCCGGATGGCCTGGGTGGGATATCTACAAATATAATTAAAACCGTGATTGAAACCATGTTAAAGAGTTACTTTTGGAACCCCACTCAATCTCAAGAATGACAAAGAAAGCTATGTAGAGAAATAAAATGATTGAACTAAAGGTACAAGAATTATATAAAATCCAGGAAAGGCAGAGAGAGCAAAAGGCCATCAGCGAAATAGAGAGAAATCCACGAAATGAGCGAAATACTGAGGCAACAGTATGATTCTGTTTTCAATGAGCCCTTAAACACATTGAAGATTGATAACCCAAATGAATTCTTCATGAATGTGATGGCAACATGAAATCATCTTTCAGATGTCACCCTAACTCCACTTGATTTTGAAATAGCCATAGACCATATGTCTATGCACTCTGCATCAAGCCCTAATTCCTGGAATTCCATACTCATCGAAAACTGTAAAAAACAACTATTGCAGGCCCTGTATATTTTTTTTGCAGACAGAGCTTAGATACTAGTGTTAGCCATGACATATTAAAAAAAGCAGACAATGCACCATTCCATAAAGGAACTAATAAAGCAGAGGCAAAAGCCTTTAGGTCGATAGCACTAACATCACACACAAAAATCTTTGAAAGAGTGAAAAGAAATTAGATCACAAAACACATGGAATCCCAGCATCTACATGGTTTAGGAACAGGGTAATCTTGCCTATTACAATTACTGAACCACTATGACATGGCCTTAGATACCATGGAAGACAGACAAAACGCTGACATAATGTACAAAGATTTTGCAAAAGCCTTTGACAAATGTAACATGGTGTTATTTTGCACAAAATGCGTTCAAAAGGAATCGTCTGAAAAATAGGAAGATGTATCTACAATTTGCTAACTTAACAGAACCCGATGTGTACAGTATTAGTCAACAAAGTAAAATCTGGACAATCAACCATGAAGAACTCAGTCCCCCAGGGTACTGTGCTTGCTCCAGTACTCTTTCTCATCCTCATATCAAATATAGACAAGGACAGAAACTATAGTACCATATCATCATTTGCAGATGACACTAGGATTTTTGAGAGTAGACAACATAGAAAAGACAGCATACCTCCAAACTGATGTTTTCTGATTGGCAGAAAATATGTTTTTTAATGAAAATAAGTTCCAGCTCCTGTGCTATGGGAAAAAATTAAAATATAAAAACGAAAACCACGTACAAAACAGTCAAATCATACCATAGAACGTAAAATCAGATGGAAATTTAGCGTTTCATTACATTTAACACTGTTTTTTTGGGAGTCCTTAACATAAATTAAGAATACTGTATCAATGAATCCATGACCAAGCCTTGGTGAACTTTGTTTGCTGTATCGTTGCAGTCAGACATCTCTTCTCCAACTGTGATTCTATTTCCTGTTTTTTAGATATTTCTGTATCCAGTTTAGTATTGAAATTCATGATCTGTGTGTTTACAGATAATTTTTTTTCACCCTAGATGCTTTACAAATTGCTCCTTGATTATTTTCCCCAGTACTTTTTCTTGGATACATGTCAGTATAATTGGGCTGTAGTTTAGGGCCACTCAAAATACTTAGTCTATGTTGGGTTACTGGGGCTTTAATTACTATAATTTTCCAGAGATACAGATGACAAACATTGTCTGATTACTAAGACTGATGCCAAAAATGAATATTTGCTGAAGGATGTCGACTTTGATCAGCGAAAGCCACCTTTGAAATTTATTGTGAGAAAAAATCCCCACAATTCAAGATGGGGTGACATGAAGCTGTATCTAAAACTTCAGGTCAGTATCTGTGAAATCTATCCATCAGTCTGAGCAGTTACTTGATCTAGTTCAGAAATTATATTTTTCTTAGCACTATGTTGGAAAGAGTGCTAAACTCTTTGAGTGCATAAAGTGATAGGATTGATTCAACAAAGACATAAAATGTGATAAGAGACTTACTCAAGTCCATGTTTCTAGAAAAAGTTTTCTTATGTAATGTTTGACCAAGTCCTTTGATCTTAAAAGCAGGCCTCTGAACATAGTAAATGCTGCTAGCAGTTGGTAATAGAATCAAATGTCACTGCATGCAGTAGTACTATAAATAGCTAAATATGCTCTTTCAAACCCAGACACATGGCTGGTTTGCAATATCCTTGCCCCTCTAGAGTTATCATTGCACGGTTCAAGTTTCTTCCTTTTATGAGCCGACTTCTTTAGTCATTTTGCTTCTTCATAATGAATGAATTTGTTTCTCACTGCAATTCCTGTTAATGGGGAGTGTTTGTAATTTTTTGTATATTTGTGTGGCTATCATGCCTAGCTCTGCCCCTATGTGGATTATTTTTATTCTGTGGCTGCATATGCCTTTCCTCGATGAGTACAGTACGTCAGCTAAGATGAACAAATTCCTGTTTGCCTAGCCTTCCTCCTCATCTGCAGAGGGTTCAGGCAGTCAGTCTTCTTTTTCCCCAAGAATGGAGGATTTGGTTAGGTTCGTGTATTTGGCAGGTTCCTCCATACACTGTTGTATTTTCAACCGTAGCTGTATTATATTTGTGAGATGTATTTTCTCCTTCATGGGTAAATAGCTTGAGTGAGCTACAAGGGGGCTCCCCCCAAAAAAAACTAGCATTGAATGTAATGAAATGTCAAATTCTGGGCGAGCAGATTCTGGTGGTTCCATGATTCCCTTCTTCCTTTCCATGTTGTTGGGTAGGAGTGTGTGGGTACCTTTCCCTCCAAATGAGTGTGGGAGGTAAGGTGAACTAGAACATGCTACTTTTTGGAGATTCGATCATTTGTGTACATTTCCGGTATGGGTTCCAGGTAATACAGTCGGGTTCATTCTCGACTCAATCGAGAATTCCGGGTTTGAATCTCTGGCAGGACAGAAAAATAGTTAGGCACGTTTCCTATTACCTAATGCACTTGTTCACCTAGAAGTAAATTGATACCTAGGAGTTAGTCAGCTTGTTGTGGGGTTGCATCCTGGGAAAGGTCAGTAATTTGACCCTATGGGGGGGAAAGAGTGGCAAGGGTGTGGAGCTAACTAGCAGTTAGATCTGGACAATGAGGGTCTGTACATTGTTCAAGTCTGTACAACTGTTCAAGCAGTTGCTCTTCTTGTTGTGCAATACCTTTCAGGTGGTTTTTCCCATTGGTTAGAATGGTAGTCTAGTAACTCCCAGACTTTCCTTGTCTTCAATGGAGCTAGATTTTGGGACAGGTCTTACATAAGTGCTCGTGATTCAATTGAGTCTAGTGTGGTACCTGGGTTTGGATAGCTCCTGGTAGGTAGTCTGGGAGGATGTAGAGGATAACTCTCCCTGAAAACATATTCACAAATGTCCTATATTAGATGACAACTAAATTCTAAAATTTAAGCCAGTACAGTATTGTTAAATTTTAATTTTAATGAGCTTGTGTTTATTAGAGATTATGTGATCTATTTCTTAATTTTTCTAATTCTGTTTGTGCTTATGTACACTTATAATTCAAAAGTATTTGCAGTTACTGTACCATCATTTCTTACAAATGCATTAAAAATCAAAACAAATAGAATTGATAACTTGAGCAGATTTTGTTAACCTGTATTGAGACATTTGAATTTATGTAAATAAGCTAGCAGTATATAATGATGAATCTTTACAGGTCGAAAAAAGAGCTCTAGAGGTATGGGAATCTGAGGAAGCATTAGAAGAAGCCTTAGAAAAGAAGGATAAGCAACGCGAATCAAATAAGCAAAAGAAGTATAATAAAAAGATGAAAGGTATGGTTAAATGAAGCATTTTTCTTCCCCTAAGTAGTTTTATTTTTCAATTATTGTATTTGATATGTAATAGTATTGTAAAGCTAAAATCTTTGTTTAATATTTAGCTATCAGGTTGTGTTTTAGGGAGCTCATGAGTTTTATTTTATCAGAATATTAAAAATAGATCAAAAATATTAACTTGTGATCTATGCTGGTGCCACTGTACTAAATGTAACCTTTCCAGCTTCACTGGAAGTTTTGATCAGTTTTATAGTTTTGACTACTGTATTTGCCAATTTTTCATATTAATTATTGTTCCATTAAAGATAATGAAATCTTTTAAAATGCCATTATACTGTACTGTACATTAATTTGTTTACTGTAGATTAATCTGATGTGGAACTATATAGTAATTATTTGAGTTTGCAATTACAGAACTGAGGATGAGTGTAAGAAGCAGCTTATACACTCGTGCCTCAAAAACTCACGAACATGAATATGGTGAAGAAGTTTATCTTTCTGATGAAGATGAGTATTCCCGCACGTGCACTACCTGTGGGCACTCATACACGTATGATAAATTGTAGTTAGAATATTTTGTGACTTTCCTTCAATTTCCTGCAAACTTGTGTGACAAGCTGAGGTAATATTTACACTTCAAGTATTTTGCTCATTTCTAATATAAATTTACATTTGTTTTCCTTAGTCGTCCCCAGTTTACCAATTGGCTCTCAACTTTCATTTTATTTAAACTGCCATCCACATTTCCAAGCCATACACACTTTACTTCCCATTACCTGTATAGTAAGCATATTTAAAACTCAGGTATTTAATCTATAGATTTAATTTGTTGCATTCTAGTTTGATCCCATTATAATATATATTTTTTAAAGAGCTTATTGTTACCTAATTTTGTACAGAATTTTTCACAATAAGGAATCATTTTTAAATTCTCACTTGTGAGTTACACCACACTGTTGCTGCCTGTGGCAAGATAGTACTGGTTCCCAGGGTATGGTATGGAACACACAAGACAGGTCAACATTTCATACCAGCACAGCAAGGATGTATTCAAATGAACTTGCCAGGTCATACTGGCTAAGGAGACACCAGAGATGACTCATTCACTCTTAATGGCCACCAGATGGCATTACCTACACCACAAGATACCTTTACTTGAAATCTAGTTAAATTCCTCCTGACTTATCTGCAATACAGTAAAGTGCAGGTAGAGACTTGAATTCAGTTAAGTGTTGTGATTATCCTTTGAGATTTTTTGTTTCTTTGTGCAGTGGGCCCATGTTTCAAATGAACTCTTCAGATGTGCATGTTATTATGGAACCCCCTTATCTTTATTTATTGTACAGTATTTCCTCTTCCCCTGTATAAATGACTTTTTTATTACACTTGCCCACACTACCCAGTTTACCTCTTCCAGCCTGAATACCATAATATAACAATTACACCTTCACACACACACACACACACTTGAGTACCTATCTGGTATTATTATTTACATTCCTCATGGAACTGAGTCATTCAGAAAAACTTTTCTTCTGTCCAGACATGGTCCCTGCATCTGCTGCTCATCTCCTCACCGGTCAGCACAAAGATTCAGAATTCCACCACTGGCTGAGACAAGTCTGCAAAACACAGATGGTGGTTAAGACTTTAATGCCTGTTGTCAGATATATCACAAAGGATGCTTAACCACACACCTGGCAATTTATTTTGCAGATATAATACAGTACAGGTACTATTAAAAAATTTAAAATTTTATTTTTATTTATTTAGTGAAAATATTGGGTAGAATCATCGAGCATGAGCAAAGAGCATGGCAGAAAAACTCTTACTCTAATTTAAAATAAAAATAATTAACCCTTACTGCCCACTATGCACATACAGTAAGTCAATATTTTAACCCCTAGGCTGCACCACTGATTTTACCATGCAACACTCAGATGTGCATAAAATAACAAAAATTCTAAAAATTTCTTTCTTCTAATATTGTTAAAATATATTCTCTGATCATGGAAAAAAACAAAAACAAATTGTATGTGACTTACTTTGGCAATGAAGCCTGAAAATTTTGCGATGTCACAATTCACATGCACTCATTGAGTAATTGCTGCTAGTTGGTCGCCCTGAGCCAGCTGTCAGGTGGGAGTTGTTGCAAATCTATTTATATACTATATTTTAATATTTCTGTTTCTTTTTTTTTTCTTTTTTTGCAGTAATGTTATTTAGTAGTATGTCTTTTGAGAAATTTATGCAATAAATGTGTGGCACGTCGGAATGCTCAAATATATTCGTTATTAAGATGTGTTTATAATATTTGCTTGGAACAATACAGCGTTATATTTTTGGTGTTATTATACTGTATACACACTTCCAATATAACTACGTACATTTTCATGCAAGATTATTAACCACTAAGACATTCTGATAGGTTTGGTAACCTCATAAGGTTTCCCAACGTCAAGAAAATGGGCAAATTAAAGTGTCCTCTCCTAACCTATCAACGAACCCAAAACGGAAATGGGACAGTACGTCACTTTCGCAAGCCACTTCCATTTTCAAGTACGACAATTTTTTGCCTTTTGTAATGCATACGATCGAAATGCGACGTTCTTAGTAAGAGGACAGGTTGGCTAGCGATGGTTAGTAGACTAAACACACATCTCATGGTTTCCTTGATTCTATGTATAACTAACCATCCTGTGAGATGGGGATATTAGATGAACTTATAGCTAGCTGTTGATCCATATTCTGTAATCCCTCCTATAGAATAGGATAGCAGCACACTATCGTGTTCCTTGGGTTGTTAATAAAAAGGAAAAGTACTACTGAAAGTATTATTTCCAATAAGTTCCTCCTCATTGATTACTACAGTACATGCCATTTCCAGAATATTTCCTGTTTCTGGTCAAATACTACTACAAATATAGTAGTAATGATTTTATTATCCTCTGAAACCTAGAGATTTGTTGCATACATCACAACGTCCCTAAGACTGGGAGTGGTGTAGTCTTCCAGTCAGAGAGAATCGCCACCCTGCTCACCGAACATATTTTAGAATTATCCTTACAACTATACCATTCCAGTATCTGAATGGAAAATTCTAGGGACTTCTACATTGGCTAAAACACTTAAAGCATTTAAACAACTTTAATGACATTTAATTTTCAAGGGGATTCAAAATATATATACTGAAATGAAATGGAGACCTCATTTTCAGAAGGACATTGCTGTTCTGGAGAAAGCACAACACCAGGCAAAGAAAATCATTGCAGAATGAAGTCAACTCCTATATCAGGAACAGCTGAGGGCAACAGGGCTAACAACACTGCAAACCAAGCATGATAGGATGGATCTCATTAAGACATTTAAAATACTGAACAATTTAGAGGATGTTGATTCAAACAATTTCTTCGAAAGATCAGATGTAGCACAAACAAGGAGCATTGGTTTCCAGCTTAACAAGCCACAATGTAGGCCTGAGAACAGGAGATGTTTTTTCACCCACAGGATTATAAATCCATGGAACAACCTACCTGCCATATCTGTAAATGCAAAAACACTTAAATTTTAAAATCGAGCTGGAAAAATCATCAGGGCAAATGATCTTTGACAAGCTGCCAGCTTCCTGTCTTCATCGAGGCCTCTGGAGTGTTAATGGCCCTTGGAGCAAATTCAGGTAAATACCACATTAAAATCTACATTGTATAGTACTCCAGTATATTGGTCTGGGTGTGGCCAGATAAGGTTTTAGTCTTTATTACTTAGTGTTTTATATTTTTACACATTATATGGGTAAGTGATTTTAAACTAATACAGTAAAAACAGTATTTGAATGTAGCAAAGTAAAGAAAGTTAGGTAAAATTTATTCAGATTCAAATTCATTGGCTTAATCTTCATTGTTTAATTTGCCAAGAATAATATAATATGTAGGCCTCTAATTACTAACATACTTTAAAATTTTGATTATGGGTGAACTACAGTATTTCCATTAGTAAAAAAAAAAATTTTGGCATGTCGAAAAGCACATTAGCTATTGGCTTCTCTTAGTTTAAATGAACAGCAGTTAATATTGACTTATTAATAAGTATTTATATAATAACTTGCCCAGGTACTGTAATTTTTATTTGTCATTTCATAAAATACATATTTAAAACGAGTTACAGACTCAAAGCATATATTGCTAGCATGACGGGAACGTCCGTGATCTGGCGATGAAGATACTGTACTGAATTTTTAATTCCCAGTTGCATACTGGGATTGATGATTGATGAAGAGTAAGCCACCCAAGAGGTGGCACAGGTCTGAGTAGACCATAAGTGGTAGATTTTTTTTGAGTGAATGTGATCTTTGGCCATGAAACTATTGCATACGGTTGTTCAGTCAAGAATAACTGAACTTAAGTATAAGTAACACTTTCACGCTCTCAGCATTCAAAAAAAAAAAGCATACCCTAGATGCTTTCCGCGCTTCGCGCGCCTACGCGGTAAGACCGAAAAAGTGTACACTCTTTTGACTGTCCTGATAATAATTGAAGGCGCACGTATTTAAATTTGCTATCACTGTGTTCGCAATAAAATTGTCTATAAGAACATATCTATAAAATGCCGCCAAACCATAAGGATTATCAACACCAAATAAAAAACTATTCAGATCACTAGCCGAGAGCGCCAAACAGCAACAAAATGTTTCCACTCTCTTAATGGTTGCGAAGCCTACAGTTGTCCTACATCGCTAATTGTGGTATCATTGGAATCGCAATAAAATTTTCTACACGGACATATGCATATAAATATAGATTCAATGTCGTAGCCCACCCAAAACAGTGTGGGAAGTGGCCGAAGTGTTACCCGCGGCGGCATATCGGCGAAACTCGCTTTGAAAAGTGTATATTCAATTCACTGTCCTGACATTATTTGTCGATGTATGTATTTCATTTTTGTACCAATGTGCTCGCAATAGAATGTTCTATAAGAACATAAGTATTAAAGGTCACATAAGGATGCGTTCAACCGGCAACATATATAAAAACTACGTCGATTACACTCGTCGTGTCAATAATACAATTGTTTTACCACGATGATTCACTGCCACGCCGTTTTCTTTTATAAGCTGTTCGGCTATTAGAGAAAACGTAAATTTCATGGCAAACATTTGTAAACTATTCCCAAGCTGATCGGATAATAAATGGATTTTATACAAATATTTTTGCTCGTGACTCCCGCGAGGGGCACGCGTGCGGTATGATTAATAATATTGGTGCCGACGACGGTCTGCTGGAAAGCGCCAAAGTGGTATTTATCCAAAGAAGGTGCCAAGCCGGGGATATATAGCCGACTATATGTAGCAACTGTATGTATAAACAAGCTGCAAGTGACTGGATGAAGGTAATAAGCAAGTGACAGGATGAACACACCAGTGGGTTTTCTTCCTACTGGGGGGTGTTGTAAATGTTGCTATGGCAGTGTGTCCACTTGGCGCTGCCCAGTAAACTCGAACCTTGGGGTAAAACTTAAACTGGCTGCCTCTCTCCCGATACAATGAATTATTGTTATCACGAATTAAGGAGCAACACTTTCAAGCGCACCAAAACACAAGATGGAAAACATGGGATTTTTCACCCACAAGGTTTTAAGTCCATGAAATGGGTCTGTCTAATTACCACAAGCTACCACAAGCTACACAAGCTTCACAAAGATTCCTGGCAATACGTTAGTAATGAATAAATATGATATGTTAGGTTGATCTAACCCAACCTAACTTAACCAAACCTAACCTAACCTAACCTAACCAAGCCAAACCAAACCTAACCTAACCTAACCTAACCTAACCAAACCAAACCAAACCAAACCCGGTCCGTCTAATTACCACAAGCTACCACAAACTACACAAACTTCAGAAAGCTTCCTGGCAATACGTTAGTAATGAATAAATGATATATTTACTCATTATAATGTTGGTGCTGAATGTACAACACGAAAAAACATAATTTTAATCTGAAAAAGTATCTTTTTATAAAGAAATTAGACGAAAATAAAAAGCTGGTGACGCCAAATCAAGTCGACGATCCAAGCTTCGGTTAGGTTAGGTTAGGTTTGGTTAAGTTAGGATAGGTTAGGTTAGGTCAGCCTAACTTAATATATCATATTTATTCATTACTAACGTATTGCCAGGAAGCTTTCTGAAGTTTGTGTAGTTTGTGGTAGCTTGTGGTAATTAGACGGACCCACCAAACCTAACCGACGCTTGGATCGTCGACTTGATTTGGCGTCACCAGCTTTTTATTTTCGTCTAATTTTTTTATAAAAAGATACTTTTTCAGAATAAAATTATGTTTTTTCGTGTTGTACATTCAGCACCAACATTATAATGAGTAAATATATCATATTTATTCATTACTAACGAATTGCCAGGAAGCTTAGTGAAGCTTGTGTAGCTTGTGGTAATTAGACGGACCGCACAGAGGATCAGGAGTTTGGTTGGGGTTCAGGCACTGGTCCCAGGTAGACCTATAGAACTCCATGGCTAAAGCAATGTAGTAGATAGTACCATATTAGGAGCCTGACAGCTGAGTGGACAGCGCTTCGTATTCGTAGTCCTAAGGTTCCAGGTTCGATCCCCGATGGAGGCAGAAACAAATGGGCAGAGGTTCTTTCACCCTGATGCCCCCGTTACCTAGCAGTAAATAGGTACCTGGGAGGTACCTAGCTGCTGCTAGGTACAGAGTAGCTGCTACAGGCTGCTTCCTGGGGGTGTGCAACAAAAAGGCCTGGTCGAGGACCAGGCCGTGGGGACGCTAAGCCACGAAAATCATCTCGATACATTTATATAGTAGCTTCAGGGAGCCACAAGGGGCTACCCCTAGAAACTGTTGCCTTGCATCATTTTACTTTGGCCACTGAAAAGAGCCCCTTCAAGTAAAGTACAACTGCTATAGGAGTGCAGTTGTTGGGACAATTAGTGATGGCTCATATTTTGATTAGGGGGTCCATAAGTACAATTGAACTTGATCCACTCTTTAATTCAGAGAGAATTATTTTTCATATACTTCTTGTGTACTCACCTAATGTGTGTTACTAGTACTATGGGAGAATGTATAGTTATAAAAATAGATGTCTAATAATATCAACACTAGTTCATTACTATAAAATAAGGAAAAACAGCTTAGTTGACAGTGGTTACCTTACCTTGAGGTGCTTCCGGGGCTTAGCGTCCCCGCGGCCCGGTCGTCGACCAGGCCTCCTGGTTGCTGGACTGATCAACCAGGCTGTTGGACGCGGCTGCTCGCAGCCTGACGTATGAGTCAGCCTGGTTGATCAGGTATCCTTTGGAGGTGCTTATCCAGTTCTCTCTTGAACACTGTGAGGGGTCGGCCAGTTATGCCCCTTATGTGTAGCGGAAGCGTGTTGAACAGTCTTGGGCCTCTGATGTTGATAGAGGGTGTTGGTGAGGGAATTTAATTTTTTTTTTACATTTTTGTTACTAACAAGCTTAAGAACACAGTAGTGAGCTACTATCTTGTTTGTTAGGAGGGATTAGAAAGTATAGATCACAAGCTAGCTATAAGTTGACCTAATATCCCCATCTCACAGTGGTAAGTCATACTAGTCTAGTAACTAGTACTAGCACACTTTGGGTAGAGTATGGGAGCACCCTATATTAGCAAATTATATATTCACAAAGTTTTGTGTATCTCATGCCATTTGGTCTAAAATTATTAATAACTGGGCACTCACTAATATAATGCTGATGTGTGTGTGTCATGGCTCTTGTTCAGTATACATTTGGAGAGTTCATTGATGGGAGATAAGTAATGATATCCCAGCCTAATTCTGGCAATTACTGTCTAGTGGATGTTTTATGCTGTCCGAATGTATAGTTCTCATTTCTAAATGAATCATAACTCCTGATACTAGTATTTTCTTCCCTTCGAGTGTCATTGATTGCTATTCTGTCAGTCCTTGTTTCATAAAGCAGTGGTTTTGACAAATATTAGAATACAATTTCAAGGTTCATTAAATGCAGCTTTAGCTTCCTTGTCTCCAGCTATATAGTTGCACTGGCTTAGCAATTTCTCCTTAAAATTACCTGCCTTGTCTATATCATGTTGAATATTACCTATATGAGATGATATTTATGTTAGAGAGACTGAAATACTTGCCATGTGGATCAGTTAGCGAGTAAAGCAGCAAACAAAATATCAAAATGATTAGCATCCATGTGCGATGACAATGATTGTATTGGGTGGATTTAATTTCCTAACATTTTTTTTTTATTAAAGGCTGGTTTGCTGAATGGAATGAATGGCTAAAGCTAAACCCACGTGCTTTAATTCTGAACAAGCTAAGTTGCCATGGTATTATCTACTGCAGAATACAGCCAAAGAGCTTTCAGTTACACTCCATTGATGATTATCATTACAAATAAGACTATTGCTCGAGCATATGATTAAGTCAGTCAACTTTATTGTGCATTTTTTAGTGTATTTCACTAAAAATAAGTTTATTTTATTCTTACAAAATTCTTAACAAAGTTAAGCAGCCTGCAGTTACAAGTACAGTATCTTGGGATGCATCTCTGTAATAACAGATGACTGAATAATCATTTGACATATATTAAATTTGCAGCAAGCAATTTGGTAAGGCCACTATTGAGATATTATCCAAAAGCAAATGTCCTATCAATTTTTTAATATGCAATAATTAGTTATAAATGATACAACACTGAACATTTATGCAATTTTTTATAATATTACAGGACATTTGCATCATAATATATGAAGTAATTTTTAAGACCATCCTTATAATATTCAAGAAAAAGTAACACTTCATCTATACAAAAATATAAAACATAATTAGTTCTTAAAATTCTAACAAATGGGCTGAAGGCTAAAAATTTATTTTGTATATTCACTCACACAGTAGCCCATTGTATACATACACCTGTATATCAACTGTGATGCAGCTTCACACACGCATTTTAGAAATACAGTACTGTACAGTACTTGGTTGATTAAAAATAAACAAGCCTTAATAAAAATATAGAACAAAATTAAAACTGACATTAGAAGTCAACATGGCTGAAAATTGTTTTATGTTTATAATATCTATAGAAGGCATGTATTTACAAGTTTATATTTGTTATAACAAGAACACAAATGTGAATTTTCAATTAATGACTCAAGTACATATGAGATCCAAACAACAAATCAAAAATGAAGAAACAATGACATTTTGATTCATCTTGGACCATTATCAAGCTGTGTAATGGGAAAAAAGTGGAAGAGATAATATGAGGGAAGATAGTGGATGAATGAAAGGTAAGAATAAGATGAAGGAAAAATTAGGATGAAAGGTAGGAATAATATGAAAAGAATGAATAGGAGAAAAGGTAAGAATAAAGAGAATTGGGTAAAGTAAAGGAAAGGTTAGAAGTGAGGGAAGAAAACAGCAATTAGAAAAAGTTAGAAAAATAGAAAAGTAAAAATGAAAGAAAAGAAAACTGCAAGATGCCTAATGGTAAAGAGAAAAAATCTAGTAATGAACGAGAGAGAGAAATGAGAGCCTCATAGGGACAAAGCTTAGCCAGATCACGTTTGTTAAGAAGGTTGGAGCATTTAAGTATGTACTGTGAAAAGGAAGAGTCAACCGCAACTAAGGTTAATGTTGGACATATGTATCAGAGCTGATTCAACAAGATGGTGTCTGAAGAGTAGAGACAGTAAAGTTCATTTTAGAAGACAAATCTATAGGATGATTAGTCCCCCTAACTTGACAGAAAGGAGCATTGATTGTGTCTACAGATAACTTATCCCTTCAGTAGGTGTCCTGGTTGTTCCTGGTCCCAAAGTGAGATTCTGCGGACCTCTGGTACATACTTGATCTCTTGGATGTGAATTGCTCATGATGATCCAAATGGTCATGATGAAAGTCGGACATCCACTGCCAGACTTTCTGCATGACCAATTTGGCCCAGGTTTGCCTGCTATTACAGGCAGGGGATGGACTGTCCTTGGACCTTGGGGATGCGTAATAACCTTTCCCTATTCATTCAGGGTTCAGGGACTGTAAAGGCTTAGTCATAGGGTGTCATGCTTATCAATTCAAAGGTCTTTCCTTCAGCTTGAACCTGGCTTCCATGTATTTACCAGACTAGTGTAGGTTGTTGTGGCCCAGCTGCATTTGTTAAGAGTTTGTATGTTGGCTTACCTCGACGACTGGCTGGTGTGGGCTTTCAGCTGGTCCACATGTCTAATGGCCAGAAATCTGGTTGTTTTCCAGCTTGCTGGGTTTGGGTTCCTGGTGAACTGGCAGAAATCCCAGTTGGTGTCATCACAGGTTTGGATTTTGCTGGGTCTCATTTTAAACTCTTAAGTTAGTGTCTCTTTCCCTGCCTCCGGCAGCTTTGCTCCACCTGCAGTTTCATTGCTGTCTGGTGTTAGATTGGTCTCAGGTCACTTGCCGATTGATTGAGTGGTTGTGTGGGAGCCTGAACTTTGCCTGCCTTTTCTGGGTGCTGTTTGGACAGACACAGATAGGACACCAACCACCCAGACACCTGCTCTCCATATAAACGCGGGAGAAACATCAGAATCCTCAGATGTAAAGAGCCAAGCAGAAGGTTGAACAGACAATGTATGTTGCAAGGCCAATCTACGAGCAAGAAATGCCAGAAACTAAGGAGGAGCCTGCCATCAAGGAGCCAGACTACATGTAGGGTCCAGCTGCAAAGAAGGAAGACCAAAGCTTTTGGTTTAGACAATGAACCACCAGGGAGTAGTCAGAAAGAAGCCAGAGCACAGGACCTGTAGAAAGCTGAAATCCACCTCAGGGTATGGCACACAGCTGGAAACTCTTACACCATACTACATCCATGAAGGAACAGCACTGATGCCAGGAAACAAACACAGACATGAAACTCCAAAGACCCTTGAATTACCCAAGGTAAGGCACTCCACCCCGGTAGTATGGCCTCAAAAGGGAAAACTTCAAAACACACCAGAGATGTAACACTGTTACTACAGGGGCATTACTAGTGAGTCTCCAGGGAAAACTACCCTGAATGCATACTGCTCAAAGTGCAAAACAAGCAAAGTCTACACAAGAAACCAAAAATAAAACACGCATATAAAGCAAATGCTAAAAAGGAATGATACTCAAGCAAATGTTTTCCCTACAGAATGAGGTCCAGAGGATGGCCAGCACATAGCTTAGAAGCAGGGAAATCCACCACAACACAAGGTGACCCAGGAGTAGTACAATAGTGGTGTTAACATCATGTCGGCAACAGAACTGACTTGGGCGAGTTGGGGAAGGCCAGGGGCTCTGAACCCCCCCCCCCCCCAATGGCAGATGTTGGTATTAACAGGTTCGAGCTAGTTCAATTGTTTCATTTCAATTGTTTGGGGGAGTTGTTTGGCAGTTTTCAAGGCTTCAGTTCCTATGAACCTTGCCACTGTCTGTAAAGCTTTGCCGAGTTTCTGGATGCTTTCTTGGTGGAGTGATGGAATGTCACTTCCTCTCTGGACCTCTGTGAAGGGGTCAGGTTATGGCTCTGGTCCCTGGTAAGCCAAACTGAATTCCCATTACAGATGTGACCTAGTAGCAAGGAGCAATCTTAGCATGATAGCTTCAGAAAGCCTCTAATGGGGCTCCTCCAGAAAATATACTGTGATTGACTAGTAATACTATCACAATAGATCTTACTCCTCCCTACCTACTATAATTTGGATTCACAGCAACACACACACTTGTATTGTTTATAATACTAATAATAAGTTTAGTTCAGAATATATATGCCTTGTTAATACTGCAATTCATAAAATGTTTCACAGCAGTTTATTAGAGGCTTTCATCAAAATTGTATTATAGAGACTCTTAGACAACTGTCCAGTCTGCCTGGTCCTGAGTCCAGCCCTGGTTCATGTAAATATGAAGAGGTATTCTTCAGCTGTAGTCTAAAAACAAGGAAATTTGTAAAAAAAATATATGCAAAATTGTAGGTAATCCATCCTTCCTACAGAATATACCTAATACAGTACTAATACAATACTGTAATGTTAAATATTACTTGCCGATTTAACATTAATATTATACTAGCTTTAATATTAGTATTAAATACTAATACTAGCTTTAATATTAGTATTATTGTTAAACATAAGTTTCAAACGTGAAAAGTACATAGTGGTACAAAAGAGAACAAATGTGTAGCAATACTGGTATTAAACTTACTGTAAACCCTGATACATAGTGACTAGCATCCATATAACATAACACTTTAATTAATTAGGTAACAATTAGGAGCCTCAATGGTCCAAGTGTGGTAGGTAATTACACTAATTTCCTTAGCAACAATGTGGCAAGTCATACATGATCCACTGTTCAATCACTATTGTTGCTTTGCAAGAGGGAATATTGTACTGTATTTATTCTTGTGCATCTGGATTTAGTACGATAGCTTTCCAGTTTGTAATGACGGAAAGTTTATCAACTTCCAAAGCTGTGCTGCACATGGGACAATCCTCACCATCCTCAGCAATCCTAAGAGAAAGTGGAATTCAATGTGAATAAATGCCATGTGGAATTGGAGAAAATAGACCACACAAACTTACAAATTATGTTGAAAGAAATTACAGAACTAATAAAGAACGAGACCTGGGGTGGTTTTGGATAGTATGCTGTCACCAGAGGAACACAAAGAACATTGCAAGAGAAGCATACGCGTCGCTTTCCAATTTCAGACTTGCTATTAATTATATGGATAGTGAAATACTAAAGAAACTGTTCATGACTTTTGTGAAACCAAAATTGGAATATGCAGCAGTTGTATGGTGCCCAAATCTCAAGAAGCACATAAACTGGAAAAGGTGCCCTGGCATGCTACAAAATGGCTTCCGGAACTGAAAAGCAAGAGTTACGAGGAGAGACTAGAGGTGTTAAGCATGTCAAAATCAGAAGATAGAAGAAAGGTGATATAATCACCAATTACAAAATACTAACAGGAATAGACCAAATTGACAATGAGGAATTCCTGAAACCAGAAACTTCACGAACAAGAGAACGCAGATTCAGGCTAAGAAAACAGAGGTGCTGAAAAAATATTAGAAAATTTTATTATGCAAACAAAATGTTAAACGGTTGGAACAAACTAAGTGAGAAGGTAGTGGAGGCCAAATCCGTCAGTAGTTTCAAAGTGTTAAATAACAAAGAGTACTGGGAAGACGGGACACCATGAGTGCAGCTTTCATCCTGTAACTACACTTAGGTAATTACATACACACACACACACAAACACTCTTAGGTAATTACACACACACACACTTTTAGGTAATTACACGTAAGGTAATTACACACAAGAACTTTGCAACACATCACTAGCACAAGTACAACCATATGGATTGGTGAAAACCATATGAACATTGGTATACATATCATGTAATTATGATATATAATTATAAACCCACGTTCGCCAAGTAACATTTATGACGTTAACCACATTCACACACTAACATGACCATGAAACAAAAGCAGGATGTTTATCATGGGCCAAGGCAAACTCAATTACATCCACATAGAGCTATTCATATCCTTATTTGCATCATATGTATAAAACAGACAATAGTAGTTTAAATCAACATGTAATGATAACAGCATTACCCCCTTGCATCATCATATGATAGCTACTCTTTAAGGGTTCAGCAACTGAAAGTCTAATAGTACAACCAATTATTCTAATTGAGGGAAAAAACAAATTCAAAGTACACAAAAACATAACACACTCACTTTATTAACTCAGATCTAATGGCTGGAAACTTGCATGATGAACACACGGTAACGTCATCAGGGAGAATGTGCCGACCCTGTTGGAGGACATGTAATAACCTTACAAAATGTTAAATTTTCAAAATGTTTTCAGTCATAAATGTAAAAATCCATAATTTTCATAATTACAGTATTTACAAACCTGAAATAAAAGTATCTATTAAAATTAAACATATGTATCCAAATCAGTTGAACTCAGTTTTGTCAGCCTGAAGTTTACAAATAATTTACTGTACATTATTTTATGCCCTATCTCGTATATGAAATTCTGATCATTAAGGGAATGGCCTCTAATAAAGTCACTAATATGTTCACTGCCTTCAATTGTTAAATACATATGAAAAAGTTGTTTATAAAACATCTAGTCAAGCACTTAACATGCTGATGTGTCTTTCACCTTTATTACCAGAATTGAATGTAATGAAATGGCAATTTCTGGGCAAGCCTCAGTGGTTCCCTGAAGATACTATGCTAATGTTGTGCCAAACTACTCGGTGTCATGAGTCACAGAGTTCTTTTAGGCATAATGGTTACCATGAGCCAAAACCTGGCCCCTCTACAGATGCATATTTATGATAAAATTTTTATGAATTTATTCATGTCTGCCACCACCAGGAAAGGCACCCAAAATGTCAATGAAACAAAATGAACCACTGCTGGTTTTAGGTAAGACCACAGCCTCAAAACTGCCTAAAGACTCCTGCCAGTTCACAGGAACCCACACCCAGTGAGATGGGAAAGAATCAGATCCTTGGCTAGCAGACATGCGGACTGACTGGAAGCCCACACCAGCCAATCATCAAGGTAGGCCAAAACACAAACCCCCAATAAACAAAGATGAGCCAATACAACTTGAGCCAAGTGTGTAAACATGAATGTAGCCAAATCAAGTCCAAATGGGAGAACCTGAAAGTGGTAAGCCTGAGGCCCCATGACAAAACCTAACCAATCCCTGAGCCTCTGATGAATAGGAATGTGCGAATACATGTCCCAAAGGTCTATGGAGATCATCCAGAATTTGCCTCTAATGCAAGGCACACCTGAAATAAAGTGGTCATGGTCTGGAATGTGGGGTAAGGGATGAACTGTTTCAGCCTCAAAAGGTAGAGGATGAACTAGAGGTACCCCCCTCCCCCCCAAATCCTGTTTTGGAACTGGAAAGAAGCAAAAGCCCAACTAAAGTGATACAATAGCTTTATCTATGCCAGAAACCACCGACTCACCTGAGCCATAAGTGATAATGCCAATGAGTGACCTTGTGCCATGAGTCGTAAAGAGTCATTTTCCAGTAACATATGTAGAGTTTAGTTTGGTAGTTCAATGATCTCCAAACATATCCTGTAGGGAAGTGATTTGTAACTCACTTGACTTTTCTGGCAATTCCCCTTGGTAGTGAGTTGATATTGCCCCACAAAAGGGGCAAGATATAGGTCCTTGCTCCTGTTGAGTCACAGGAGTCTGATTTATAAATATTGTCCCAGTGGTGCCAGTGTTATAACTTAGGAAAGCTACTGAGGGAGTTAGCCTAGAAATTTTATACTGATAATGCATCTGCACAAAAACTTACAGTTGCAATGCAATATGGTAGTGAATTTTGACACTGGCCACATTCTAAAGTGGTTTCCGCAACTGGCGATGCACAAAATGGACAGGGGGATGTAGGCTCCTCGTCTTCGGTCTTCTGTGGCTTACGAACAATGGCTTCAATTTTTTTCTTGTACTTTTCATCAATTTGATTACGTGTTTCTGGACGCATTAACGTAGCAGCAAAGTTAAAGGAAGAATTTTTAAGTCCAGAACGTTGGCATTCAATCACAGTGGATGTTAAGATGGGCACCATGTCTGAAAATGTATTGTTGTTTTAGAGGTCTTTTTAATTCAAGAATATTAAATCATCATAATCATAATTTGTAATCATAATCACAATCTGTAAATTATATCTATTAGACAAAAACAGTTTATTACTGTACAATTATTTTGATGTACAACTGTACACTCCAGATTTTACAACACATACTGTATATATATTTCTGATCTCAGAATTTAATTTCTGTTAACTAATTAGCTGTAACATTCAATTAATCCTTAGATAGTGGCTATGGAGAAATGGTCATATACACAAAAAACCAGCGTTGAATGTAATGAAGCGCCATTTTCTGGGTGAGACCCGGTGGCTTCCCGGAGCTATCCAGGCTGATATGCTAATGTCAGACTTTGGCATCAGTCATGTGTATGGAGTTTTTTGGGCCTACCGGGGACCACGGCCAGAACCTGGCCCCCTCAGAGAGGCAAGGGGAGCAATGGCTTATAGAAGAAGCCCCTGTGTGGTTGGAAGCATTCTATGTCTGCCATCGACTGGGTCAGGCACCCAGAAAGGTAAGCATCTCAAAACAAACTTATTCTGGTGAAAATATTGCTACCAAAAGCCGAACAAGTAGATAGAACTCCCCAAACAAAAACGAGCAAACTAGTGTGACATCACCTATTGCCGCGCCGCCGTCTGCGCAGCTCCCCCCTTCCCGGGAGAAGGAAGGGGGAGCCCCCAGACTCACCGCACCAGCGATCCACACCCTAGTTCTGAGGCTGGATGTCAAAACAAGCGAAAAACCGCCGACCGGAGGAATGACGGTTTTGATCTCCCCCCCCCCCTTCCTGTTTCTAGCCCTGAAATGTTCGAGGGTTTCCAGATTGGGGGAGGGTTTAGAACAAGATGTGGCTCAGATGGCTCCAGGGGCTGCCCTTTCTGGTTCAGATGAGGAGGCATTTGTGCCGGCTGGTCCTGTCAAGTTTCGGGGTTTTCCTTTTTTCAGTCTAAACTATTGTATACAGAATACTTAAGCAAATTACTTACTGTATTTCCATTCATAAATATTTAAATTTTATTTGACAATGTCAATGTATTGTGACATTACAAGTTTACAAACTCCAAGATAATTCTGGATTATAAGATAAATCTCTTAATGAAATGAAAACTAGTAATAAGAACACACCTAACAATAATTTAATTGATAAGCAAACACATACATTCATCATGTTAACAAGAAGCTTCTGGACTACCTTGACAATGGAGTTTTAACACTAAATTTCGATTATTCAAATTTGCAACTCCAAATTATCCACAACCAATACATTTCTACAAAAATATTAATTAATGAAACCCTCTTATATTACAGAACATCTTGACAAAAAGAAGTCTACTCACGTGCTGGAAACTTTGATATGTTCTGAGCAACTCTGATAAGCATCCTTGCAGCTTTAAGGTGGTCGCCACGTTTCACATGCAATCTGGCTAATGTATAGGAATGAAGCAGCAAGAGAGATGAACTCATGTCTGCTGGAATTTTCAACTTCTGATGCTGCAGTTCCCCATACATACCCAAAAGCATATCATGAGCATGACGATAGTTGCCTGAAATCATTAGTAAATTTGTGTTAATTTATGATTTTTCTAATGTGTTTAATCTCTATACTGTACTGTATTACCTGAATATTTTATCTGTATATGATAACCTGTTTCAGCACCTACAGGCAGGTGACTCAAGCATAATTTACATACTCACTAAAGAGTGTACCATAAAATATGAGACATCAATTACATACTGTATTATTATTTCCTGGAAAGGCCCCTCCTAAGCAGCTTCACTATACTACAACCTAGCCTTTCACATCTTTCCTAAATCTTTGCTTATCTAATTTGCATACACTGTTTTGTGTTATCTTTTGTATTGATATTATTTAAAACCTTATTTATATTCTCTCTGTTATACCCTTTCATTCAATAGGGCAACAAAGTGGGTAATAATGATCAAAGAGAAATTAGATATGACATAGCATGCAAAAGTTGTGTAAAAGAAATCTGTTAAGAGTGCCATAATGCTAATTTTGAAAGATTATGGGGGTTTCTTGTTGAGGGTAGATTGGGTGGATCTGAATATGGGAAATGGGCTGTCAAACGACAAGTCTAGCAGTGACAATGAATTATGATGCAAGTTCAAATTATAATTTATAATTTAAAAGCATTCTTAGTGCAGCCCAGGAACATAGCATACCTTATGAATTGGTTAGGGTGAATAATAATTACAGTATCTGAAATGGATAACCATGGCATTAAGAACCTGATCTGTAAAATAAAGAAATAAAGCTACTGTACAGTACAGTATATACAAGTGATGGAGGCCAGGTTCTGGCTCTGGTCCCTGGTAGTGCAAAGAACTCCACAGCTGATGTGACCTGGTAGATGGGAACCATCTCTGTGTGTAGTTTCAGGAAGCCATAAGGGGTTCCTTCCCCAGAAAGGACATTATGACCCTGACTGAGATCTAAGATGAAGAAAAGACACATAGTGACAAAATGAGCACCAGGCAACTGCATGCTGCTGCTGCTGCTGTGAAGACAAATGCAGGTGGACCACCAACAACCCAGCCATCTGCTTACTGTACAGTTGGTAAAAGATCCATGTAACAAACACCAGACGTGAAGAGCAGAGGCAATCAAACCAGTGAATTACGTTGTTGGGGAAATCTGCTGAAAAAGGCAGAGCAGCAGGTAAATGCCCAGGTTTGGACAGCAAGGTGAGAAGCACTGGAAATCAAGACTAGACTCTGTCTTGTGTTTGTCACCTCACCCAAAACTTTTGTGCCGTATCACCTCACCCAAAATGAGAATAAGTACGATGAATTTTTATGTGTAAACCAAGTCTTTGAAAATGTAATAAGAATTACGAAACGCGTTCAGGCGTCAGACCATAAATAAATATGAATTTTCGAGATTTGATATTTCAATTACCATCGACAGTGAAGAAAAACATAAGAAATATTTAGAAAATTCGTGTTAGAATATACACACATATATATACATGCATACATATATATATATACACATATTCATATACATGCATACATACATACATTCATATATAATAAAACATATCTTTATACTGTACCTGCATTCTGTTCCTCCCTTGCAATAATAATGGCAGTTTTGGCTGCCTCACGATACTGACTTTTGGCCATGTAAAGCCGGAACAGATACTTAGCATCCTGCAAAGCGAACAACAACAATGAATAAACAATATTTTTTATTTTTTGGCTCCAAATGTTAGAAACAAAGCGCTAACCCCACAACACTGTAAGCTTTCAAAAACCATTATTAGCTATGATGTGCATGGAACTTAATTATGTCATGTCAAAACCTTCAATATATGAACACACAGATCAGTTAAAAAGGTGGGGTCTAAGAGCTAACAACTCAATTCTGCAGGCACAAATTGTAAATACAGTACTTATGGCATATGGTTTGCTATTCTTTAACCCTAAAAGAATCATATCTTGATGCCTGAGGTAATGTGGTTATCATCATATGTCGATTTCAATTATTATTATTGTCTGGGTTTTACCTGTTTGATGCTAATATGGATATAATAGAACTATGTGGATGAAATGGAGTTTACCTTGACACTAGAAAGAAAAACAGCATTCAATATAATGAAATACCAATTGCTGGGTGAGTTCCAGTGGCTCCCTGAAGCTACTATCACTGATAGTGAGTCATCTACTAGGTTGCATCAGCTACAGAGCTCTATAGGCCTACCATAAACCAGCACCAGAACCTGGCCCTCCTTGCAGAGGGACAGGAAGAGGTGGCATTTATGTATATATTTTATGCCACCACCGAGGAAGGCATCCAGAAAGTCAGCAATACAAGACAAACTACTGCTAACTTCAAATGACACCGCAGCCTCAAGAACTACTGGAAGAACTCCCTAGCAATGTAAATAAGTAATTTAAATCTCTTGAAACTAGTGAAAGCTCATTTGCCCCACCTTCCCAACTCATATATGGGGAGGAAGGTGGTAGCTCGCAATCAGCCGGTTACTCCACCATCAGTTGTATGGCAGATGTAACCTGGAGGGAGTGTGTCAGGGAGACAACAGGGCTCACCCAGAAATTTGCATTTCATTACATTCAATGCTGGTTTTCTGGGAGTAGCCCGTTGTGGCTCCCTGAAGCTAACTACCCACTGAGAAGAAAAACAAATGGGAACCTACCAAGGAGGAAGGAGCACCACAGGAGTCAGGACAATAAGGAGACAACACGGATGAGAGAGACAACCCAAACCCACACAAGGGCACAAGGGGGAGGCCAAAGTGACAGGACCAAGTCACAAGACAACCACCGAGGAAGAATTGGTGGCACGAAGGTAGTGGCAAAGAGCCGCCACTGGAGATAACACATGATGCACACCAGGTTATACCATCCATCAGTAGCCAACATAATTGATGCTTGGTTAGGAAATTGAAGATCAATCTTCCTATTTTTCCAGTAATTCCTTTTGAGTTCAATACATATTGTTTACAATAACACCATAGTAACATTTGTCAAAAGCTTTTGCAAATCTGTGTATATTACATCAGCATTTTGCTTGTCTTCCATGGCAGCTAAGGCTATGTCATAGTGGTCTAGCAATTGTGTGAGGTAGAAAAACCCAGTTCTGAATTTATGTTCTCCAGGGTTATATAGACACTGTGATTCCATGTGTTTTGTGATCTTACTACTTAGCATGCTTCCAAAGATTTTTGTGTGTGATGTTAATGTTATCAGTCTATAATTTGAATTTTTGCCTCTGCTGTATTCCCTCCTTTATGGAGTACTGCTAATTCTGCTGTTTTATGTATGTCAGGGTAAAGCCTGTATCTAGGCTCTGTCAAAATTTTTTTAAAGGCCTGTGATGGTGTTTTTTTACAATCCTTGATGAACATGGAATTCCAGTAATTAGAGGCTGGTGCATAGGGCATACTAGCTACTTTAAAGGCCCAGGAGGGAAAGGAAGGGGAGGGTGACATTTGAAATATGATTTGATGTTGGTATTACATTCAAGATCTCATCTGGGTTATCAATGTTCAGTGTGTTTACGGGTCATTGAAAGCAAAACCATAATGTATCCTCAGTATTTCACTCATTTCTTTGTTGTCATCTGTGAAATTTCCATCTCCCTTGCATAGGGATTTAATGCTAGATGTAATTTTTTTCTCAGTTTTGCATGGGAGGAAAAGTATTTTGGATTCCATGCTATTTCACTAATAGCCTTTAGTTCTCTTTGCCTCTCCTGGATTTTTTGATTTGTGTAGCTTTAGTTCAATGTTCTATTTCTCTACATAGTCTTCCTTGTCATCCTTGGGATAGAGTGGGGGCATTAAAGTTGTTCTGCAATTTGTTTTCTTTGCGTATAAGAGAGAACACCTTTCCTGTTCCAAATTATATTTTTTTTCTTAAAGAGGTATGTGCCTTGAGTATATTTCTAGAGCTACTGAGCCTATTTTCTCAAGGTTTTGATTTAGGTCTGCATTTTCTAGCTGTTCTTCCCAGTTTATTTTTGAGAGGTCTAGGTTGATTAATCCCTAGTTCATTTGCTTATTATTAAAATTGAATTTACTGAATTCTCCTCCTCTAGGATTTGGGATTGGTTGTGCAGGTCTGTTTCCCCATGCTAATCTGAACTTCAGTTAGGTTGTCTTCTGAGTAACATGTATTTCTTATCATTACGTTCATAATCATGATAGCATTTGTGAAAACACCATCAAATGTGTTTTAATTAATCTACTTCCCACATTCTTTCATTTTAGGTGCCAAAAACCCCCAAGCAAGGTGATGTTAGAAGCTGGGTTTGTAAGGTTGTCTAAGCAGTATTCTATTTTCATTCGTTGATTTATAAACTGCTGAGGATTTGCCTCTGGTGACTTATATACAAGGATAATAACCAAATTTAGGATCTCTATTTTGATTATTAGCACTTCTACCATATCATTTGTGGTGTTCAGCAGCTCAGTACAAAAGAGTATCTCTCTGATGTACAGGTTGACCCCACCCTGTAGCCTGTTTCCTGTCACATCTGAAAAGATTGTACTCTGGTACCCATATTTCATTATCATGGAAATCCTTTGTGTGAATTTCAGTTCAGGCTGCAAACACCATCTAAGAAATGACCCTCTACTGCAAACCCTAAAGTCTCAAGTAGATGATCTATGGTAAACATGCATTAAATTTCTTGTCACTTTGCAAAATTACTTGAACAAACAATATTCAAATATAGTGTTTTTCTCTCTACAGTGATACAGATTATTCATGAGCATACAATAATTTATTTATGACAATATAAATGAGGAATGTTAAAATGTTATTAATTAACATTTTGAATATTCAACAGTATAAAAATAAATTGTAAATCTACTTATAATTCACAATTCATTTATTGCATAATTTTTTTTTGCATCTCTGCTACAAAACATTGATTTCTGAGCACTTGTATACAAAATTCATATTTATAATGCAATAAAATACTATGTAAACATGAAAAGAACTGAGGAAGGCAACAAGCAGGAATGGTTAAATTGGACAAGTCTAGCATAAAGGGGCCAGCCCAATATAATGGTCTCATTTGACACTGGTATTTTTAACTTAATGAATGCTTGTTTTTTAGCAATAGTTAATAAATTTTGATTGAGTGCAGTATGTTTATTAAGCTAAATACAAACACTGATTCCAACAAAATGTTAGGCGAGCCCTGGGTTACTAAAATCAACTGTAGTGGATTCTCGGCTCAAAAAGGATCAGAACCACTGATTTACCCGACGTGAAAAAGACTCGATACTTAAAAATTAATATCAACTTACTTTTGGAATGCCATCAAGTTCACCCATCAAGAAGTCAATTAGCTGCCGAGTCAGACCGTCATCATTTGCTGCTGCAACAACATCAATTGCCAACTGTATGCTCTCCAAATCCTCAGCCCCTGAGCCTTGTGAAGCTCGTATTAAATGTTTGACTGCCTGTAATTGATTATACACTTAATTTATGTTCACTAGACTATTACATGAAATGTAAAACAGGATTTGAATTGATATTATTCAAAACACTGCATATTAGCCCCTTTAAGCCCCTAACTGTGCTAGCTAAGTAGATGCATTGTCTGACATGCACAAGAACAAAAAATTCAGAACAAATTAATTTTACTTACAATTGTTAATTATCAATCAGGAAGTACAAAAATCTGTATAAAAAGTCTCTACTTATTATGGTTTAGCTGTAGTGGCCCAGTGAAGCTGTGTGAATTTGGTACTGTAGCTAGTAAACTCGTCAAACAAAAGAATTAATGAAACTGCAACTGTAGAAGGTCTATTGGCCCATATGTGACAACTCATATAATATAATATATTATAATATAAATAATACACACACAAACACACACAGTATATCCACACAAATTCCTTCATATTTATGCCTAACCTATGACTGAAACTATCAAGTAATCCTGCGTCTATTACATTACCCAGTAATCTGTTACACAAATCAACGACCCTGTTTCCAAACCAGTATTTACCCAGGTCTTTGAATTTTAATATTTTGAACAATTTCTAGGCAAGCCCTGGTTGCTCCCTGAAGCTACTATATACTAATATGATACCATCTACTAGGTCACATCAGCTGTGGAGTTCTATAGGCCTACCTATAGAACTTATCAAGGCCTACCTTATAGAATTGGTGAGGGTTGAACCAGTGTCAGAATCTGGCCCACTCACTGAACCTCCCAACTATGAAAACAAATTATCAAATTCTCTGAGAACTAGAGTGAGCTTATTTTCCTAACCTCCCCCACTCATTTGGGGAAGGGGGAGGTAGCTTACTATCAGCCAACATCTCAGCCCTCAGTTGTAGGAGAGATGTAGGCATCCATTGAACAATATGGAAGAGAGGGAAAGGATCAGGGAGCCACCGGAGTTCATCCAGAAATTTCATTACATTCAACACTGGTTTTCTGGGGAAAGTCCCTTATGGCTCCCTGAAGGTAACTACCCACACAGAAGGAAAACATAACTTTCCCAGGGAGGAGAAAGAAGCACCACAGGATTCAAGATGAAGACAAGACACCCAACTGAGGTAGACAAGCCTTGGAAATGGGGGGGCCAAGGAAAGAAAATAAACCAGTAAGACATCCAGTGATGTAGGTTTGATGGCTCAAAGGTAACAGCAGAGAGCCACCACCAGACACAGCACATGATGCACTCCTGGCTGAACACCAAGCATTAATGACCAAAGGACAGCTCTGAGAGCCAACCAACTAGTTCTTCACCAGACAAGGAGGAGCAGGCAAACAAAATGCCCACCGGGGCCAAAAGAGCAAAAAACCCACCTCCGGAGGAGAGCATGAAACTCTCCAGCCCTTCAGCAGGAAGCAAGAGAGAAACCACAAAGACTTAAGAGAAACAATCACAGACCAAAGGGGCACTGTAAGAGGGGAAAAGAAACACAAGAACACCTGCTCATGTGCCAGGCTCAGGTGGCACATGACCAGGCTAGAGGCGAAACAATGTGCGAGACAGCTTTCAAAATGGAGCCGAGATAGTACTAACCCCAAACGCAACCTGCAGTGGCTCCGTCAGTGCCATACAATACAGGGCAACAGTACTCGAAATGATATACTGATCAAGAAAAAGTCAAGAAAGAGAAGAAAAGCATCATACAAACAGAAATCGAAGAAAGGCAACAAAAGGGAAAGAAGTAACAAAAGGAGCACCACGAAACCTCATATTGTCGCTGAGAGGAGGAATGCAAGTAGGACACCATCAAAGAAGCCATCTGCTCACCATAAAGATGGTGATATATATGCAGCAAAAATACCAGACACGAAAAGCAGATGAGAATGTTGAACCAATAAAGTACATCACTGGGCCAACCTTCTAACAGAGGCAGAGCCACGGAAAAATGCCTAGGTTGGGGCACAGAGTAAGCAGCGCCTTAAACCAAGGCTAAGCTGGCCACCAAGAAGCCAAAAAGATTCACTCTCCCCTGGTAAGACACCAACCTGGCCAGAGCCCAAAGCAACAACTGAACCGAGACAAAGAAGTACAGAAATCCCCACCTTGACCAGTCCAGCTGAAAGGCATCCACTGCGAGCCCCTCACAATCAGGGAACAGAGCTACGTGAGAAGGCAGAGGAAATATCCAAACACCAACCTAACCTGTTGGGTATTTCCAGGGCCTGGTTATCTTGAGAAGATTTTGGGGCTTAGCGTCCTCGACCAGGCCTCCTTTTTATTACACCCCCCCCCCTTCTCCCCCAGAAAGCAGCCTGTAGCAGCTGTCTAACTCGCAGGTACCTATTTAATGGTAGGTGAACAGGAACATCAGGGTGAAAAACTCTGCCCATTTGCTTCTGCATCCACTGGGATTCGAACCCAGAACCTCAAGACTACGAATCCCGAGCTCTGTTCACTTGGCTGTCAGCTACCTGTAAAGGCCTGAAGGGTAAACCAAGTACAACACCCAGGCAAAGTAAGCCGATACAGCCTGGGCTACATGGCTGTGAAGGCTCATGAGCCCCCAATGAGTCCCATCAGGCAATGCTCGCTCCCAACCCAGGTAAAGACAGAAGGACAACGAGACCCCTTACACACCTGAGATGAGGGCCACCCCAAGCAGGAAGGACCTCTAAGGAAGCGAATTCCCTAACACACCAGAGGAAAAAACTATCAGTGCAGGGACAGCACTAGAAGGAAAGAGAACTCTGAGATCATGCAGCTCTAAGCACACTAAAAGCCTAAACTATGCTACACAACATTGTCCTGTGTGCTTTGTTTTGTACAAAGTTCAGAGAAGCACTTAGTTGAAAAGCACCAGGGCCAGCCCAGCTTACTGATGCCCCAGAGGCCCTACTGCAGATGTCAGGAAGGCGTCACATCAGCGGAGGAGCTAAGCTTGAGCCAGTTGAACAGGGTGTGCCCTTGCCCCCTCCCTCCCTACCCAAATAAGTGGGAGGGTGAGGCAAGGAAGTCCACGCTTGTTTGAGAAATTTTCGACCCGATTGATACCTGTTGACCGTTTGTTTACATTGTTGGGGGAGTTCATTTGGTGGGTTGTGAGGCTTCTATCTCTTTTGAAGCCAGCAGTGGTATGTATTGGTTCACTGACATTCTGGGTGCCTTCCCTTATGAAGTGGAGGAGTGTCACCTGCTTCCTGCACCTCTGTCAGAAAGCCCAAGAGTTCTAGCTCTTTTCCCCAGTAGGCTGAACCCATCTTTACAGCTGATGTGATCTGTAGTTAGGGGCCATTTCAGCGAGATAGTTTCACGGAGCTACAAGGAGTCCCCCCCCCCCCAAAAAAAAAGAAACACGGAAGGATAGCATTGTGAAGCATGAAGATACTAGATACAGTAGATAGAATGATATAAATATTACTTACTTTAGGATAAATACCAGCTAAGTAATAGAATTTTCCAGAAAGGAAGTGATTTCGCTCATTTTCAAAGTGCAATGCAACACTTTTATAGTCTTCTGGAGTAGCATCAGAACCAAGAATTTCAGCGTACAATTCCATTTTTCCATGTGTTCGTGCCAGTTGAAATGCCTCATCCATACATTTGGAGAGAACAAGGAACTGAATAGCTGAATTGTAGTCATTTAACTTCTGGAAGAACCTGTAAGTCAGAGCAAAATTATCTGCATTGTGATCAACATAAATTTCCCTCTCGAATACAACTGGCCAGAAATTTCACATAATGCATGTTCATTTACAATTTCCCTTGAAGATAAAGACAACCTTTATTAATAACACCATCATTTATTACACAAAACTAGGCTTTGAGTTTACACTACTATTTATGAATAGCTGCCTTATGAGCAGGACACTTGGTGACTCATTAAAACAAGACCCTACAAGTCCCAAGGATCGATCATGCTCAGTCAGGGAAGTGTTGACATTCAGCACCAGTGCCAGAGGCATCTTTTCTGTCCCTGCAGAGTATTACTGGTGCCAGAACCACAAATGCCACCAAACAACAGGGAACTGAACAGAGGAGTTGCAGAAGAAAAATGAAGGAGGGCTTAAGAAATTGGAGAGGCTACTTCAGCAAACCTAGAGAAGGACCACGTAGTTTAAATTCCAGTAGTTTAATTACAGTATTGATTCTATGTGGGTAGAAAGGTTCTCTGGATATTGTTTACCTCTGATATCTTGCCTGCTAAGAATGGGTATGTAAACACTGAGCAATATTCCATACGAACTAACACAAGTGCTTTAAGAATTACCATCATTAATGTGGTATTTTTTGTTTTGAATGTTCTCATCATAAGACACTCAGTGACTGAAAATATATAGAAACAGCAATGTTAAATGTTGAAAGCCAGTCTGGAACTCTATAAGACACATAAATGAACAATTTGGGGATACGAGTTTGTATGGACAGTTGTATACCTGGGTAGTTATACAGAAAAACAGGTTGGCAGCTCGTTCTCTCAGGCTCCGGAGACAGGAGAGATCGGTCAACATCAGTGTGGTGCTCGGGTGGTCTCCTACCTTTTACAATAAGTGCATAGTGCTCAAGTGCAGATTGTGTTATATTTAACAGTGCATAGGTTCAATTAGTTTAGGTTTAGGCCTGTTATATCTAAGTGTATGTGTGTATTCCTGTATTTGGGGTCATGTTGAATATTAATTTGGTTTGTTCATCCCTGTGCAAGTGTTGCTGAACACATTCTGTGCTCCACCAATCTTGACCACCTATTAGTAGTGTTTAAAAGTAAAGTCATAGTATTGCTTAACTAATACTGAACTGAACCCTTATATTGTAAAGAGAGTGTAGAGTGAAATAACGACCTTGAGTCCAGATTTGTGTGGGATCCGTATTCAAAGTAATCTGAATGTTTACCCGTGTTGTAAAATTATCACACTCAATCTAAGTAATCCTCAAAGTTAATGGTATATTCCAGGTATATCCTTGCAAATTAAACTTTCAGTAACCCAATAAACCCATGTGTGAAATTTAGCCCAAAGTGTGATTATTGTCAAACTATGACTAAGAATACTTGAATTCTGTTTCATTTTATATTGAACATATATTTTCTTATATCTATATAAATAAAAATGGAAATGTGCGTTTGTGCATAACCGCTAATCTCCGAAATTTCTTCACCGATTGCTTTGAAATTTTCACACACTGTTTCATTCGCATCTGGCCAGGTTTTTATATACATACCTGTACTATATAGATGTCACGTCTGTGACGGTAAAAAAACATGCTTTTTCTGAAAAGCTATGTTTTTCACGTGAGGGAAATCTTCGAAACCTCTTTACCGATTGCTTTGAAATTTTGACAACGTTGCATTCGAATAGGCGCGTCTTTTTATATAACTACTATATAGATGCCACCCCTGTGACAGGTAAAAACATGCATTTTTGAAACATAGTGCCATCTGTTGCACATAATACCAACATGCACACTATTCTAAATATGTCACAAATTCCATTTCAATGTTTCCGATTGCATTCATAAATTTTATTTTCATAGACTTTGATTTATTTGATTTTTTAACTAATTATTTTGTGTGACTGTGTTGGAATTGAGGTGTGTTGTTCACCATACTGTTCATTTCGTAAGTATAAGTATAGATGCCAAACCTGTGACAGGTAAAACTATGCCTTTCTTGAAAAACAGTGGCATCTGTTGCATGTAAGAGCAACACACATGCTATACTAAATATGTTACAATTCCATTTCAATGTTTCTATTTGCATTGATAAATTGAATTTTCATAGATTTTGATTTATTTTCATTTTGATTTAATTATTTTGTGTGAATTGCATTGGAATTGAGCTGTGTTGTTTACCATACTGTTCATTTCGTGAGTATACAGTAATTTACTTTGTATTTTTTCATATTTTCATTTCATTTTTTAACTGTTTTTCGTATATTTCAGTGATGGGAACATCAGCTCACTTGATGTTCCCAATTTTGTGATGGGAACATCAGACCATTTGGGAAGGCATCGGACGAGGGAGTGGGGAATGGTGAGGATGACGAGGGGACGGAAGTGACAGATGGTGGGGAGGACGAGGGGACAAGGGAGGGGGTAATGGTGGGGGAAGGACGAGGGGACGGGGAAGTTTGGGATGGTGGGGACAAGGGGCTGGGGAAATGGAGAATGGTGGGGAGAACAAAGGGACAGGGGAGTGGGGCATGGTGGGAAGGAAGAGAGGATAGTGGAGTGGGGAATGGTGAGGAGGACGAGGGGACGGTGGAGTGGGGAATGGTTGGGAGGCCGAAGGGACGGTGGAGTGGGAAATGGTTGGGAGGCCGAGGAGACGGCTGAGGGGAGAATGGTGGGGGAGGACTGGGGGACAGGAAAGGTTGCTGTGGCTCAGCAACGCACATGCAATGCTGAGCCACAGCAAAGCGTGGCTGGGTAATGCTAGTTACTTATAAGAAAGTAAGGACGAGTTTCGTAGCCTGTACTCTAGGGTACAGCTTACAAGCACGTGCCCTTACATTGATGTTCATTTGTGATACCAAGAGAGGTTTTGCTAGCATTTAAATCTTTATGAATGTGCCTCTGACAATGAATCTGAGTTGGAATGAACATTTTCTCCAGTGTTTCCCTGGCATCTTACATGACTCTGTAGGGACCTTTGAAGATATCCTGTGGTACCAGTGTTTAAATGACATCCTACCCGATTGTTCCTGAAACCGTTCTATAACACAGCAGTCTTATCTCGTGGAGTAATAGACAGTGATCAAAAATAATTCACAGAACACAGTTACTGTGCTCTGTGAATTAATTACTTCTCAGTTACTGCATTTTAAATACTGTACAGTTTATCAAATAAATTAGAATGTTATTTAATACCAATATACTCTTGAAAAGTAATGTAGAGTATATGTGTTTCAGAGCTTACTCAAAGTGTTCCCAGTCACTATAAGATTCTTACTTGGCAACCATTTTTGCTCCTTCTACACTTTTGGTTTCACGAACAATCCTGACAGCCTCTTCTGGGGAATGGAGGTTATGTAAAAGAAGACGTATCACAGATTCATAGTCTCTTGCCGACTCGTAGTAAGTAGCTGCCTCTCGATACTGACCATCAGCTTCCTTAGCCTTTGCATACTGAAAAATAAGACGAAACAGATTTCCAAAATTCAACTCTTGTAAATGATACTGTACAGTGGGCTGCTTAACTCTACATAACTTTATTTGGTATAAAGAAATATGAACACCAAATACTTTAACATTTTTTTCTAAATGATTTACAAAACATACAAGTACTGTACCAATAAAATAATTATTTTCAGTAAAGTACTGTACTTAAGTTCATATATTTAATTATAAAGGTATTAACAGACAAAAACCAATGCTGAATGTAATGAAATGCTCATTTTTATGCAGCCCAATTGAAAGACTTTATTAAAATCAGATTGGAGATGTTAATCAAGACTTTCATGAAAATTCAAGCGTCATCTGCAAAAGATGATACAGTTCTATAGTTTGTATCCCTTTCTATGTCTGATATGAGGATGAAGAAAGGTATCGGAGCAAGCACTGTGCCTTGGGGAACTGAGCTTTTCACGGTAGATGATTCAGATTTTACTCTGTTGACTATTAAACTCGGAGTTCTGTTTGTTAGGAAGTTAAAGATCCATCTCCCTACTTTGCCAGTACCTGTAATTTCTTTAGTGCATATTTCGTCTGTAATAACACCATGGTCACATTTGTCGAAGACCTTTGCAAAATGTGTATATTACATCAGCATTTTGTTGTCTTTCATGGCATCTAAGGCCATGTCATGGTGGTGTCTAGCACTTCTAAACCCATGTTGCTCAGGGTTATGTAGACACTGATTCCGTGTGTTTTGTGACCATACTTCTTAGCAATCTTTCAAACATTTTTATGATGTGTGATGTCAGAGCTATTGTTCTATAATGTTTTGCATCAGCTTTACTACCTTCTTTGTGAAGTGGCTTGATTTCTGCTGTTTCAAGAATGTCAGGAATAACATCAGTATCTAAGCTCCGTCTTCAAACAGTGTTTAAGGCCTGTGATAGTTTTTGTTGCAATTCTTGATGAATATAGAATTCCATGAGTTTGGGCCTGGTGCAGAGTGCATGCATATGCTATCTATGGCTACTTCAAAGTTGAGTGGAGTTAGGGTAACATCTGATATATGGTTCTATGGTGGTGTCACATTCATAAAGAATTTGTTTGGGTCATTGATCTGCAATGTGTTCAGGGGTTTATCGAAAACAGAATTGTACTGCAACCTCAGTATTTCACTCATGTTTTTACTATCATCTGTGAAGTTCCATCACTTTTGTGCAAGGGGCCAATGCAGGATGTAGTTTTTGTTTTAAATTTTTCATAGGAAAAAAGTATTTTGGAGTCCTCTCTATTTTGCTAATGGTCTTTTGCTCTGCCTCTCCTGGGTTTTAAATGATTCTTGCAACCTTAGGTCAATCATTTTTATTTCTCTATGCAGCCTTCTTTAGTCATTCTTGCAATAGTGTTGGGTGTTCAAGATGTTCTGCAATATGTTTTCATCACCAATGGAGGGAACACTGTTCTTGTTCCAGTTTGCATCTTTTCCTCTTTTTGCTTAGTAGTATGTGACGTGCCCATATTTCTAGTACTGCTGTGCCTATTTTCTCAAGGCACTGGTTTAAGTTTGCATTATCAAACTGTCTTTTTCTAGCATATGTGAGGGCTTGGTTTATTTGTTCCTAGTTAATCTGGGGCCAGATTCACGAAGCAGTTACACAAGTACTTACAAACGTGTACATCTTTCCTCAATCTTTGATGGCTTTGGTTACATTTATTAAACAGTTTACAAGCATGAAAACTTCTCAATCAACTGTTGTTATTGTTATAAACAGCATCCTGGTGCTTCGGAGCTAATTACTTGTTTAATAATTGTAAACAAAGCCACCAAAGATTGAGAAAAGATGTACAGGTTCATAAGTGCTTGCGTAAGTACTTTCGTGAATCTGGCCCCAGGAGTCAAAAAGAGCCCCAGCAGATATATCAGTTATTCCAACCCTAAAATCTCCAAAATGAAACAGTGCTGTCTCCAGGACAACCAAATGAGAACCACACTGTGCACAAAATTGGATAAACGAACTCAAAGCAGTGGTTGCCTGTTGAACCTCATTGCAATAAAAACAAAAACAAAAATAGAAACCACATTACATAGGCTTGACCGAAATAGTGAACCAGCAATCCCAAATGTCAAAGAACACTGAGTAGATGGGTAATACCCACCCAACTAACAGCAGAAATAGACAGTAAAACTGACCACCATTGGTTTGTAGCAAAACTGATATACAACCCTCAAACTTGCAAGCAACAAATGCAGGCTTGACAGGTTGAACCATAACAAGACACACCAAAGACCCATGGGAATTGACATGGCTTACAAGTAAAGACCAAGCAGGACACTAAGGCATTTGGGATGAGTGCCGAAAGAACTAACATCAACCTCAGCATCTGGATAAACATGGCTATGAAGTGTGTCGGCAGCATATCGAATAGACGGACAAGCATGAGAATCACAGCACTTCCCACAACAAGAAACCCTGAATGCCCCCTAATACAGGGCCTCAGAGGAGTCAAATCAATTGGCAGTCTCCGTGGTGTAGTGGTAAGACACTCGCCTGGCGTTCCGCGAGCGCTATGTCATGGGTTCGTATCCTGGCCGGGGAGGATTTACTGGGCGCAATTCCTTAACTGTAGCCTCTGTTTAACGCAACAGTAAAATGTGTACTTGGATGAAAAAACGATTCTTCGCGGCAGGGGATCGTATTCCAGGGACCGTAGGATTAAGGACTTGCCCGAAACGTTACGCGTACTAGTGGCTGTACAAGAATGTAACAACTCTTGTATATATCTCAAAAAAAAAAAAAAAAAAAAATGACTTTATCTACCAAAAATGAGGGACCCTACACAGTAGTACAGCCTCTAAAGGTTGAACTCCAGAACTAACCAGAAAAATAGCTGTCAGAACAGGAGCAATGTTAAAAAGTGCTTAGGAAAGGGCTACCCTAAGCACATGCAGCTCGTAGCAAAGAAAAGACAAAGTCCAAGCAATATGGAAAGCTTGAAAAACATGCTTGTGAAGCAAATACCAAAGTCAGGAACAACATGCAAGCAAATGGCCCTTAAAGGATGGCCTTAACTTATCTTAAAAAGAAGTGGACTTATTACAGCTGATGACTTGGGGAGGTCTGAAATGAATGACAATGACAGGACTGAGGCAAAAATGGTGCAGAGGCTGAGAGTTCCCGGTGTCGCTTCCACCTGTTGGTGGCCAGTTGCAAGTAGGAGGGTATGAGTGAATCATATAGCAAGTTCTTTGGCTGTTTCCTGTTCTTTCATTTTCTTTTAACCTTGAACTTGTCTTTAATGCTTCGCTTACTTTATGAATGTTTTCTCAGAGGGCGATTGTAACAATCCTTTGCTCCCTGTGCCTCTGTGATGGAGCCAGGTTCTGGGTGTAGTCCATAGTATGCCATAGAGGAGTCTAATGACTGATGGCTCTCACCTACTGATTCACACCTCAGCGAGACAGGTTTAGGAATCCACTGTTCATCTCCTTCAGAAATATAGAGGCCAAAATAGCCACCTTTAGAATTAACCACTAACCTGAAGATGCATTTTTGGAGAATTTATATTAACTAAGAGCTGTCCAACTTTATTCCAGTTCTTAAGGCGAATGTAGAGAGCTGCAGCTTTCTCATGGAAGTTGCCACTCTCATACAGCACAGCAGCCTCTGCATATTGCTGTTAAAGATGAGAAAGAAGGTTTTTCTAACTTATAGATGCAAAAACAGAGACATGACATGAATGTTATAAAGTCTTGACATTACAAGAAACCATCTACAATTAAACTAAGCTATCACATTCAGTAGTACAGTACGCTACAGTAAGTTTCAATAGTGACTTTGGATATGGATCATGGAATTGGGCAATAATTTGTAAATATCCAAATAAATTCAGCTCAGAATTAACAAGTACAGAATATGATTGTAAAAGTTTCAATACTGTATTAAATTTTTTACTTTAAAGTCTGTACAAATTCATAGTGTTCATATGTGCTCACAGCTCAAAGTTTCCTCATTTTAACCCCTGTGCTGCAGAGCTATTAATAGCTGACAACAGCCAACTGCGCAAGAAAACAAAAAAGTTTTCCTTCTAATATTGTTAAAAGGCGTTCCCTGAACACAGAAAAAATAGTATGCAACATATTTTGGCCGTGATAGGGCAAGGAAGTCTGGCAAGCTACAGGCACTTGAAGAGTACATGTCTGGGTCGGTCTGATCCAGTCAAACTGTGGAGTGAGAGTTGCCACAAAGATGATATTACTTAATTATTTCACTGTCTCTGATTGTTTTTTCTCTGCTTTTTTTGCAGCAATATTATTTAATAGTGATAAATTTATATAATAAAATGTATGACCATCGCTATTCTCAAAAATCTGGTCTGAATATTAGTGATAATATAATTATATTCTATTGCATATACTGTACACTATTTATACTATGGCTACCATTTATCACTATCTATATATATAAAAGAAAAACATAAGAAACAGAGAAGATTCGTGTTAGAATCATTAATCTTACCCTTTCGGTCATATTCAAAAACATAAGTTTACAAGAAAGACTGCTGCCAAAATATACTAATATATACTGTATACATGTATATATATAACTATGGCTACCATTTATCACTATGCCCTCACCTTTTTGTTCTCTAATATCTCTGCACATTCCCTTTTGAGCATGCGGTTGTTCATCTCTGCAGCTATGTTAACACCTCGCCTGATGTCACCACAGCGAATGGCTGTACGAGCAATACCAGCTTTACATGCTGCATTATGTTCCTCAGACCCTCCAGTGTTGACCACTCCTCGTTCATAGTGGGTAAGGGCACCAGGGTAGTCTCCTCTGAGGAAGTAAATATTTCACACAAAACTTTTATTAAAATATTTTGACTTTTCCATTTACAGTATCTATATATAAGTATCAAATAAGTCATATTTCTTCATTATATTACTGTACTAATGGGTTTAACTACAAAGAAATTAAGAGATCTAAGATTTTGCCATTCACCATTTTTTTTATACAATGGACCTCCAAAATCTGCACCTTGAAACAATGAATACATGTAAAACTTCATTTAATGCTGGGAATGTATTCCTGTAAATAAGAGTTTTAGCTGAATCAATGGTATAAAGGGCCGTAGTCCTGTTGGACATGGGTTCCAATATTGTAATTACCAAGACCAAAACTCCAGGGTTAACTAATAAAATGGCTCTTTCTCCTGGCTCCTGTGGCTCCTTGGTATTTGCTACCTGGCACGCCTCACCCAATGCAATCTACACTTAACAAGTTATATATAAGCCTACTGAAAACCTGGCCTGGTCTATGAGATGCAAGGAGCCGGGGATTGAGAATCACTAACCAGGAAAAGCCACCAGAAAGGAGGGCAAGTTGAAACATATGACAGCTAGGTACACACACCATAGGAAATGGTACAGCAAAGACCTGAGAATCATGAATTACTTTGTGGTAATTATCCAAGTGTAGTTACAGGATGAGAGCTACATTAATGGCATCAGATCTTTCCGGTACTCTGTCATATGATGCTTTGAATCTACAGTAAAACCTTTGTTTTTGAATGCCCACGTTTTCGAATTTTTCAGTACTCGAGCTCAATTTCTTAGAAAAATTTGATTCGGTACTCGTTGTTGACCTCGGTGTTCGGAGTTTGTTTATACACATATAAGTCCACAGAGTAAGTGGCGTCGCAGCAAGGCGCGCCTCAGTTTACCAGCATCATACCGAGGTGACTGCAGCGCTTTAATTCTTTGTGAAAAATTTCATTGTTTTTGAGCCTTTTATAGTTTCTGAACATAAAAGTAATTATTATATATTACACCAGAAAGTCAGTGGTGAAATTCAACCTAAGAAAATAATTGTGAGGATGATGATAGATGGAAAAAAAAAGAGAGAGATCATTGCATCTGGTGATTTATATACAAGGACAATCACCACATTTAGAATTTCTATGCTCAGTACCAGCACTTCCACCATATCATTTATGGTGTTTAGCAGCTCTGTGCAGATGAGTGTCTTTGATGGTTGAATTGGTACTGATCAGCTGATACTGACTGAATCCAGCCAATCCACATCTAAAGAAGATAATGGAAACCAGGCAATGAGCAAGGAGCCAGAAAAGACAATGAACATGTGAGGAAGCAATGGAGGTATCCATTTTGTACTAGAATGGGGAAAAAAATAAAGCAAACTTGTACAGAGCATCAGGATCAGGTGCTCCAAAAAGGGTCAAATGGCAACCCTAATGCACCCTGACCTTTCATGCTGCAGAGGAGGAAGGATGAAGGAGAGAGCCTACAGTCCACACAAAACCCTGAGCCTTAACAGGGAGAACAAAATGACAACCAGAGAAACCTCGAAACCTTGAAAAGTAGAAAACTTTGACTATCCCAAAATACAAAGGAGGCAAACAAAGAAAGTAAGCCCCTATCTTCCATTGGTTCTGCTATTCTCAAGAGTCATCAACCCAACCTCAAGCCAAGCTCAGCAAATTCATGACATTCCCAAAGATATGCCCACCAATGAAAAATGCACAGCACAATGACCAGTGAATGATTATTGTAGTATGCGGGGAAAGAATAGAGAGATGGACAATGCAAACACAAACGGTTATTTGTTTGGTCTATCCTCCTAGTGTGGTTTCTCAATTTTGGGTCATTCTCCAAGCGTTAAGCTACTCTCACGCCATATAGAGCATCAGATTCTGGCCCTGATTCCCAATAGGTTAGTATAGATTTCAGAGGCCTGGTGCACTTTTCAAGACATTTGTTCACCAGAGTGCACTCTACAGGAAGCTACTGAAGGCCTTCTACCAGCACTAGGCCCCCTATAAGATAATAAATAAATTGAAATATTCATCACCTTACAAAATACCAGACATTATCAGTAGCAACGTACGTGAATTCCAGTTGCTGAGCATATTCCCTTGATATGTAAGGTATCTGGTCAGGAGCCAACTTCTTAGCAAGGTGAAGTGCCTGGTCCCAGTGTAGCAAATCTCGTCGCATTTCTAGAGCAGCAACTGGCATACTAGATCTCAGGTACAAGTCCTGATGGTTAGGAATTCCAAGTTATTCAAGTCATGCTTGTATGATAGGTAAAATACTTATGGTACTGTTTATATACTATACTTAAATAATTATTTTATAATTTTTTCTTCCTATACAGTACGTAATGAAAATGTTAATAACTTGATGAGCATATTATTATGTTCAGAATCCTCAAGGCCATATATTTGCTATGGACAAAAGGACAAGGAAAGCTGGAAAAGGTGCAAATTTCACAACATCATGAGAGCAAATATAAACAACTGGCCAGCCAACTGAAACCACTCCTGGTCCAGGAGTGGTTTGTTTACTGTTTAACTGTTTAACAGTTTAACAGTGACAGCTGGCTACCAAAGTCATTTCAGTTGCTGATGTTATGGTGTACAGTATTCTATCAGTAATACTCCAGTCTGCAAGTTATGGGCTTCCCCCGGCTTCAAGCGAAGTACTGGCCATCCTTAGACTGTTGTAAGGGCACAAGATTGGAAGCCATACTTTATAGTACAACTAACAAAACCTAATTAGCAATGGAAGATCAATCTGTGTTGATTTCCCATATCTTGTTCTAAGGCTTGTCACTCTTAACTCGTCCAGGAGTCCTGGACGAGTTAAGAAAATATTTTCAAGCTAGTTTGAGTGAATGAAAGTTTGTAGTTTGAGTTCAGTGCAAATCGTTTGAAGAGTTATTTGGCAGTTTCAAAGCTTATTTTCTGTGAGCCCTCTAGTTGTCTGTAAAGCTTTGCAGCCCTTCTGGATGCTTTCCCAGTGGGGTGGCAAATTGTCACTTGCTCCCTGTGCCTCTGTGAGAGCCAGGTTCTGGATTGGGTCCCTTGTAGGCCAAACAGAACTTCCACAACTGGTGTGGCCCATTAACCTGGAGCAATCTAAGCAAGATGTCTTCAGGGAGACACCAGGGAAGGGGGCTTCCCCAGAAAATGACTATGTAGGCACCCATAAATACCAGCACTTAACAAATGAGTGACTTGCATCAATTTAAGACTTTATGCAAACAGATGAGATTTTCCGAAACTGCCGAGAACGACTGCTCCGGAGAATGTGCAGAAACTGGGACACCGCAGACTCTGCAAACAGCAACGGACAAAAAGGAGATGAAAACCTAAGAGCCAGGGCCCAAGCGGAATCCAAAGAGAGGGCGAGCACAGCCTGACGGCACGCGAGGCGAGAAGCAAAAAACAGAGACACCGCTTCCTTCAGGATGGGCGCAAAGAGCTTCAACAGTGCAGCCGACGCCCTAGCTGCCGAAGAAAGCGCCCCGGACGAAGGCCCTTCAGACACATTGGAACACAGTGCTTTGATTCACATTCATTGAGTGACAATTAGGTACCATGAATGGTACCATAAAAAGTCAAATTCTATACCTTACCTGAGCCAAATTGAAATCACTGAGGTACATTGCCAAGTGGCCACCAAGCAGCAGCGGATCCTCATGATCTACTAAGTTTTGTAAAGACCACACCATTCCCACATCTCCCAGCTGACGGTACACACGCATACCTGTGTGTCCATGTACTTAAGGTCAATAAAGAATACAGTATCATATGTCACCAATATACAAATAATAATAACAACAATACAGGCAAAAAATCAGAAAGCTACACTTTGGAACAAATGCAGGCCAACATATAGCAGATTATTTTATATAATGGACCCCTTCCAAAATTTGGACTAGTCAAAGAAAAAGCTAAATTTCGGAGGGGCAATGATAAAATTTGGATATTTAAGTAAAGTCATTTATAGCCACTTAATTTTTTCAAAATTTTTACTCTTGAGATTTTGCATTATTCAGTGGAAGTTGGAGTTTGGTTCAAAGGCGGCACTAAAAAAACAAAGAAACGAAACAACTTTCTGAATGGTTCCCAGAAGCTATCTCTCTCACAACCCTCAAACTCGTACAAGTGAGAGCAGGTTCAGGGGAAAAATCCATGGTATCAACCAAATCTGCAGGGGGGTCTTTTCAGGACCCAAAGGAATGTATCAAGCAGGATACCCTGGCACTGGCACGCTATGCCTGAACCTAAGGTGAAGGTGATCATGCAAATCTACATAGTCATATGACTAATATACTATAGAAAGACAACATAGTAAGCCAGCACAGCAGTTGTACATATGGCTGTGAAGGCTGACCCTAGTGCGTTACATATGCGTTATACTGGTATGTGAATAGCCAGTGCACCCCATGCCAGCCAATGTCACGCTCAATCTGTGTAACGGAAAGAAAATAGCAATAAACCTGACTCACCCTGGACAAGGACCACCATAACTGAGAAGGACCCCCAAGGGAGCAATCCCCAAACACCCTAGGGAAGAGAACCCTGAAGCCCAAGAGTAGCACTAGGAAGCACACAGCGAGGATAACCCTGTACACGTGCAGCTCCAAGCGCTCTTTCAAATCCAGGTTCTTGCTGCACTTTACAATGTACAGAAATGCCAACCTGTACAAAGACCACCTATTAGCTGAAGCAGCAAGACACTGGAGCTTGAGCGGCAGACAAGTGACCAGGTATATACTAACATCATCACAGAACTGAGGGTGGTGTAGCTGGCTGACTGTGAGCTATCTCCCCCTTCCCCTTCCCCTTTTCCTTTACCCCCAAATGAATGTGGATTGTGAAGCGAATGAGCTTGTCCTTTTTTATTCAGTTTGTTCTAGTTTGGAGACATTTTGATCATTTGTTTACATAGTCAAGGAGAGTTCTTTCAGTGACTTTAGAGGCTGCAGTCTATTCAAGACGGCAGTGGTCATTTTGTCTCAATGACTTTCTGGTTGTTTTCTCAGTGGCATAACAAATACATAAATGCCACTGCTCCCGGCACCTCTGTGAGGGGACCAGGTTCTCATGCGGGGCCTCGGTAGGCCTATACAACTCCTCAGCTGATGTGACTTAATAGATGGTACACTATCAGTGACAGTAGCTTCAGGGAGCCATAAGGAGCTCCCCCCAGATATAACACATTAAATTAAAAAATGAAAGCAAAGAGCATCTTTTACAAAGGGAAGATACTTTATACCACTAACCTAATTCAAGGTTCATACACCACATACAAGCTTTTCCCAGGAATTCCCAATCCTGCTTACTATTAAGTACTTGACAGATAGCACTGGCATCTTTGAACCTGTTAAGAAAAGGACACACAAATCATTATTCAAGTGATAATTAGGTAAATGTTATATATTAAAAATTCATTATTGTAATGAAATAAGATGTCAAGAAAAAATTTAGAAATTATTACATTTGTGAAAATCCATTCTGCGATACAAAAATGAGATCACCACCAATAAAACCAACACTGAATATAATGAACTGCTAATTTCAGGGTGAGCCATGGTGGCTCCCTAAAGCTATCTTGCCGAGGTGGCCCCAAATAAATCAAAACGACTATGGAGTTCAATTTGGCCTACTGGGGAAGCTAGAAGCTTCCTAGAGCTGGAACTAGAAGCTAGAACCTGACCCCTTCCCTCACAGGTACAAGAAGCAAGCGACACTCCTTTCACCTAACCAGGGAAGGCACCCAGAAAGTCATCAAACCAATACAGACCACTGCTGGGTTCAAAAGAGACAAGCTTCACAGTCCACCAAATGAACTCCTGCAACAATGTAAACAACGATCAAAATTCTCTCGAGGTAAGTGTGCATTCGTTTGCCCCACCCCTCCCACTCGCTTGGGTAAGGAGGAGGCTCTGGGTCTCGTGCTGTCCACTGGCTTGAAGCAGTTAGTTCTGGAGCAGATGCACACAAAACACCCACAATCAACAACCTGGAAGAGAGGGGGAAATCAGGGAGCCTACCTACCTTGTGGCTACCATGTGGAGGTTCTGAGGATTAATGGCCCGGTCTCCAACGAGGCCTTCCAGTAGGTCAGGCTGTTGGACACAGCTGCTCACAGCCTGACGTATGAATCACAGCCTGGTTGATCAGATATTCTTTGGAGGTGTTTGTCGAGTTCTCTCTTGAACAGCATAAGAAGCCGAACAGTTATGCCCCTTATGAGTAGTGTTAACCTTATTACACCATAAACCTAGAAGATGAAAGAAAAGCAAGAATGCAGTACAAACAACAGACTCAAGAATGCATGAGAAAGCTTAGTAAATGGTGCAAAGGATGTCTTGCCATCAAATGCAAGCAAGAGTGGCTTTGCCAGCACCACACGATAAGAGGTAACAGTATTTGACACCCACCGAACAGATGTGGTAATTTTAACCTGATCATAAGCAACCCACCCCAAAATGACCCGATACTATCAAGGAAAAGAAGGCCTGCCCCAAATGTCCAGAGCCCTTAGAAAGTGGGAGGGACCAATCAACTCCACTGAAGGCCACTCAAAACGATCCAAAAGCCAACAAACTGTAGGACCAGGGGCTGCCAAATTGCGCTAGATGGCCCCCACTGCCCAATCAAAGGGGCAAACTGCAAAAGGGTTGGTGTGAACCATGAGAAGCAGAAGTCTTACACAAAGTGTGAGCATAGCACCGACTGGCAAAGGACTAACTGGCCACAAGAGGAGCATATGACCCAGAATTCGACACCACCGAGGGCCTACCTCAACCAACAGCAGGTGACGCCGAAGCCCTACACGACCTACTCCAGTAGGAAGACTGAAAACCACGAAAATAAAGCAAATCCGAAATCAGTTGACAAGATGCGGCAACTGAAGACAAAAAACTGACCTACTACATCCTCTGGAAAGAGAAGAGGCAAAGAAAAGGGGAGGTGTAAAAAAGAGGGTCAGGGCCCAAGCTGAATCCAAGTACTGGGCCGACATAGCCAGTTGACAGACCCAGAGTCGAGTGACCCAACGTCCTCACGGAGCCAGAGTGGAGTTCCCCAAATGCCAGAAACCACATAACCAAAACTAAATGTGAGCGAGCCTGAAAGTCTTCCACCACGAGGGCTGCTGACAGCAAATGCCCTTGGACACAGCTGTAAGATGCCCACAATCCACTACACCAACAGTGTACAAATCATAAACACACAAGAAGTCCAATGAGCCACTTTGCTGAAAGGCACTAGGCCCAACCACAGCTTATTGATGACTCAGGGACCCTACTGGAAATGTGTAGCACGAGCTGCATCAGTAGAAACTGAATGCTCAAGTCATTGGACAGTGTGAGCCCCGGCCCCCTCATCCTTCCCCAAACAAGGGAGAGGAATAGGGTGAATAAGCTCATGATTGTTTTGCAAGATTTTAAATTGATTACATTGTTTGGAGAGTTCATTTGGCAGGTTGTGAGACTTCAGTCTCTCTTGAACCCAGCAGTGGTCTGTATTTATTTGCCAACTTTCAGGGTGCCTTCCAAAATGAGGTGGCAGAGTGTCACCTGTTTCCTCAGTCAGTTGGCCAGGTTCTGGCTCTGCTTCCCGGTAGGCTAAAGTGGCTACCTACCTACCTTGTGTAGCTTCTAGGGATCAACAGCCCATGGCCAGGTCTTTGACCAGGGGTTTCTGGTTTCTTGAAGTGATCTCCACAACTGATGTGATCTAATAGATGGGGGGCTATCTGAGCAAGATGGGTTCAGATAGCCAAAAGGGGTGCTTCCTTACCTTGAGGTTACCTTGAGGTGCTTCCGGGGCTTAGCGTCCCCGCGGCCCGGTCGTCGACCAGGCCTCCTGGTTGCCGGACTGATCAACCAGGCTGTTGGACGCGGCTGCTCGCAGCCTGACGTACGAGTCACAGCCTGGTTGATCAGGTATCCTTTGGAGGCTTCCTAGAAAACTTTTTAACTCCTGCCTGTCTTTGTCTGTTATTCTAATCTTCTGTTCTTTTTCAGGAAAGCCTTCTCTCAGAGGGTCACTGTAAGCAAGTACAGGGAGCTACTGATACAGTCAACCTAGAAATCAAGCAATGAATGCTAGGAAATGCCTCATTCTGGGCCTTTCTTCAGTAGCTTCTCATTCTCGCTTTTTTCTCCTTTTCCTGTGAGATTTGGGGTTTTCATATTGCTGGCTTGCGAGTGAGGAAGGCGGTGAATAAACATAGCTTACCTGAGCTACCATCTAGTAGCAGCTGGGTGAGCAGGGGTAAGGAGGGGATCACCTTTTGCCAACAATTGCTTACTTTGTTTTCCTTATTTTATTTAAAGTAGAGTTGTTTTGCCTCACCTGGACCATCTGAACAGTTTTCTTGCATGTTTAAGTCAGCCTCTGCTCCTTATGCCCCACTTCACCTCATTGAGCACACCAGAATCTAGTTCTGCATAATCCTCAGAAGCCTGATATTAAGTGCAAGGCTCTGCAGGTCATGTCTAAGTTCATGGAAGCAACTATGGGACCATCAAGAAAGGGATATTTTATTACATTCAAGCTTGATCGAGGCCAAGCATCGAAAACAATAGGTGAATTTTGGAGTTACATGGGATGGGAACTGTTTAACTTGTATTAACATGGAGACTACTCGTACACCTTCTGTTTAACAACATTCTCAGCAGTAACTCTGGCTACCACATATCATATATTCTTGTGCTTTTAACCTTTCTGGTTTGCTGTATATTTATGCACACTTGCACCTTCCAAGCAGTCTAGACTTCATTATGTGCTAAAATTGTGGTTGGAAAGTGATCACTAAATATTAATGTTAAAATATGGTTGTTTTAATAAATAAATAGTGGACTTTTGGAGGTGTCTTGAATCTAACTAATTTTTTGTTTTTTTTGGGGGGGGGGATCTTTTCCAATTGGCCTACTTAGGTATTTTGATCAATTGGAAAATATTGCAGTTGTTGCCTTCTCAGGGTCTGGAGTGCCAAGCTGGCCCTCCCTTTCTCTACCCGACTGACCCTGTTGTGATGAGCATCCAAGCTCCAGCTGGTGGTAGGGTGGTTTTAAGCTTTCAGCTGTGTGGTGTTCCTGTTAAGCCAAGGCTGGCTGAGAACACTTTCTATTTCCCATAAGTATTCTTTTGCTGTTGCAATGACTATGTGGTAAATGCCCCATTTGGCCTGAAGCAAACCGTTTTCTTTTTTGTGGTATTTGGTTCCAGAGCACCCTCATCTTTTAGCTCAGGATGTTCCTGGTAGCAGTGGAATTAATAGTACTACAGGTTCATGAATCTCTTGTTTCTGACACAGTGGAGTCTAACCTATTGACTCAAAGCCTTATTTATAGGTGTAATATTCATCTGATTTACCCGAGGGACACTACTCAAGTGGCCTCGACGAGGACAGGAAACCGGCGGCTTTGCCTTTATGATTTTTTCCAGGTAGATTTTAAAACTTAACAGTTTTGGCATTTACAGCTTCAGCAAGTAGGCAGTTCCATGGGTTTATAACAATGTATCTCATACAGAGGCAATGAAATACTCTGTCTTCCATAGATGCCCAGCAATTACTACGTATCAGTGATTTAGGGTCTCATGATGTCTGTTGTATGCAGAGTTAATTTAGGTGTTAGAAGAGAACAGCAGTTGGGAGTGTATTTACATCTAAGTGTTTTTTGTAACTAACAGTTTTTATCATTCATTCCAGTCTCAGCATAGTGTTTTAATTGTATACACTGTTTAGTTTCAGGTTCTAAAATGCTTTTAATCAAATTAACAGGACAAGAGTTAACAGGAAAGTACATTAGGGCAAACTATTAAAAAAGTAATGCCTGGCTGCACACTACTTGTCACCACATACAAAAACTGTTCAGTATTGCTTACCTTCTGAGAGCTATACATTTTTTTAGTGCTAATCTTCGTTGTTCATGTGAGTAGTCATGAATGTTGGCTTCCATTTCATGGGAGGAAAGAATAAGTGGAGCAGTTTTACCAGAGGCAGTTTGAAGGGTTATCTGCAAAAACACAAAGTATTATTATTATTTCTTCTTACAATTTAAGTTTATATGAAATCAAAAATTCAATTTCTTTTATGCTGTGATATGGTAAATGCTATAGAGATTCTACTATAATTTCTGAGCAGTCTTATTTAATATCTCATAAGGTAAGATCTGTTATTCCCATAAAACAGAATTATGCAGTTAGGCAGGATGACACAGTAATGGCACTTGTGCCAATAGAAACTTTTCAAGTGGTTCTCACAAGGTCATAAATGGGCTAGGGAGCAACATGACAACATTCAGTTATGCACAGAATGACTGACAACAGTTATATCACATAAACATAGTACAGATACTCACTAGCTTCACAGAACAGTTGAAAAACTTAATTTCAAGAGAAACTATGGTGAACTTAGCAAGTTTTTTAATGAATATGATTAGAAAGATATGTTGTTAGGCCGGGAAGTACTGTAAATGAAATGTATGCCAAATTTTGAGATACAGTATATGATAAAGAAACAACAAAAATTTATACTGAAACTGGCTCAACAGAAATTGCAAGACAGCCAGATAAAATAACAAACATCATTGAATGTAATGAAACACCAATTTCTGGGTGATCCATGGTACTTCCCTGAAGTTATTATCTCCGATAGTGTGCCATACTACAAAGTCCCATCAGTTATGGAGTTTCATGGCTTACCAGGGACCCATAACTAGAACCTGGCTAGAACCACAGAGGTATAGGGAGCAGTGACATTTATATATTAAATTATTTATTTATGTCACCAACAGGCAGCATGGCAGAGGCAGAAGATATGAACATCACCAGGTGGCACGAACAACCCTCAAATTTGTATAAAGTGAGAGCAGGCTCAAAAGAGATATCCATAGTATAATTGAGCATGTGGGGCTTTTCTAGGGACTGCAGGGTGAATGAGCCCTGCAGGAAGCCCAGGCACTTTGAATGCTACACCAGTAACCCCTGAATGGAACAGGCAACCATGGCTACTCGAAGCCAACAGAAAAGCCAAGGAGGCAACAAGGGGATAATTCAACCACACATAGCCCTAGGACAAGCCTAATAAGGCAAAAAAGGAGAACTCCCAACCCTAAAAAGGGCAGTGACAAATTAAAAAAACAAATTCTCAAAACACCCAAGACCAAACTGCGGAGAACGAGCAACCAGGAAGAAATGTCAGTGCGCCTATGTGTTAGCTGAGTAACTGGACATGCAAACCTAAGTGCACCCACCAAGCAAAAACACTCCTAACCTGAGGGAAGACAGACAGTCAAAGACCACCAGCTTACTTGAAGGGTGAGGACCACCCTAAGTGAGGAGACCCCCTATGGAAAGTGTGTCCCAAACACCCCAGGGAAGATAACACTGACTGTGCAAAGATAGCACTTAAGGAGCAGCACACAGGGAAGAGAACCCTAAGCACATGTAGCTCCAAGCACACTACACTGCTGGCTCATGCTACACAAACATGTATAAGAACAGCCTCAAAAGCAAAACACCACTTGAAAACCAGGAGACTGGAGCCAGAGTGTCTAGGACAGCGACCAGGCACCATCAGCAAAATCTGAGGATGGAGTTAGCTGAATGATCTGGTCCGCCTCTCTACTTCCCCCTAACGAGGGAGGAAGGTGTGGCAAACTAGCTCGCGCTAGTTTCACAAAATTTGTTATTTTAGTTGTTAGGGGAGTTCTTTTGGCATTTTTTGAGGCTGCAGTCTCGTTCAAACCATGCAAGTTTTACTGACTTTATAGAGGGCTTCCCCGATGGTGGCAGACATGATTCAGTTTCAATGTAAGATGTTCATATTGCCACCACTCCCTGCTCCTCTGAGGAGGCCAGGTTCTGGCTCATGGTTCGCAGTAGGCTAATAAGAACTCTGCGACAGATGACACCTAGTAGTATTACATTGAATCAGTGATAATAGCTTCAGGGAGACTCAAGGGGCTTCCCTCAGAAAAAAAAAAAAGATTGGCAGACAGTCCTCCTTACCTCTCCATTATAAAGAAGGAGTGGTACCTGGCTGGGTGGAATCTTTGTAGTGCCGATAAGTTCAACATGGTGACCTGTGACAGAAAAAGTATTAGCAAACTGAACATGCATTCATTGTCATTCAAGAATTTCAAGAGTCTTGAAGCAACACTATGAAATATATGCTGTTAAACTGTAATGTTCTCTTTCTAAGCTGGCTCACTCAGTGGTACCTGAGCTTATGGCACTGATACTCAAGGGCCAAATCTCCAATGGCTTTATCCCAACCAGGAACCAATATCGTTCCAAATTCCGTCTGAGGACAAGGAGAAGATGACAAGGACAAAGATCAACAAACCACTCAGTTCAACTGTCATTAGAACTCAGTTAAAAAATACACAGCAGCTCTCCAAGGATGTTTTGGAGAAAGTTTTAGTCTCTCCACTATCGACTTGATAATGGTCCAGGACGGACCGAAACATCGTCATTTCTTCAATTTCTAATGTGTGGTTTGGTCAACACTCTCCAGGAAATGTTTGGAAATCCCCAAACTACTAAACAAAACTCTAAACAGCCAAACATAACAACCAAACACCTATCTACCCAACTTCCCTAAATACCACCAGGTGGGACTACTGTTTATCTACATATAAGGTAAGTTGGCTAACTTTCCTTTTGGATTTGTCTATGGATTTGGGGGACATGCTTTATACATTTCACAGGCATGTGTGCTAGTCAACTTAAGCCTCTTCTACTGCCTTATCCAATTCAACTTTTATTTCTGGGTTACTTTCCCTGATGCTGTCAGCTAAGGCCATCAACATCCTAAGTTTAACTACTACTCAGAGAGTTTCGATTTCCTAGAATGGCAGACTCCTCTTCGGTCAACCCTGTCTTGGGTAATGCTATGAGAACTGGGTTAACGAGTTAATGAAGAAGAAGCACACAGCTGTGAATATAGAAACCCAGATATTGTATTCCCCGCTCCTCAAGTGGTGAGGAGAATTAAGATACATGTACATATAACTCAGCTCACCTTTAATATGCTCCTGATGAAAAATGTAGGTGTAGAGTTGTTTCTCATCAAACAGCGCAAACACATGTCGATCACTTGGAGAATTCTCCCAAAGACAGCCTTTGCACGAGCCTGGGAACTCGGGAATCTCCAAGACATCATCATTCACCTTAGAGTAAGAACATTTTATGTACTGTACTACCAATCATCAGTGCCACAGAGTACATAGCAGGAACTCTCCAAATTATTATTTTCTACATCACCAGTTTAAGGACGCTTCCGTTTATGTGAATATTTTAACAGTAAGAGTCAAGGGTCCCAGGGTTCGTTCTTGACTCACAATCAAGAATTCAGAGTTCGAATCCTGGGTGGGGACAGAAATGGTTGAGCACATTTTTTAATCACCTAATGGGGGGCCCCCCCTGTCCACCTAGTAGTAAATAGGTACCCAGGAGTTAGTCAGCTTGTTGTGGGGTCAGTAACTCGACCTGGGAAAAGTGAAAAGACCTCGGTATAAGCCTAATGTGTATGAATAGACTCTGGCTGCCTGTCCCCAACACAATGAATTATGATTATTTTTATTTGGGAAGTTCATTTGGCAGTTTCGATATCTGGTCTTTTTGAACCCAGCCGTGGTCTGTATTAGTTCTCTAAGTTTCTGGATGTTTTCCCAATTGGGTGGAAGAGTGTCATCTGCTCTCTGCACCTCCATGAGAAAGCTAAGGTTCTGGCTCTGGACCCAGTAGGCCAAACAGAACTCCACTGCTGATGTAACCCATTAGTTGGGAACCATCTTAGTGAAATAGCTTCAGTAAGCCACAAGGGGCTCTGCCCAGAAAACACTGACTACCAAATCTCTTGGTCTTATTTCACTAAAGTTTTTATGCAAACCACATTTATCAGTGGTTATTTTCTATAAATAATTTTGTTCAAAAGTTTACCCAATAACATAATAAACTTTAAAGCTAATGACAAGTAAACCTCAAATACAACCTTTTTTGGATTTGGGAGGCAATAAAATCATTTTAATTAATTAACCAACAGTGTAGGAATATATATGATAACTATAAATAATAATTTGACCAAACCTATACTGTAATACATCTCCTTTCTAATTAGTCGAAGTTTTCTCCATTAATTAGAAGGGAGCTGCATTATAGTATCAAAGTAGTCCACACTCACACTCAATTCTACACTCACCGGATTGTATACATAACCTTCGCCTTTAGAATCAACAAATACCAGACGGCGACCAGATGGCTCAGCATAGATATTGTTGACACCATTTGTATGCCGATAATCACTCACTGTCTGCCAGTCTTCGATAAAGAAGAAATACAACCCACCAGTCTGTAATATTTATTCACCAGTTGAGAAGTTTGAAAGATTAAAATATAATACAGTAATTTTATGAAACACATGTTATCCTAATGAGATAAACATTTGTTATGCTTAGAGCTAACTTGACTAGGTTAGGTTCATGGTTCTGCTTCCCAGTGGGAAGAGTCAAATCAGTGGGGCCCAGGCTGTGTCCTCAGAGAACAACAAGGTTTATCCCCTAGAGGATGAAATCATCTTAGTGTCCCCTCATATCCTTTCTCCAAAAGAAGAGTATCACAAGCCATGCTTAACTACCCCACTAGTCATAGAAGTATACAATCCTTGCTACCATGGAAACCAGCCCTTTGTTCAATATGAACTTGGTCAATAACACTACTTTACACACTCAGTAGCATCACATAAAACTAATACCATCATTCCTGCACATTTTAAAGTCAAGTTCAACTGCATTACAGATTATCTATAAGAAATCCTCATGGTTTCCGAAGGCAAAAGTCAACTATTCATTCCCTTCAAACAAATTGCTTCCACTTAGCTTTACCCAAGGTGGCTTCTAATGCATCGCTAACACACACAATGTTTTCTCAAATTCATTCACCATGTTTGCTTATATTCTTGATTTTCCTCGGGTCATCTAAGTACTTTCAACATCAAATGCATAATATCCTAAACCCAGAATGGAAGACACAAATTAAGTGAAATTGACATACAGGAAACCTCTTCTTATGTCTAAGTATTGTATACACTAAAGTGGTCCAACACAAATTTCCACTTTACTGACATGCTTGGAAATAATTTTTGCTTATGTTTTAATGTTCTAGATACTGTAATGTGTGTTTAAATCCAACCTTACTCAATTTGCCAGGTATTACCTTGCATTGGGTCAGCATTTGTTACACGAGACACTTCTCTTGTGCCTTGCTAGCCTATCTTTATACAAGACAGAGTAAGTAGCTAGTGCCCCTTATACTCATGGAATTTATTTGTCTTTTAAGAGTTATTGGCTGGGTTGCTAGGGGGCTACACATCAGATTTGGCACTCACTCACTCACACTCACTCTCTCTCCTCTCTCTTTCTCTCTCCCCCTCTCTTGAGGAGTGGGTATTGGGAGCCCTGAGCAGTATGGCACCAAAGCGATGGAAGGAGGTGCAGATACACAACACTTGCATTCATGCCCGTTTGACATTTGGATGCCTGGTTGTCCTGATCGCAAAAGAAAAGTTTGTGTGGACTAATAGCCATTTTCTATACGTTGGAGGCATGATCAATTAGGAAATAACATTTACTCCCTAGGAACAAAATACAAAAGTTGTTACAGTGTTATGAGCAAGGCTACACTAAGATTTTCAACGAGTAAGCATAACAGAATGTGTCTACATACATCAGTAGAGTATATGAGGAAGTCTGCAGTGACGGCATGGTCTGTGATGTTCATGTCTGCTTGGTCTGGACTAGGGAACAGTCTTGACTCTCTCTCTTCATCCTCTCCTGTCTCCCCCTCTAACTGTAATATAAAGACTATACTGTTCAGTAGAATATTTATTTTACAAAATAAATCCCTAGCCATTTATTAATGATGTACAGCAATTTTAAACTAGAGTGTTAGGGGCCCTCAGGTAAATTCAGGTAAAATTTAGGTAGAACACTATATTGTACAAATTTTAAAAACTACAGTTAATAACACAAATTCCTTCGCAGTCTGAACAGTTCATGAAGAATTTTCTATATCACATGAGCTAAAGGCATATTTGTTAACTATATGAGTGTAAAAACATTGATGAATAATAAAATATCTCAGTCTGGTAGAGCCTCAGCGGCTCCCTGTAGCTATCTTGTTGAGATTTCTCCATACTACAAGTTGCATCAGTCATTAGAGCTCTGTTTGGCCTACTGGAGACCAGAGCCAGAACCTGGACCCCTCACAGAAGGGCAGAGAGCAAATGACATTTCACCATTTCACTGGAAAAGCATCAAGAAAGTCACTGATACTTTATAGACAACTGCTGAATTAACAAGACTTGAAGTCTCAAAATTGCCAAACCTCTCGCCATCCACTTCTGGAGCAGGTAAAAACCACACCATCAAGTTAACAAACCTGGGAGGCAGGGAGGGAGACAGTGAACCACTGGCTCATCCAGAAAGAGGCTTTTCATTATATTAAATGCTGGATTTCTGGGGAAGCCCCTTGGTAGCTCCCTGTAGCTAAATAACCACAGAAAAACTAAGGAACTTACCAGGGAGAAGGAGGAAAAGTGGCAGGTATTAATTTGAAGGAGAGACCATCAGCTGGGAAACATCCCAGGGCAACACAAGACCGACAAGGACCGGTGACGCTGACAAAATAATTAGCTGCCATGACCCTGTTTGACCGCCAAAACCCCCAAGCTCGTATATCCATCCCAAGACATGTTAGAAAATACCACCATGAGAGAAGCATATTTGCAAACATCATGGGGGTTAGACTGCAGGGCTAGTTAGACCTGAAAAGACTGCGAACAACCCGAGATACATGAACCATGGAACTGGGGACCAAGGAGAGAGGATAACCTACAAAGAGTCCACTGAAGTGGAGTAGGTGGCACACAGGTATTGAAGAATGGCAAACACAATAAATGATGCACTCCAGGCTAAATCAATCAAGAATCAATAACCAATGACCTTTCCGGAAGCCCACTGACTTGTTCCTTACCAGAAAAGAAGATGGCTACACACAAAGAAACCTCCAGGGCCAAAGCAGAGCCCCCCACCTCCAGATAAGAGCATGAAGCTCACCAACCCAGCAACTAGAGGAAAGAGCCAGCAAAAAAAAAAAAAAAAAAAAAAAAAAAAAAAAAAAAAAAAAAAAAAAGCATTAGCTAATGAAATGCCAATTTCTGGATGAGTCATGGTGGGTCTCTGAATCTATCTTCCTGTGATTGGTTCATTCTTAAAGGTCACATCAGTCGTGGCTAGTTCTGTTTGGATTACCAGAGACCAAAGCCAAAAACTAGCCCCCCTTCCCCCCTCAGAGGAGCAGAGGGCAGGTGACAATCCACCACCTCCCCAGATATGAGCCTCCAGAAAGTCAGTGCAGCTTTACAGACAACAGAAGGGTTCAGACAAAATGAAGCCTCAAAAAACCTCCAAAGAGCTACTGCAAACAAGTCTCACAGAACAAGGGATTAACTACAATAAGCTCAAACCATTTTGGAACCAATTACCACCACCATGCAGCCTAACCCTGTCTCCTAGTCGGCTCCCCAAGTAAATTCTGCCCCTGAAGAACAAACCCATGAGAAATCGATGAACCTGGAGGGAGGGAGTGGGAGGCAGGGAGTCACAGGGGCATTCTCCAGAAATTGGCATTTCATTACATTTAACATTGAGTTTCTATTCTGAAGCTAATCCACCAACAGAGAACACGGATCATACCAGAAGGAGCCGAGGTAGCAAGCAATTATGACAAAGAGAAACCAGGCAGGCAACACGGCCCAGGAACACTAACCAAATACAGTACTGGACTGCCAACACTTAATTAGAATGCCAAAACCCCTGAACCCAAAGATAAATTCAGTATGAGCCATGAGGAGGATTCTGACTCACTCATTTGGTGCTCCTACGCTAACATCCTAGACCACTATGCCATGACATGACCAAAAGCAATGCAACCAGGAATTTCATTGAACCCTCTAGGATTCTTGAGGCTTACAATTGAAGCCCAATCAGGATTTTAAATCTACTGATTTTCTCATTGATACATCACATTAATGTGATTTCATTGTGTATATGTCCCTGAGCCCAAATATCGACTCAGGACATATTAAAGAAGACGGCAACCAAAGCCATGTACATGTGAACATCATGGACCCAAGGGTGGACCACAGCCTGGCTAGACTTGATGACTGCTGACAACCTGGGAAATGCGAGCCTTGGAACAGACAACCAGGGAAATTGGATCAGCAAATAATGAGAAGAGCCGCCACAGGGACACAACAAATAATGCACCCACAGCTAAACCACCCAAGCATCAATTACCAAAGGACACCTTCAGAAGCCTGCTGATTCATTCTTCACTAGACAAGAAAGAGATGGCTGCAAATGAACAAATCCCTTGCCAGAGCAAAAAGAACAAAACCTTTGCTTCCAGAAAAGAGCCTGAAGCTCCTCAACCCAACAGCCAGAGGAGAGAACTAACAAGAAAACTGCCTAAAGAAAAACATCACGAGCATACACCAAGGCATGGAAAAGAAAGCCAAAACACAGTCAAGGGACGAGGACAGCTCAGGAAGTGCATGAGCAGGTTGGAGGTGGAACAACACACAAGGCAACTTGCAGAATGATGCCACAGAGGTGCGAACACTGAACATGAAGAACAGCGACTCCGCCAAAGCAGAGCGATAAGAGGTGACAGTATTCAGCATAAGATGCTGATTGAGAAATAACCAAGACAATTATTAAAGAACAGAATGAACCAAAAATGAAGACATGCGACAAAGAGAAAAATAGTGGCAGAAAGAGTGCCAAGCTATCTCACTCACACAAGTAATCAAGGAAAAGGAAGTACAACACTCACACAAGTAATTAGGGAGAGGCAGTACAATATTCACACAAGTAATCAGGGAGAGGAAGTACAACACTCACAAAAGTAAACAAAAGAAAGCACACAATGCCCCAAAACAGAACCTGCTTACTTACCAAATGAAACTGTATCTTGCCCTCATACAAGACTGAAGCATAGTCAGCATTCACTCTAACAGATGTGATGGTCCCTAAATACTCGCGATCTCTAAGCAGCATTGCAGAATCCTCTCCAAGGGTGTATATCCAAGCCCGATTGTTCATCCCCACCACCAGATGAAATGGACCCACACCCAAGAAATTTGGCTCAACATCCACACTTACAGTCAATGGATGCTCCTGTTAAAATAATTTACATATATTAGCATTGCACTATTTCCCAGTTTCATGGGATGTAGAGGAACCAGCCTGCAGAAAAAAATATGGCATGTAAAATATTAAAAGGTTAAAGATATTAAATAATATAACATTAAATATAGTACTTATTCATATATTATACTGTACTTGAGAGGGCATCTGGGTGTACCCAGGTGTCTCCCCCCCCCCCACTTTCTTGACTTTCTTTTCCCATCTCTCTTATCTCCCCCAATGACCAAGTTCTTCACTATTAGTCTCCTATATGCTTTTTTCTAATCCATAAATGACATGCACACCTTATATACTATCTCGTGTGCCTTCCCTATAAACGATTTCAATGTAAATATCTGATATACACATCATCTATCATTTTGTACCCATATTGTTCAAAACTGATTAATTTCTCAGTAATTTCCTGAACTCTGAATATTTTGCCTGCTACACATGTAATTCTTACATTCGCTCCATTATTTTATATACAAAAGTATAATTACTGTGCTGTTCTTTTTCAATCATCCAATACATTATCACAATTCCATTGCCTCCTGGTAAATGGTAAATTCAAAACAATCATTCCATTGTTTCTCTGTATAATTTAGTAATTTCTACATATATAGTACCTCATCAACACCAACAATGTTCCCACATTTCAGTTTTTTCACTTATATACTCACCTTTCTATAACCATATCAGCCATCATGCACTCCTGCATTTTCCTCCCACCAATGCATCCAATCACATTCACAATAGCACCACTTTCATCAATTCTGCCCATTAGTCTCAAATTATTATCTCAATCTGTTTTTAATCTCATCTTCAAGTATTTTTCTCCCATGAACATCTTTAATATTCCCCATTTACCTGTCCACCAGTCTCCATTCAACACTTTCTTACCTCTCTCCAAGAGTGTTTCCAATTTCTAGCTCCCCCAAGAGCTTACTGCACAGGTACTCCACGGCCACCTTCACTTTACCAGGGACCTGCTTTTGCTTTCTGGGGTCTGGGCATGTTTGGGCCCCAGATCCAAGACTATTTTGAACTTCAGTGAAAAGTAATTTTGGAAAGTGGGTCACCAACTTAAGCCCCTCATCTTTATAAAGCAGGTGATGAGATTGAACTACATAATGGTAAGTGGTGGGGTTACCACATCTTCTAAATAAAAATCTAATGCTTCTGAAAAATATAGTTTATATTATCATCCAAAACATATTAGATTTCAACTCCCAAATTATTCACTCAACAATATTCATAACATACAGTACTTAATTTATATGAATGCTGTAACTGAAGTACAGTAGAATTAAAAAACTAACACACCTTTTCTATAATATTAGTTACTGTCACTTCTAGTAGCGATGTAAGGTAGGCAACTCTTGAGCCATGAGCACCTCCCAGGATGGGCAGTTTGGTCAGGTACACGTGAATGTTTCCTGAAAATGTAGGACTGTAATTTTCCTGAAAATGTAGGTAATATTTACTCAACTTCAAATATGCTAAAACTACCGTGCACAAGTTCTAAGCAAAATAATCTGAACAATGTACCTAACTGTAACTTTTATACTGTGTTCCCAGAAACAGTGACATGGAAGATATCAAGTAGATGACCAAATAAGTGCTGAAGTGTGAGCATTGCTAAAAGATGAACTGTCAATGAGGGAAGGAGAAGCCATTTTATTTAACAATAGTAATGCTTCCATAGGTAACTTAGGATAACTTAGGATAACTGATCTTTTGAGTTCATTCTGAAGTAGATAAACTTTTCTTCCTTATACAATATTGATGAAAGTATACAAAAACTAGATATTTATGTCTAACAAACATATTTCTGAGCCGAGAAGTGGATATGGAAAATATCTATTTAATAAAATGTTGCAGGAGAAGAAATAGTAAAACATGCCTGAGGGTGTGGCCACAGCGAGCAACTGGCCATCATCTGACCATTCCAACCACTCCAGTCCTCGTTCGTCATCCAGAGTTATAATAGCATATGTCTCCTTCAAGTCTGAGAGTTCATGTATCTTGATGCTAATAGAAAAAAATAATTGTTGTGCTTCACTCTACACATGCATATCTTTTAATCATATGCTAATCTATACTGCTGTTTCTTTAAATTATGCAATATTGATACAAATATTATGCCCTAAAATATAACCAATAAAATACAATATAATACAGGGATGTTATGAATTCAAAATTAAATCTACAGTTCATCTTATCAATCCTATACCAATAAATTAATTGACAGATATATATTGACAGATACATAGCTTGGAGGGAGATGAAGGAGTCAAAGGGCATGCCTAACAATGGCCAACTTGTGAACCATACTGAGTGCCTGACAGAGGAGACGACCAATGGCCCTGAGCTGCTTGGGGAGCATTAGTCTCAAATCCCTGGCCCAGATCAGAGGTGTCTGTAAACAGGTCAAGCACAAGAGGAAAGAAGGCACCACCGAACCAAACCCCCAAGAAGCCCATAGAGGAAAATGGCAAGAAAAAAGCCCCACAGGGTATACAGAGTCCAAACCAATGATGGGAAAAAGGGCAGCACCAGAGAAACCAATACAGCACCCAAAGCCAAACCCTGTGCAGCAGTAAAACCACACAGGCAAAGATAGACTCCTGCACAATTGCGGGAGCTGCTAATTAGAAATCTGGGCAAATACAATTAGACGAATATAAGAAGCCAAGCAGAAGAGACACACTGTGAGCAAAGACGGGAATGCTGAAAAAGAATGTCAGATAAGGCCCAGCCAGATCTGAACTTGCAATGGGACTTTCTAGTTGACAAGAAAATTGAATCTCGCCAACAAGGAAAAAACCTGACCCCTCCCTGGTTTGCAGACAGGCAGGCTGGTTGAAATAATTTTCTTGTTTTCTTTTGTCTTCTTATTTCTCTGTCCCTCTTCCCCTTAGTCTGGGATCTCTGAGATGGTGTTTCTGTTGGCCTTTTGCTTCTGGCTGTAGGATTGTGGGAGCTTCTGGCTTTCTGTTAGTTGTGGAGGGATTTGTTTAGTCCCGAGATATTTCTTTGTCTGCAGCCATCACCCTCCTTTTAGCTCTGGATGTGGCAGCAGGGTTCTGAGGGGTCTGTTGGCTTTTATTTGTGGTTTGTCAGGTTGGGGTTATGGCTCTATGGATTACTTGATACTCCTCCCTATTTCCCATGGTAAACCCTGTTTTACTTTGCGCTTTGTTATGAAATAGCTCAAGAAACCACCAAAGAAGGCCCTCCCAGAAATCCAGCATTGAATTTATATAATGCCTCTTTCTGGTCAGGTTCCCTTAGTGGCTCCCTGTTCACAACCTTACCTCCAGGGATCTATTTTGGATGGCACAAGTCTGAAATGGGCAGCTGGCTGGAGCCCTCAGTTGCTGGGGCTGCCATCTGGTGGTGAGAACTACAGTGGAAGCTGGCTAACGAGTGTGTGTACATAGTTCTCCAGGGTTGCTAATGTTTTTCCATACATTTGTTTAGTTTGGGGCGCTTTACCTTCCAGGCTATTTTTCTTCTCGGCTTGCATTGATCTAATATCCCCAGACTCCCTTGTCTCTATTGAGTTGACCAAATTCTGATCTTGGTCTGTGTTAGCTCATAATCTGATTGAGCGTGGTGTGTTACCTGGGTTTGGATAACTCCATATGGGCACCTTGAAGACATGTTGACACAACCCACAGAGAGACTAAATTCCAGGTTTCAAGAATTTTTCTTTATCGATTCTGTTACTATTTTGTACAGGGTGTAAGACTTGGGAGCTACTGAGGAGGGTCCTTACCAGAAAAGGGTAGAATATGAATGCAGACTCTTACTCTATTTAACATTTTTAAGTATGAACTAACAATCCATCTGATACATGACACAAAAAGAAAATTAAACAAACGTGAATATGGGTCTACTCACACATTGTCTCCACAAGATGCTGCTTTGCTGAGAGTGGTGGATATGGCAATATCATTGAGAACATCTCTGTGATTTTTAGCTTGAAATAATTCTTGTCCTATCTCCTTCATATGAGTGGAGATAACTACAAAGTAACCAGCAGAGAAGCCTAACAAGATATAGCCATCACCATACCTGAAATGTACAAATGTAATTATACAATATATACAGAATATTATATACACACACTTAGGTAATTACAAGCACTAGGGCCTAAGAGGCATACCTGGGTCAGTCTGTCTCCCATCTGTCCAGCTATTTATTCACCTATATATCCTTCAATCTATCAATCTTTCTATCTATCCATCAATCCTTCTATCCATCAATCATTCTATCTATCCATCAATCTACCTCTATCCATCCATCTATTCACCTATTTACCTTGCCATTGTTAATGTAATTTTCACTCTCCTCCCTGGCAAGTCTCATGTTTTCCTTTGACTTTGCTGTTAGTAAATTTTAATGTGCCACCATTCCACTCTTCCAGAAAATCAGCATTGAACATAATAAAATGCCTCTTTTTTTTTTTTTTTTTTTTTTTTTTGTAGGACCTCATTGGTTCCCTATTCCCACCACCAACTACCAAGTGCATCTGTTTGTAATTGTTCAGCTCCAAAATGAAGTTATGATGACATGAAAGCCAGGAGCTCCTAGTGTTGCTGCCACCTGTTGATACCCAGCCATAACTAGGTGGGGTCCACCCTAGATTCTGTGGGAATTTATTTGAAATTATTTGACTGCTTCTTTCAAGATGCTTTCTGTGTAAGGGTGATCTTGAGGTTATCTTGAGATGATCGCAACAATCCTCAGCATCCTGTGCCACATAAAGGGGGCCAGGTTCTGGCTCTGGTCCCTGTAAGCCATACAGGATGCCTAGGGCTGATGCAACTCATTTGTGGAGCTACTCAGCGAGCTAGCTTCAGGAAGTGAATGAGGCCCTATCAGAAAGAGGCGTTTTGTGACTTTCAACACAGCATTTTATGTATACAAATATTATGCCTTCAAATATATCTCTTATTGAATGGGATTTTACAATTCGGTGCAAATATATATAATTTACCTATAACTAAATTTCATATTTATTTTGATAACCTGTAACAATTTTAACAAATTGCATGAAATCTTTTACAATATATATTCATTACTTTCTGCTGGTCTACATTCTAAAATACAAAAATCTGATGTTAACAAATCAAAGCATATTCATACATAATTTTTATTGACATTATTTAGGGGTGAAACAACATACAGAGTAAGCAAACGAATGCACACGTATTGACATATTAATTTTCCTACCTGCCAGGCAAATTCTTTTCTTATTTTATTAATGTTGCTTAACCCTTAACATGCTCGGGGTCTAATATCCTGCCATCCCCACAGGCGCATGTCATTTTGAAAAAAAAAAAATTATTTTTTCTTTCTAACCTGTTAATTTGTGTTCACTGATCACGGGAAAAATAATAAAAAAATCGTAAGTGGCATATATTGCCCGCTATAGGGCGGGGAAGTCTGGCAAATTATAGGCGCTGACTCAGCGTGCGTCCCAGGCGGTCTGTTGCTCGCAAGCTGTCAGGCCAGAGTTGCCACAAAGAGATAATTACCGAATTATTTCAATGTCTCTGATTGATTTTTCATACTTTTTTGCTGTAATATTATTCAATAGTGTGTAGTTTGATATATTTATATAATAAAATGAGTGAATCGTTGGTGTACTCAAAAATATGGTGTGCATATTGTTGATTCAATTATGTTCATCAATCAGTGAACAAATACTTTGTCGGTTATTACACTATAAGCACAGGTTATATATAAGTATTTGCATGTTTTGTTCACTATAACGAACCACTAAGTAGCTATTATGAGTCAAAAAGTAATGAGTGACCGCCGTGTACCAGCCAGCCACTCCCGCCCTCCCTCCAGTCATCTGACTCACCCTCATTCTCCTCCCACAATAATGTTTTTGCTATAATTCACTATATACAGACATTATATATAAGTATCTACATGTTTTGTTCACCATAACTGTACATCTAAGCTTGTATGGTGAGTAAAGGCACAGAGATGTGGCTACTCACACAGTCAGCTGATCGGTGGCCGCCCTCAAGGTCAGACGCACTAATATTTCTCCTCCAACAATACTGTGTGGTGTTATTACGCTATATATCTTATATACAGACGTTATATATAAGTATCTACATGTTTTGTTCACCATAACTGTACATCTAAGCTTGTATGGTGAGTAAAGGCACAAAGATGTGGCTACTCACACAGTCAGCTGATCGGCGGCCGCCCTCAAGGCCAGACGCACTAATATTTCTCCTCCAACAACACTGTGTGGTGTTATTACGCTATATACACACATTATATATAAATATCTACCTGTTTTATTCATCATACTTGTACAAATAAACTGGTATGGTGCCCAAAGACCATCGTGGTAACCAGTAAACAACACCGTCGTCTGCACGGTGGTGTCGTGCAGACGACGCCACCGCTCTCACCAAAATGGCGGCTCCAAACCTTCTCTTGCTGTTTATACCCTCTATACGCACGTTATATATAAGTATCTACATTTGTGTTCACCATAGCGAACCACTAAGCTGGTATGCTGAGTGCAGTCAATAAAAGGTGGCCACACACAGTCAGAAGACATCGCCACCACCCTCCCTCCCACAGCATTACTCCTCCCTCCATGGCGCACAGCGCTAAATATCACCACAATCCTTCTATTATCAGAACCCTGGTCAGTTTTATCACAGTCAGGGGTCTTCTGTATCATCGCTACATAATAGCATGAACAAGTATATTTTGGCATTTTTAGGCAATGCTGTGGTCACAAGCTGTACAGCAGTGCTGTTAGCTCATGCTGCGAGCGTCAGGCTTGGTTAATTGCTCACTCAATACTGAGGCAATAACACCCGGGAGTTTGGCCCACGATTTTTTTAAAAAATGGCGTCTGTTTACAAGAGCCCTGATGAAGGTGTGGTGAACCCCGTGTATCCGCGGGCTGTTTAAATCTTGCGTAGTACTCCAACACATCATATGACGTGATGCGCAGTTTACTGGTACAACGTCCAGCACGTCATATGACGTGATGCGCACTTTAAGGGTTAAAATGTTTGATATATAACAACCTAATATATGGATCAGTTACAGCCTAGATAAAAAGACTTCAAAATGTAATACAGCCCAACCTGATTTGTCCAAAATTGTTACCCCCTAGAGAGCCAAGTAGGTTGGGGAGTGACCCACACCAGCTCTTCCTTAATTCTAAATGTAAAAGTACACATTCAAAGCTCACCACTTATAGGAGACAATGTTGCCATATCGGCTCTGAAAAGCCAGCTCAATGGGATTTTCAGGATCATTAAGATTGTATAGGAAGAGAGTTTTCTTGGCAACAACAAGGCTCACCTGAAAAATTGCAAGCATATGATTTTATCATATACATCTTTCATATACATCTTTTCATATACAGGACAATATTGATACAATATTTTAAGTTTCAGAATAATTAGAATCTAAATGTGTCATAATTACTGAACAGAAGCAATACTAAACCAGCAGGCTGCATATACAGGTGTACTTTATTAATACAGTAATATTAAAGAGGGTGCATAATTGAAATTTATATTTCTTAAATTGTAATAGCTTCAATTAGGCATAATGTTCCTGCTGAATATTTTTTGTAGCAGCTAACAGAATCACTGCAAATTATATCATAGGTGCGATAACTTACATTATACAAATCAACCGTTTTTTTTTAAATTTACACCATAAAATAATCCAACTTTCACTTCCACATGAGAGAGTTTTATGATTAAGGCATCACAATATATATAAAATTTTGCTGTTTTTGATTACTGGTAAATATAGTTAATAAATCACTGATGCTCATCAAAGTACAGTACTACTTTAACTGAACAATCAAAAGATGTATTTATATTCCCCTATGCCAACAATCATCAAAACTCAAACTACTGAATTGAAAATATCCTTGAAAGTTCAAACCACTAATACTAACACCATCAAAAACCAGCATTAAACGTGATGAAATTGCAATTTCTGGGTGAGCCTTGGTGGCTGCCTGAAGCTATACACTGAGATGGTTACCATCTACTGAGTCACATCATCCATAGACCTCTAGAGGCCTGTATGGAACAGAACAAGACCCCAGTTCCCCCCCCCCCCCCATCATACAGGCATAAGAAGCGGTGACATTTATACTCCTAGATTTGTGTGAGAGACTGAAGCCTCAAAAATGGCTGAAAGAACTCCCCCAACTATGTAAACAAATGATAAAATTTGCTCAGAACTAGAGCGAGCTCATTTGCCCCATCTCCCACACTCATTTGGAGAGAGTGGGGGTAGGTAGCTTACTGCCTGCTGGTGCCTCAGCTTCCAGTCTGAGCTCCTGATTTTCTATCCTGCACCCAACACTCAGGATAGAAAAGCAAAGTCCAAGGGAGAGGCTTCAAAGAAATGTGAGGCTGGCAGAAAGGAAGACACAGTATTCTCAGCAGGATCTGCCAGCCCAACTGCCTCAGATTCAAAAGGAGTAACTCCCAGAGTTGACCAAGCCACATCCCGAGACAAACTCTGCCCCAACCTTGAAACCCTCAGATGCTTCCAGGCTGGAAGTGGAGTGGGTGGAAGGATCAGGAAGGGTTAGTCCCGCTCACAATAGTTTCAAGATATTCAATCATTTGTTTACATATTTTGGAGAGTTCATTTGGCAGTTCAAGGTTTTAGCCTCTTTGAACCCAACAGGAGTCTATATTTATTCGATTTCTGCATTTTCCATGTACAGTACAGTAACTGATAAATGTAAATCGCTAAATTACAAGATTACCAACCGTATTTTCAGCCATAGCTCTCTCATCCTGCTTCATTTCTGAAAACTGTATATCAGAAGGTTCACCCCGCAGAGGCGTGGTACGAAGTGTATCCCCTTCACTGCTGCTGATGGTAAGAATTTTGTCTTCTCCTCCTAGGGCTAAGAGATTCCCAGAGGACCAACAGCCACTCTGAATTTTTCGGCTATGTTTGCCCACTACAGGAATGCGTCTGAAATCAAAAATTACTTTTACTTCTAGTAAATTATTTTCCCCCACACACAATATATGACAAAGAGTACTGGGAAGACGGGATGGCTCTCCATTCCCCCACACAAAGAGAAAGAAGCTGAGCAGACAGCGGCACGGAGACAGTTGTGATGTAATGCTCGTTTGTTTTTCGTTTGGGGACGTTCACCAACAGTTCGGCTTTCATTAGCAATATTTTAACCATATAGGGCTTGTTTTGGGGCGCCTACCTTTCTGGGTAAATGACCTGGTTGATGGCAGACATAGAATGCTTCCAACCACACTGGGGTTTCCTATAGGCCATTGCTCCTCTTGCCTCTCTGAGGAGGCCAGGTTCTGGCTCGTGATCCCCGGTAGGCCTGAGAACTCCATTCGCCTTAACTGATGCCAGGGTATAATATAGTCATATCAGCTCCGATAGCTCCAGGGAACTGAATGGGCTCCCCACCCCAAGAAATACATCTAATGTATACAAAGAAAGAGCCGATATAACTAATCCTAAACGGTAAGATTTTGCTAATCAACAATGGTTGTAAAGTTCACAACAGGAAAGGATGCAGGAAAGGAAATGTTCAATCATCTAGGGTAAAACAAATTTTTGGACTGACACCTGAGGCCATACAATGGTGATGTTAATTCAAACACACAAATTATTTACCATTTTAGCAACTGTTCTAATTGTCAATTGTAAATATTTTACTTTTCAATAAGTAATAAATTTGGGAGCCTATATGAACTGAACTCTTTTCTTGTAATACTGAACTGTCTACTAGCACTAGCAAAGTCAAATATTTTAAATAAATTTATATTAATAAGATACAATTATTAAAATAATAAAATGCACCTTGATGTTTGATGGTTGTAGATCATAAGGTTGCCCTTGGCAGTGCCTACAGCCAAAAGAGGAGCTGTACGTGACCATGCTAAAAATGTTAACGTGTCGCGGAGCCCAGAGTCCAGATGCTGTACTCGTCCTGAATATAAGAAGAAAAATATTAATACTGAATAAAATAATATATAATATAGTAAGTAGTAAATATTTTGATAATAAATGGAAAGCAACTAGATTTGTTTCTTATGATAGGTAATCATGTTGATTCACTTGCATGACATCATGTCACAGTAACAATATAAAGGTCTGTATATTTTTTCATACTGTACTGAGAAATTTTCTTCTTTGTCATGCTGATAAAATGATGAGCATTAAATTAAATAGGACTGAGTTGCATTATCTAAAATTAAGTATTGAGCACAAACTTAGATAAACATAACATTCTACATCCTCTCTTTATTCTCTCAAAAGTTTTTAGCAGGTCACATATACTATATAGTTGACCTGATCAACCAGGCTGTGACTCATACGTCAGGCTGCGAGCAGCCGCGTCTAACAGCCTGGTTGATCAGTCCAGTAACCAGGAGGCCTGGTCGACGACCGGGCCGCGGGGACACTAAGCCCCGGAAGCACCTCAAGGTAGCCTCAAGGTAGGTAGGTACTATAGAGCAGTTGTCACTGCACTTGGTTCACAACCGGTGGTTTCCAGGATCGATTTCCAGGCAGAACAATACGTTTAGGCACTTTTTTTTTTTTACATTCGATACTTGTGCTCACATACCAATACAGTAAAAAGGTATCCGAGAGTTAAGCAACTGTTGTGGGTTGCAACCTGGGAACGTCAGCCATTGACCTCGGGTAAGCCTTGCAACCTGGGAAGGTCAGCCATTGACCTTGGGTAAGCCTTTTGCAACCTGGGAAGGTCAGCCATTGACCTCGGGTAAGCCTTGCAACCTGGGAAGGTCAGCCATTGACCTTGGGTAAGCCTTTTGTAACCTGGGAAGGTCAGCTATTAACCTTGGGTAAGCCTTTTGCAACCGGGGAAGGTCAGCCATTGACCTTGAGTAAGCCTAACAGATTTCTTGTTCCTGACAACAAGAATGTTCAAAACAGTATGTGTGCTCCTTGGATCATGTGTTTTTAGGATTTTACTTGGAGTTCACCCAGAGGGGGTTCCAGGAGTTCTACTTCCTAAACCTGGCCTGGGGTCAGGCTCAATTTGGGATAACTTGGTCCAACAGGCTGTTGCTTGAAGTGCCCTGCAGGCTCCACAAATCCACTGCAACCCAGTTGGTTTGATATTTCTTGCAGAAATTTATCTAATTGCTTCTAGCAATAATTCTTATGCTTGCTGTGAGAGTACTTACCAGCTGTGGACCTCTGATGTTCATACAGTGCACTCTGATTGTGCATGATACCTTTACTTTGCTTTATTCTGCAATTCCTTCCGAATCTTTTGCTTCAGCAAGGTTTTTTAAAAACAAATTTGGGACCTGGACTTCCAATATCTTCCATATATATTATATTTGATACCTCTTGTTTCCTAAGAGGTATTAAAAACCTAAGCTAAAAGAGATAACCTAAGCTAATGAGAATATGGAGCAAGTATATTACTGATATAATATAATTACTATATGACTAAGAGCTAGATGTGGGATGTTTCAGGCCAAAATTTCAGGTTACAAAGCTGTACTAATCCCAGCACAGGTATCCCCAACTTACAATTAGGACACATTCCAAATTTCTGCCTTAAGTTGATTGGCAGCGATTTTGAACATGATTTTCCATAAGCACAATGCTGCAAATAGGATATAGGTTCCCAAAGCACCTTAAACTGATATATCTAAAAACAATTTAAATAAAAATAATGTAGAGTAAACATAATGTTTAGTTTTATTTACCTTGATTGAACCTTTGAAGACTGAACAGAATAATTACTCACCTGAGTTAGCATCCCAGACATGGACAAGAGGAGATCTATCATTGATGATTGATAAGAGTGCCCCATCTTTGTCCCATCCAAATCCTGAGCACACACTGTATGCAAGAAAAGTTTGATTATCTTTACAAAATAAATCATTACATGTATTGAGGAACATGTGTAGTCTCAAAGGGTATGCAAAATTAAGAAATTAAATGTATTATAAATATTCATATCAAATCAAAGTTATTTTTAATATCAAATAATTATTTATATTATTATTATTATTATTATAATATCAAAGTTATTTTTAATAAATTCCAAGGTGTAATATTTACGTCAAATATGCAACTGTACTTGGCAGATTGTTCCATTGAAGTAAGACCACATACCAAAATTTTTAAAACCAGCATTTATTTAGTCCCTGGTGTTGGCAGGTGTCCTGGTGATGAAATAACTTAAACTCGAGGGAAAAGGGTTGTCTTTGTTAGCTGATACCATGACAACCTCCCTTTACAAGTCTGCAGTCCCGAATGACCCTCGTGGGCTCCAGCTGGTTACCTCGAGGTACTCTGACCCCCATAATCATGTCAGCCAATCAGAACATTAAGTCCTGCCTGCTCACATTTTCATTAGTAGCAGCATCAGATTCAAGCCACTGGGAAGGCATACTTTCTCTTTGCTCTCAATACCTCTACAATCCCTACTTATATGGATGTTACTACTGTACAACTGTAGTATGTATGTTACAACTGTAGTAAGAATGTTACTACTGAAGTAGGCAGAGTGAGGTAAGGAATTTGGGGGTTTGGCCTAATGGTTTCCACCGTGTTGACCCCTCATATACCACTACACACCAACTTCTCCTCCTTAGCCTAGGGCCCCTACCCCTTGGAAGCAACCAACTACTCAATTGATTCCGGTTCAATGAGATGACATAGGTCAACATGGGACAACGTCCCTAGACCGAGAGAAATCTTAGACATCAAACATGCCCTATCTCTGTCCAAGACTAAGGAAGTTGCATCATGCAAGCACATCTCAACATATGAGCAGACATGAGCTTGTGCTGAGAGATCCTTCTCTCACAGCAGGATTCTCGCTGCAGGAGCGAGCATGAATTGGTTACATCATTGCGAGATACTTCACTTGCTCATAGCCATGGTAAGATGTATTGTTTTAATATTATTTTCCCCATGATCAGGCATTTAACAATACGACAAAAAATATTCTTGATATTTTGTCTTGTTAACAGCAGCAATGTTGGCTATAAACAGGGGTGAAGTTCAGGGTAAAAAGTTTGATTATTACCAAATCTGTGCCACCTACTATATTTAATAAATTTAATACCTTAGAGCTTTCAGGATGTAAGAAACTTGACCTACCCTGGCAAGTGCATCTGCTCGCGAAGAACACCATGGCGGTCATAGATGTTGACAACCTGGTTGTAACCGGTAGAAGCCAAATATCCTCCTGAAGCCTTCTGCCATGTGAAGAACACACCCCCTGGGCCATGAGGACCTTCTAGACTGAATACACGCTGCGAGGACGAACAAATATTTAAATAATTATACGGTTCATAAGAACATTATACCTATATTTATTTATTTTTTTATTTTATTAATATACAAGAGTTCTTACATTCTTGTATAGCCACTAGCACACACAGTGCTTCAGGCATGTAATAATATATTTCTAAAGTACAGTACTGTACCTGCATGTAATATTAAAAGCTCGTAGAGACTACAGAACATAAGCGTTTCACTCTAGTTGACAATGACTGAGCAGTTCCTTTCACCAATTATTATTATTATTATTGGTGAAAGGAAGTGTGCCCAATCATGTCTGTCATGCCCAAGAATCAAACTCAGGATCCTAGTCAAGAATGAAGCCAACGAGATACTAGTTGACAATCATTACCTTTTATTATTTGAATATCTTGAACCCATTGTTGATGTGACGACTTATATTAAATTTTGTAACTAGCTCATCAAGATTGTAACTTGCTTAGCTAAATAAATTCTGGGATTCAGTCCCTGAGCCCATTATGTGCCTCTGTAACCCTTTCCACTACCGCCCACGGGATGGGTATGGGTTGCATAATAAATGAACTAAACTAAAAACTTATTTGAATATATATATTAGGCTGAAGATGAACCAAAAAGAGTGTGCCTCGTAGGCAATTACTGTATCAAAAGATTACACTAGGCCAGGAAGACTGTAGCACTGTGCTTAGTAAAGAATTAACTAATAAGCATACAAAAAAATGTATCTAAGCATTTAATATTTTACGAACCCAAATCTAGTTATCTTAATCTATTTTTTTCTATGCATTGTCGGTATGGCTTTTACTCGTGTATTAAAACAAAAATGACTTACACTTTAACAAGAGTTAGTATACTGAGCAAGTTCAACCTTGCCTATCCCTACTAGTCTGCTCCCACCAACACTTCCTACCAATGTAACATGAACACATACTCATGGCGCTACCTTATCTGAAGCCATATTACACGTATATATATTCAGATCATGAAGAAAAGCGGTGTTTAATGGTTAATATGTTGAGGAGAGAGAACGTCCACCCGCGGGACAGTTGACCACAGGCGGCCCGGCCTGGAATGTTGGTGTGGGGGGCGGGGAGGGGGGCGCCTTCCCCTCTACGCTATCCCATTGTTGATGTGACGATTTATATTGAATTTTGTAACTAGCTCATCAAGATTGTAACTTGCTTAGCTAAATGAATTGTGGGGTTCAGTCCCTGAACCCATTATGTGCCTCTGTAACCCTTTCCACTACCGCCCACAAGATGGGTATGGGGTGCATAATAAATGAACTAAACTAAACTATTTATCCCATTGTATGGCTTCCGGGTTGTTGTTGTTTTCGTATGTAACAGCCATTTGGGACATCTATTGAACACAGTATACAGTATTTAGTTTCTTGTGGCTGTTTTTTTTTTGTAATTAACAAGGGATATAAGTCACATCGTACACAGGATGATTCGCTCACTGATTTTGATACCTAACTAAACCCCATTACACCTCCCCCATCCTTTCCATTCCCTATGGACATCAAGCCGAAGCCTAGCTCAACCTAACCTAGCTCACCCTAACCTAACCAAAAGGAGCTAAATACAGCTTAACCTAAGGTAATACATCCTAGCATAACAATATACGCGGTTTTAACAAACAGAAAACGAGCAGTAATCTCCGTGGCACAGTGAGAAAACACTCGCCCGGCGCTTCGCGAGCGCTTTAGCCTGGGTTCGTATCTTGGCAGGGGAGGATTGACCAAGCGTCAATACGTACCCGCAATCATTAACAATCCTAAACCCTTTAAAAAAATCGTCGAATCGTCTCGTATCCGAAACGATCGTACTCAGTTAGAAGACGGAACAAGCGTACCTACCATCCTGTAACTACGCTTGGGTAATTACCAGAGCCAATTCAATTTCTTTCTTTATTATGCATGCATTATGCTTATTATCCCATACCCGTATGGTGGGCGGTGGTGGAAATGGTTACAGAGGAACATAATGGGCTCAGGGACTGAACCCCACAATTCATTTAGCTAAGCAAAGTTACAATCTTGATGAGCTAGTTACAAAATTCAATATAAGTCGTCACATCAACAATGGGTTCGAGATCGACCTCAAGTACAGGTTCTAAATTAAGCAACTGACATATGTGGAGAGCTAGTATACAATCATTTACACAAATACATATACATATAAATAATCTTTTTATATCACAAGTGATTCAACAAGAGGCTCACAAGTTGGCCTCCGAATGCATGATAGAGCTGATAAGTTAGCCAAAGAATCTGCCTTTAAAGGAGCCGTTGAGTGTAACCTTGGATTGTCAATGAGCAATCTGAGAGCAGCAGTACACCGAGAACTTCAACAAGATCTTGTAGATCTGAGGCAAAGTGAAATTGACACCAGTAATTCCATCTATCATCATACTACCATGCAAGAGGAGCCACACATCTATGGATCATCCAATAAAATCAGCAGACTTCTAGATTTTTATTTATTTTTTTTTTTTTGAGATATATACAAGAGTTGTTACATTCTTGTACAGCCACTAGTACGCGTAGCGTTTCGGGCAAGTCCTTAATCCTATGGTCCCTGGAATACGATCCCCCGCCGCGAAGAATCGTTTTTTCATCCAAGTACACATTTTACTGTTGCGTTAAACAGAGGCTACAGTTAAGGAATTGCGCCCAGTAAATCCTCCCCGGCCAGGATACGAACCCATGACATAGCGCTCGCGGAACGCCAGGCGAGTGTCTTACCACTACACCACGGAGACTGTTAAAGAGATGTTACTACTGCTCGGCTTAGACTCGGTTACAAGTATCTCTGGGAATTCTCATTATCTGGTGATGTAGACCTGACCAAATGTAAACTGTGTTAACAAAATTATTCGCACACCCTCCGTCACTATGTGATGGAGTGCGAAAAGATACGTGAATTTAGAGACAATTCTATAACCAATGTTCCAGCGATGTGTAAATATTTCATTCAAAATGATCTGCTACCAGAAATTTTAGCCAAATATCCCCAGTTTGCTAACTGTAGGTAGTAACTAAGTGATTGTAACCTATCCACCGCTGCCCACTGGATGGGGGGCGGTGTGCAGGACAAACATATAAATTGTGACACTAGCTCTCCACATATGTCAGTTGCTTAATTTAGAACCTGTACTTGAGGTCGATCTCGAACCCATTGTTGATGTGACGACTTATATTGAATTTTGTAACTAGCTCATCAAGATTGTAACTTTGCTTAGCTAAATGAATTGTGGGGTTCAGTCCCTGAGCCCATTATGTGCCCCTGTAACCCTTTGCACTACCGCCCACAAGATGGGTATGGGGTGCATAATAAATGAACTAAACTAACTAAAAAAACTCTAATGACTACTAACACCTTTATTTATTTATTTATTTATTTAATGACCAGTCATTAGAGTACACAACAAAATCTAAGTCCTGCCTGTACTACAGTCCATTCCATGTGAACTTGAACTCTATCACAGAAAACTAACTTTCTTAATGATAGACTAGTGGAAAGAAATGGCTCCGGCCACCAGTCGACCAGGCCCACTTTACCCGAGGGCCACTAACGCACTAGTGGCCTCGACGAAGACAGGAAGCTGGCGGCTTGTCAAAGGTCCCCCCCATTTGCCCTGATGAGCTTTTCCAGTTGTATTTTAAAATTTAACTGTTTTGGCAATCGTTGCTCCTTGTTTGTGTTACATCTGACCTTTTAAATAAATTGTTCCGATCACCATCCTCCAAATTGTTCCAACGAAATTACCAAATTTACCAGTTGAAAATTTAATTACTTATGAATCAATTTCTATAGGAAGAAATTCTGCATGTGATGCGAGAAATCATCCTAACTTTCGTTGGTAAAGCTTACAGACAAATAAAGTACGGTCGGCTATTGTCGGCAAAAGTGGTCGGCTATTGGCGCTTCAAGAAGTATAGCTATAGCAGAGATTTTTGTTCACATGCCGTTTGAAACCGAGAGGGCCAACAGACAGCAAGGTACCTAAATATACCTCCAATACATTGAAGACATTTTCGGAATTAAGACATGAGGACACCAACAGCTACGGGAGTTTTATGTCTGGACTAAAACTGTCCATTGTAATCTCAAGTTTGCGCTGGAAACAAATTTTAATGTTTTTTTTTCAAGATACGAGAATCTATATTAACGAAACAGACAGGTCCTTACAGACAACAGCATACTACAAACCGACGAATCTCTATTAGTACCTTCTATTTTCGTCGAGTCGCTCATTATTTATCCCTCAAGAAATCTCTGTCTTACACCCTGGGTCTCCAGCTTAAACGGATTACTATTAAGGACCAAGACTTACGGCTGGAACTACAACATTAGTGGGAACTTTTTAAAAGCAGACAACATCCTTTATGAAGCGGCGGAAAAAAACTTCGAAGAAAAGAGAGGTTCCCTTCCAATGGCAACACGCAGGAGAACTGATGTTGGTTAGTTGGTATCCACCAGTCCATTTGTCTTGGAGGACAAATGGACTGGTGGATACTACCGATGCTATACTTTCCAGGGTTCGCAGCGGCCTCTACAACAACACATGATTATTCTCAGAATCATAATGTGCGATTTTTGAGCCGAATTCTGACTCTCTGCACCTTTATTCATTTTCAAATTACGATTTTTTATTTCGAGAATATGTCAATTACTGAAAACGGCGGTGGGTCATATTTTGCCCAAACCCCCCTGCAGTTTTCAAAATATCTGAAATGTCGGAAATTTGACGCCCGAGTGTGATTTTTGAGCCTAATTCTGACTCTCTGTACCTATTTTCATTTTCAAATTACGAATTTTTATACCGAGAATATGCCAATTACTGAAAACGGCGGTGGGTCATATTTTGCCCAAATCCCCCTGCTGTTTTCAAAATATCTGAAATGTCGGAAATTTGACTCCTGAGCGTGATTCTTGAGCCGAATTCTGACTCTCTGCAACTATTTTCATTTTCAAATTACGACTTTTTATACCGAAAATATGCCAATTACTGAAAACGGCAGTGGGTCATATTTTGCCCAAACCCCCCTGCTGTTTTCAAAATATCTGAAATGTCGGAAATTTGACTCCTGAGCGTGATTTTTGAGCCGAATTCTGACTCTCTGCACCTATTTTCATTTTCAAATTACGAATTTTTATACCGAAAATATGCCAATTACTGAAAACGGCGGTGGTCATATTTTGCCCAAACCCCCCTACAGTTTTCAAAATATCTGAAATGTCGGAAATTTGATGCCTGGGCGTGATTTTTGAGCAGAATTCTGACTCTCTGCACCTATTTTCATTTTCAACTTACGAATTTTTATACCGAAAATATGCCAATTACTGAAAACGGCGGTGGGTCATATTTCGCCCAAACCCCCCCTGCAGTTTTCAAAATTTCTGAAATGTCGGAAATTTGACTCCTGAGCGTGATTTTTGAGCCGAATTTTGACTCTCTGGACCTATTTTAATTTTCAAACTACGAATTTTTATACAGAAAATATGCCAATTACTGAAAACGGTGGTGGGTCATATTTTGCCCAAACCCCCCTGCAGTTTTCAAAATATCTGAAATGTCCGAAATTTGACGCCTGAGTGTGATTTTTGAGCCTAATTCTGACTCTCTGCACCTATTTTCATTTTCAAATTACGACTTTTTATACCGAAAATATGCCAATTACTGAAAACGGCGGTGGGTCATATTTTGAACAAACCCCCCTGCAGTTTTCAAAATATCTGAAATGTCCGAAATTTGACGCCTGGGCGTGATTTTTGAGCCGAATTCTGCTGACTCTCTGCACCTATTTTCATTTTCAAATTACGACTTTTTATACCGAAAATATGCCAATTACTGAAAACGGCGGTGGGTCATATTTCGCCCAAACCCCCCCTGCAGTTTTCAAAATTTCTGAAATGTCGGAAATTTGACTCCTGAGCGTGATTTTTGAGCCGAATTTTGACTCTCTGGACCTATTTTAATTTTCAAACTACGAATTTTTATACAGAAAATATGCCAATTACTGAAAACGGTGGTGGGTCATATTTTGCCCAAACCCCCCTGCAGTTTTCAAAATATCTGAAATGTCCGATTTTTGACGCCTGAGTGTGATTTTTGAGCCTAATTCTGACTCTCTGCACCTATTTTCAAATTACGACTTTTTATACCGAAAATATGCCAATTACTGAAAACGGCGGTGGGTCATATTTTGCCCAAACCCCCCTGCAGTTTTCAAAATATCTGAAATGTCCGAAATTTGACGCCTGAGTGTGATTTTTGAGCCTAATTCTGACTCTCTGCACCTATTTTCATTTTCAAATTACGACTTTTTATACCAAAAATATGCCAATTACTGAAAACTGCAGTGGGTCATATTTTGGGTCTGAGTTTTCAAAATATCTGAAATGTAAAAAATTTGACTCCGTGAAACTGGCTCCAAGAAACATATGGGGAACACCCAACATGGCCGATTTCCCACAGTGACTTCAAACATGGTCAAAAGTTAAATTTATCTAGGATTTTTTTTATCAGGGCCGCTTTTACTCCCTCAACTCTTCCAACTCCATGAGCAGTCCCTGTGTCGCAATGGTAAAGCACTCATCCGACGG